ACTACTCACAAAAGATTACTACTACCACATCAACTCTAGATTATTAAAAATGGTTTTCTGTGGGTGAGCAGATGGCAACTACTGGATGCCATATGTTCTATATAAGAAACTAGAGCTGATGTGGTCTATCCAATGCAGATTTCTGAATTAGCACCCCAAATAACCAAACTGAATCTAAAGTTGACCAAAAACTGATTTGCAACCCTTTTGGTACTAATGTTGGAGAGTGACCCCTGGTCAAAGAGGTCCCTGGTCTATGCTCCCTGGTCAAAAAAAGGTTGGGAACCACTGGTTTAGCAAGAGTACTCATTCTAAACTTAAATGGTTAGAACTAGAGTTCGTAGCAGGAGTTGAATCTATGACTCTAAATTAATCAAACAAAATTGAGACCCACTGCTTTCATTGAATAAGTGTCTAGATCAAGGGAAGTAGCAGTCCTGCTCTATTCTGCTTTGGTCAGTCCTGATCTGGAATATTGTCCCTCTCTGGGCACAGTAGTTCAAGATGGATATTGACAAAATGGAATGTGTCCAGAGAAGAGCAACTAAAATGAGCAAAGGTCTGGAAACCAAGCCTTAGGGCAAGTCTACATGGACAAGAAACCTGAATTGACTTCATCATGGCATAATACTATAACTAGTGAGCTTCACAAGTTTTCTTGGGTTAAACTGGATTTGACCTACTTAAAGCAAAGTTGGGGAACATTCTGGAGTTTGGTGGAAACTCTGGATTGCATCATGGCTTCAGTGCAGTGTGGACAGCTGGATCAAGTCTGATTTGGACAGGTCCACTGCCAAGATGGGACATCAGCATAATCACTTATTCCTCCACTCATCAGTACAGGAAAAAGGGAGTGGGTCATTGAATTGTTATAGCCACTGTTGCTTCCAGTCAGACACAAGGTACTGTGTGAACTTCTGACTGTTGCAAGAGTTGTGATTTGGATGGGTGTGTATATACCTCAGGGTATATAGTGTTCCCAGTACTGCTGGATATCTATATCCAGATAGGTGACTGCTGCAGGGACACAAGTTAATTTTCAGACCAACAGACCAAACCTCAGGTTTTACAGCCAAACATCAGTGGAAAATTAGTCCTAGGAGTGATTAAACATGTATTTTAATTTTGAATTTCTCAAATTCTGGGATTATTTTATAGGTTTGGGGAGTTAATGTATACTTTAAGTATTTTTGTCTTTCCCTTTAGGGGACGTATTGGATTTATTTTTCCCCCAAAGTATAATCAAGTGTCTGGAAGTGTTGGGGGCACAAAAAAGATTGGGCTGCACTTTCCCACCTGATTTAATGGTTTCTCATATTTAGTCATTGAGTGAATTAAAGCAAAGGGTCAGGCATATTCCAATGACACAGTTAGTAATTAGCTGTCCATAACTTTACATATCAAACATCAGATTCCTTCCATCTTATCAAGTCTTAGGGGCACTGGACACCCATGAAAGTGAAAAACCACAAACAAAGAAATTGCTATGTTTTTTATCTGAGAAAAAAATCTTACTAGGAATTTCTAGGTCCTCCAGTACAAAGTTATGGTCAACTTCCACTGGATAGGATCTAAATGGAAGATCCAGAAATTCCTAGAGAGGTATTCTCTATAAGACTCTCAAATGACTAGAGAACGCTGACAACAGAATTGAATAATCAAACCTATAAATGTAGAAGCCCAACTGTACATATATCTTATGGCGCTTTTGTTGTATTTGGTTTTAAATCATGTTGGAGCTGCTTTGGGTTCCAGTCCTGGAGGAGGGGCAGAATAAAAGTTATTCAGCTTGACTGAGAGAAATGACAGAAAGACATGAAATAAGAATTGTTACATGTGACTGGATGCACAGGCATGACGAAATGTTTGAACATTCAAACCCACATTCCAATAAAAATAATGCAATATGAATATATCAGCAAAAGCAATACTTGATATACACTTTGGTATGTGTTTGATTTATGCCTGTTATTATGGATTTGTCGAGCAACATTTATATGGAGATCTGTTATTGCATGTAAGATCTTGTTAGCCAGATTTGGTTGAGAGGCTGTTATTTATGAAACAATTTGTCACAAGTAACTATAGTTGGATGAGGCCATTGAAGCCTAATGTTTTTTCTTGGCAAAACATTTTTTAATGTCTGAGAAAATGTTAATGCTGGAAAGCTAAATGCCTGTTAACTTTTCAGTAAAAGTCCTTGACTAAAGAAAGAAGGGATACAAATTTCTGCTTATAGATTCCCAAAGTGGATGTAATTGTTCATGGAATAAAAATTGGGCATTTTTACAATCAGACTAAGAGATACATGGTAGCAACTGTTCTCGGTGTACAAAAGCACTGTTCACAAGGAAATGAAGAATGGGCAAGAGTCAAGGACCATAAGAAAGAGGCATTCAAATCCATTCCAGTATGTGCTTTTTACTAATCAGAAACAGATGCAGACATGGATTTCCAGGATATGGAATTGGCAAATTGCTCCTTAAGGGGAAAATGACTAAAAAATCTTGGATTCTCTCTCTCACTGTACTGTCAATTAGCTGTTCCATATGCCTGTTGCCAGATATAAGTCTTGCAGAGGAATATTTTGTTGTGATCATCCCCCAAAAATTTAGTATGGCTTTGTTTCTTTTTGATCTTGCAGACAAGGCTATTTTTCATGGCCTTTCGGTCTCTCTATTACATGATCAGTGCTGCTAATACAATAGTGTTTGGGTGGTTCCACAGTTGGAACAACAGGTTTGTTTATCCATATGAACAAAAAATTCTGAATTTGTTTGCTTTCAGTAAACGTTGTCAAGAAAGGGGAGGGGATTATTTCTTCCACTCTGTCATTAAACTATAGAGGAATAAATAATATTTATTGTTCTGTGCCTTCAAACCACTTCCAGCTTACAGTGATTGACAGGCGAATCCATAAAGGGATTTTCATGAAAAGATTTGTTCAGAAGGTTTGGCATTGCCTTCCTTTGAGGCCGAGAGAGTATGACTTGGCCAAGTTCACCTGATGGATTTCCATGCCTGAGCAGGGATTCAAAGCCTGATCTCCAGAGTTGTAGTCCAACACTCAAACCACTAGATGACATTGGTCACTAAATAGTTGTCTTCCTTCATGAGACCAATGATCTTCAGCTGTGAATCTGGCCAGAAGCCTTCCTGGAGACCAGTCTTTGGAAATTTCCTCTTCTTCCTAGTTCTACCTATTTCTGCTTTAATGATTCTAATCCATCGTTGTTTTCAGCTTCTTGACTAGGCTTTCTTGCTGCTTCACTGTTGTAGTTGTTGTTTTTCTCAGATAAAAATTAGATAATATGCTTGAAATGTACTTAGGTGAGCTGCCCTTTGAAGTGGTAAAAGAACCTCTATGTCATAGCTCAGGCTTTTCCTCATCTACATAAGCATACTTTGCATTGCAGTTGAAGGTAAACAGAGGCTTAAGTGCAATTGCCAAGACATGTATTTCTAAAAAGATCCTGTTGCTCATGGGGAAAATGTGCAAATCCGGGGGAATACATGCTTCTCTTTAATGTCAAGTATCACTTTCAGATGATTTCTCTGTCTGTCTGCATCAGCTGAAGAGCTTCCACTAATTGTTTTGTTTAAGCAGGCTTTTAGTGTGCATACAGGCAAGCTCCTCATTGGAGTGTGTGTTTCTTTATTGACTTGTAACTTTTGTATGCCTTTTCAGTGATTTTATACTGCTTATTTTATTTATCGTATCAGAAGTGAACCAAGAATACAGTTGTAATGTATTTAAAGAAGCACAAAGTTTAAAAACTTGGCATTATATTAAATGTCCTTTGACCAGTAGCTGGCCACTTGGAGTGCCTGTGGTGTTGCTTCTTCTTATGAAGGTCCTCCATTATGCATGTGGCAGAGCTCAGACTGCATTGTAATAGGTGGTCTGTGGTTTGCTCTTCTCCACATTTGTATGTTGTGGGCTCTACTTTGTGTCCCCATTTCTTAAGGTTGGCCATGCATCTCGTGGTGCCAGAGCACAGTTTGTTCAGCCCCTTCCAAGTTGCCCAGTCTTCTGTGTACCCAGGGTGGAGTCTCTCATTTGGTATCAGCCACTCATTGAGGTTCTGGGTTTTAGCCTGCCATTTTTGGACTCTCGCTTGCTGAGGTGTTCCTGCGAGTATCTCTGTAGATCTTAGGGCCCATCCTGTGATAATGTGGCATGACTCATTAAGAGCCACATCCACTGTTTTAGCATGGTGAGATGTGTTCCACACTGGACATGCGTACTCTGCAGCAGAGTAACAAAACGCAAAGGTAGATGTTTTCACTGTATCTACTGCTTTAACATGATTATTTTAAAATGTTTTTATTTTTATTTTATTTTTTGCTTTATGCCAGCCACCTTGGATCCCACTACAGGAGAAAAGTGTCAGATAAATTTAAAAAAATAGAAAAATTTGGATTGCCCACTTTCTACTATTTCACAAATTATCTTCAGTTAGTATATGCCCATTCACTGGCATCTATGTTTCTGAGCCAGTAAAAGTCATTTACTCACACACTTTCAATCTGACCCCTTTTGATCATCTCACCTCTGTAAACTGAAAGGGATACGCAATGTACAGTATAAACTGTGAATCACTAAAATCTATAATGGGTAACTGCAGCAAATGTTCTGACAGCAGACTGACAACAATAAATCCCACAAAAAGGGTACTAGGCTCCAGATAAAAATATTCTGTAAGTTCTTGCTGTTAACAATTTACAGTCATAAGATCATAAATTACATAACACATTCTGGGTTTCACATTTGCTGGACATTTAAACAATATCTTACTTCAGAATTCTTGAATCTCCCTAGCCATATATATATATATATATATATTGCCTTTTAGCAGGACATAATTTAAACAGATGAAACTTTATTTTCTGAGCCAGATAACACTGCTGTAATTGACCTTGCTTCTCATTAAGGTTTTCCTACTTCTCCCGTGAAGGAAATGTGCCTCTAACCTTGGGTGGGTGGTCCTGTTTTGCAGGAGATGCACGGCTGAGAGGTCAGACTGGGGTTCTTTCTGAGCGACGTGGTTCCTACCCGTTTATAGACTTCCGTCTTCTCAACAGTAAGTACAATACTTATTAAGAAACTGGCGTATGGTTAATTAAAGAAACATTTGAATCTTTATGGAGAAAATGTACATGGAATTATTTTAATATTGAGTGCTTCCAGAGCTTGGGAAAGTGTTCTTTTTGGAATACAACTGCTTTTTTCAATTTCAAGTTTTCTAAACATCTGCATGAGCAGTGGAACAAGTTAACATTGTTTGCTTTGTCTGTGATATATATGAAACCTAAAAATGTTTCTAGAAATTCAAATGTCCTTTTTAATAATGCTCTGTGCACACCACCATAGGACATGCCCATTGTCACAGAATATGGCCCCTTGAGTACAATTCATAATGGTTGCAAAATGTTGTGGTATTATCCATGCACTATTCATGACAAAAGCATTCAAATTAGTAATATTTATGTTCTACACTTCTGTGCAAGTCTTATCAGAGTGATCTTCATTTTATAACAAAATGAACTAAAGTTTCCTTTAAAGATATTAAAGTAAGCTGCAGTAATTGGCAATAGAAGAGCCTTGTTCACAATATAAAGGCTTCTGTGTGTGAAAGGAGACAAGTGAAATAGATAAATATATTTTGCCCCCAGGGGAGACTCTTCCACAGAGAAAGACTTGATTTTACAGAGTTATATAAACCACCAGAGGGGTCACAAAGAACTTACAATTACATCCTAACAAGTATGTACACAATAGAAACAATGGTAATGAGAGAAGAATATGTTCAAATGCATATATGCTTGGTTTTTGTCAGGAGTGTAGGCCTAAATACTACCAGCAATCACATTTTATGTAGGACAGTTGGGTCAGTGAGACTTACATACAAGTTGATTTGTTTTCCCACAATTTATTCAAAAGATGAAATTACCAATAGGATTCAAGCCAAGGAATACAGGTTGTGCCAAGTCTTTACTGAAGTCATTGGAGGGATTTGGATAGATTTGAATGATTGTTTTATTTAACTGATTATATCTCTCTTTTTCTCCCAAACTGGCTATGACAAGTCAAGAATACCTTTTCTGAGTATTAAGCCCTTTGGGATTTCCTATTTTGTTGTCCATTACAGAGCTAGGCTATGGAAACCCACTGAGTGGCCTTGGACAAAACATACTTTCTCAGACTAAACTGAGATTCAAATCCACTAGAAACCAGGTTCTGAATCCCCACTCAGCCATGGAAACCCACTGAGGGGCTTGGACAAAACATACTTTATCAGGCTAAACTGAGGGCCCTTCCGGACAGGCCCTATATCCCAGGATCTGTTTTCTGCTTTAAACTGGATTATATGAATTCATACTACCAGATAATCTGGGATAAACAGAAAGCCTGGGATCAAATCCTGTGCTATAGAACCTGTCTGGAAGGGCCCTAAGATTCAAGTCCACTAGAAATCAGGGTCTTAATCCCCACTTAGCCATGGAAAACCACTAAGTGACTGTGAGCAAGCCATACTCTCTCACCCTCAGAGGAAGGCAAAGCCCTTTGAACAAATCTTGCCAGAAAACTCTGTGATAGGGTTTCTTGGGATTAGTTGGAAATGACATACATAATCACATACAGCAGCAACAACACTCAAAGTGGTGGTCCCTGGACCAGCACTGCTCCTCTCACCATTGGCTAGTGGTCCCTAGTGATCTTCCTGTGGGCACAAATATGGGGCTGCTCTCCAGAAAAATAATTGCCAGTACTCCAAATCAGATAGTGTGAGAGGCACTGGTCTAGTACATATGTATTTCCCGCATCCACATTTTGTAGTGAACTATTAATAAAAGTATACAATTGTGATGAAATGCACTCTGCTAAATCTGTTTATTTCTCTTTAGCTCAAGCTTCCAGTTAATTGAATAGCAGCCTTTCAGGCAAAGTGAGTGAGAAATCTTTCAAATTTGAAAGATGGTTTAATTTTTCTCTACATCATTACTTCCTAATCTAATACTCTCCAAGCATTTTGGTCTATAATTTTAATGAACTCCAGACAATATAGTTATTGGCTAGTGATGATGGGACTTCCAATCTAAAACATCTGGAAGGTGCCAGATAGGGAAAAGGTAGCCTGTATAAATAGCAGACTCTTCTGTTCATGACTGGTAGCCAGAAAATTTCCCTAGCAAACTTACTTGAGATTGGGTTGCTGTAATTTTTTGGGGCTGTATGGCCATGTTCCAGAAGCATTCTCTCCTGATGTTTTACCTATATCTATGGCAGTCATCCTCAGAGGTTGTGAGGTCACAACCTCTGAGGACGCCTGCCATAGATGCAGGTGAAACGTCATGAGAGAATGCTTCTGGAACATGGTCATACAGCCCCAAAAAATTACAGCAACCCAGTGATTCTGGCTATGAAAGCTTCAAGAACACATACATGGGACTCTTTAGTCTAAAACTGCCAGTTCAGGATCACCAAAAACTGTAAAGATTCCAGGCAAAAACCTGATACCTAGAAATGAACCCTTGTGATGCCATATATTAATTTTAACCATACACACATGCAAATAAACAGAGGATATTTTGCTATTTAGACAGAAATCTTAGCAATAGGGCTGTTCCCAAATTAAGATGAAATGAAGGGATTATTCTTTCTTGTGGAGACTTGCACATAGTCCTTTCCCTTTGCCCAGGGATAAGCCCACTAAAACAAGAGGATTGGTTCCTTTGTCTCCTGTTTGGGATTTACCCACAAAAAACTAGAGACTCAGGGCCAGGTCTTGACATATGGCAATCCTAATCAAGTCTCTTCTAGGTGTCTTTCCCACATGCATTCATTTGTTTGTTCAACAGGTAACAATAAGTATCCTGTCTAGATTGTGTTGTATGCTTCCAGTCATTTCCAAGTTATGGCACCTCTAAGGTGATCCTGTCTCAGGGCTTTCTGGAGCCAAGAGTGTGGGACTTGCCCAAAGGCACCCATGGCTGAGTGGAGAATTGAAAGCTCAAACTACTACATCATTCTGGCTCTCTAGATTGCACCTATAGGTGACTTAATGATGATTTAAGAGCTGGGTATATATGAACAATATCTTGCAATATGTTTTGATCTAAACTGTTTATATGTTTTAATGTAAAATTCCAAGGCATTTTATCATGTCAAACAGTATACAATTCTTAGAGACAGATAAAAATATCTGTTCTTTCAGAGTAATAGATGTGACATGTGTATAAACACAATGCCATCTGCAGATGAACAGATCATGTGTGCGACATGAAGAGCAAAGCACAAACCTGGATTGCTTCTGTTGCAAACATTCACACTTCATTCATTTCTCCTTTTCCTGGAATGTAGCCTGGATTGGCTTTCAGAAAGGATTTTCCTGGGAAGGCAGCAGAAATTCAATTTTCTCATTGACTAAATTGTTCAGTGAATCAGTGAAGCAGATCCTTCCAATGATTCATGTGTGGTGATTAAAATTAGCTGTCATTATCATATGATGTTCTCTGTCAGTAAGCGATGCAGCATCCTCCTTAATTGGTTTAATTAAGAACAAGAGGGGATTCCATACAGCAGAGCCGCAGTGGTACTGGCGAGTTATATCACAGCTTGCAGAGAACTGGGAGAGCTCTCTGTCATGAATGTTGCAAAATGAGAACTGGTTACTGGGTAGCAAAAGCAGATGTCCAACAAAGAACTTAAATTCAGGAACATTATATACTCGACTATAAGAATACAAATAATGTTGAGAATGTACTTTTGCTAATGTATTTTTGAACTTTCTAATGTGCATGCAATCTGGTGATAGCTGTCAATATACATGAATTGTTATGCTTTAATTCATGTGGTACAAGGACACACAGTTGTCTTAGTTGCTGCTGGTTTTTTTATAGTTGCTTATTTTGTCAATTTTTCTGGTATTTTAGATCCAATAATATGGGATGAGAAGAAATCCACGGGAAAAGAATTACCACACTGGGTGGCAGCTAACCTAATGATGCCACTGGCTCCTGCATCTTCAATGGTTGTGTAGCAGAGGAAGTTTCAGCAGGTGGTGCTTGCCACTCTAACAAGTATCAAGAAACATTGAAATGCCTTCTTTTGCACAACTATTAAAGATACAGGAGCCCTTTCCAGTTTTCACTCTGGCAACCCTAGTGATGGAGATGTCAATTGCAGCAGATACTGATTTTATTCCAGTGCCAAGTTAAAAACTTGGCTTTTTGTTTAAAATCAGATATTGAAACATAATTCAACACCAAGCAATGCATTCCAGCATTCTATTATTTATTTATTTTATTTACTTAAAACATTTATATTCCACCCTTCTCACCCCGAAGGAGACTCAGAGCGGAGCATAGCATATATACGGCAAACATTCAATGCCAGGACACAAATTCACATGCAATACATAAACATTAAACATTGAAAGAACAGATGTATTTTTAGACATATCAAGGAAGACCTTCCAAATTTGGTGACTTTGTTTTGTGCAAAAACAAGCATTTTTGTGCAGCGGCTAGTATTTGAGCAAAAAGGGTGTCAAAGACAATGTTTGACATAAAATGTGCTTTATGCAAAAATGGTATGTTTTTCCGTTTTGCAATCAAATATTTTGTTAAGAAATCTCAAGGCATGACAAAACTGTCATCCATTGCTAAGAAAACTTTTGCTCTTATTTTTTTTCTCCATGAAAGAATGAAATAAATACAAAATTTGATCTTTGATAGATAGATAAAAACTCACTCACAATAGGCATGAATGTAATTCTTAGCACAGCAGGCTAAACTGCTGTGATGCAGAAAAATCCTGCCAATCAAAAGGTTGCCAGTTAGAGCCCGGGTCTGGGGTGACCACCCGCCGTGAGTCCCAGCTCCCTGCCCACCAAGAAGGTCTAAAGCAGAAACGCAAGTAGATAGATACCACTTTTAGTGGGGAGGTAATAAAGGTGCCCTTAAGGACATCAATTAGAGGAAAGCTCCTCGGCATAGAAGATGGGGCACCCCCTTGTGGCCAGAGTTAAGCACAACCTCCAAGATGCCAGAAATAAGATGGGAAAAACTACCTTTACCTCTGTTTGTGTTGTCTGTCCTTGTTAATTCTATTGGCATCATTGAATGTTTGCCGTATGTGTGTTTTATGAGCCACTCTGATTCCCCTTCAGAGTGAGAAGGGCGGGGTATAAATACTACAAATAAATAAATAAATTCAAGCACATATTATTAGACTTCACATTCTCATTTCTTGGTACGCTCAGGTAAATATGAATCAAACAGTATTCATATTCAAACCGAACAATAACCAAATTTTAATTTGTTTGGTGCGTGTAATATTTTGGATAAAAGATAAGCAGGGGAATTAAAATATCATGGAATAGTACTTGGTATTTTGGTGTATTTCTCTTTAAAAATATACCTTCATTTTCCAAACTTTCACCATCATGTGAACACTTGAAACTGAACACAGACTTGAGACCAATTTATAGACATCTCTAATCACTAAAATAGCATCCTGCTATTAGTGTGTAAATATAGTAAAGGATTGATTTTGTTTAATCTGAGAAAAATGCTTTCAATTTTGGGAACATTGCTTCCTTGGGGATCTGAATGGCTACTAGATTCTTTGCAATGTATATTTTATATACACACATTCCTTTTAAAGCAAGTGGTGAGTTGTTTAATTTGTTCTTGACCTTCTGTTCCAAGGAAAAGGATGTTCTGGTGTTAACGCTGAGGTTTTTTATACAGCCACAAAGAAAAAGGGGGAAAAATTGAAAGGGCCATTAAGATGATAAATGAAAAACAGGATATTCTGTTATTACAGGTTATGTTCATTTTCCTTAAAGGGAAAGAAGGGCTATTTCTTTTTACTTATTCTGTAATCCGCCATGTGTTTACACTCTAAAAACTTTCCAAATATAATGCTTCAGACAAGAAATAACTAACTGCACTCAGTCTTATGGTCTATTACATAGTTAATCATTGTATTATTGTAACTGCAACACATTGGAGTTGTGTGGAGAGTTTAGAAGGAAAATATGAAAATTCTTTTAAGCTGCCTTGAATCACATCATGGGAGAAAAATAGGATATCGCTTTAATAAACACAACAATAAGTAAAATTTTAGTTATACTGGCTGGGGAATTCTGAGATCTCTAGTCCAAAAAGTAACTTTTCTTAGCTCTGATAAAACCCAGGCAGATGAACTCCCATTATTGCTTGCTTTGAACCAATCTGCCCAGTGCAACTTTGTTAATTTGAGTGGTTTCCAAACTAAATTTGGGGGTTTTATAAGGCACTCAGTAGAGCAAATTCCTGTTAATTGGTCAGTTGGAAACACTGTCGTTTTTATTTGGCAGTGGTTTATTTATTTGTGTAATTTTCAGTGAGACTACTGAATTGAATTGGAAGCTGGGAAAACAATGCTTATTTCGAAACTAAACTCAGGAGCAGTTTAACGTCTGAAAAAGCCAACTGAATACCAACCATAAAATAACAAGATTAGACATATGAGTTTGAAGGCAATTTTATGGATCTAAAATTTTTAGATTATTTTGTTCTCAGGGCTATTTTATAAAGAGGGAGAGAAAACTGATGTGGGTATCTGCCCCGTGACCACCTTTTCAGCCCACCTTTAGGTGAAAATGCCTAACCCCAAGGGACAGTCGTATATCGTGGGCTGTCCTTATCAGCCAATCGTATCCGGAAGAGTAGCCTCAGAGATTTTATAAGGGAAAGTTCCCCCTAAGCTAACCCCAAAGGTGATCTCTTTCCCAGCTTCTCACTCTCCACCCAAGAAGGTGTATACCAACAAAATCCCTCCCTCTCCAATCATTACCTGCCATTAAAAGGTCTATTTAGGGCACCACCTTAAGCCAATTTTGTCTCTGATATTTCCTAATCTGCCCATATATTGTAAGTACAGTAGAGTCTCGCTTATCCAACCTTCGCTCATCCAACTTTCTGTATTATCCAACACAGTCTGCCCTCCCCACTCCCCACACCACCCCACCCAGATACACAGCTGTTTCAATACATTGTAATGTTTTGGTGCTAAATTCGTAAATACAGTAGTTACAACATAACATTACTGTCTCGTGAACTGCTTTTTCTGTTAATTTGTTGTAAAACATGATGCCACCTTTGGGCTGATATGGGCAGGGTAAAAATGATGTAAATAAATGTTTTTGTGCTTAATTGGTAAAATCATAATGTAATTTAACATTTAATAAGCTTTTCCATAATCCCTCCTTATTGTCCAACATCTTTGCTTATCCAACGTTCTGCCAGCCCGTTTATGTTGGATAAGCGAGACTCTACTGTATATCCAAGCAGAACAGTTAAGAGTACAAATTAAGTAAATTACTAAAAAGACTGAGGACCACAGTAAGAGGTCTTAGGTTTGGATCCACTCAAATAAACTGGACATTTATGTGACTGATACAAACCAAGAGAAGTATCAGCTTGAGGAAAACAAATGTTCACGTTAAGGGTATTGTGCAAATTTCTCTTGTTTGCATAGGTATAGCTACAAAATAAGTTTTGTTATGCTAAAAAAACAGCACTTTCCCCAGTGTGTAGATGGCATGGAGGTTTATCTAACATTCCCTAATTCATTATTCTTTAAAATATTAATGCTGGTTACAGAAAAAATGTGTTGTGGATCACGCTGATGTTCCCCATCTCTTCTGTTTTTATTTTTCACTGAAATATCATGAGGATAAACTTAAATAATTCTCTTTATGCTTAGAGTTTGTTTCCGCAGTAGACAATGTTCAAGCAACCATGCTTTGATGCTCTATATCTCTGAGAGGTTAACATTTGTCTCTGCGTTGCCCTTGGGAGAAGAGTATGCGGTGTTAGAAATACATCCTAATTTATTGTGGGTTAGGAACAAACATAGTTATGCATTTTTAAAACGGACAAACAAGATTTGCTCTTTGTTGCGTTATAGGTTGCTGATTTAGTGAAGACCTTTGTACCAATTGTTTTTCCACAGATACCATTTACTCAGGGGAAATTGGAACAAAGAAAAAGTTAAAAAGACTGTTAAGCTTTCAGAGATATTTCCATGCATCCAGGTTATTACGTGGAATCGTACCACAAACCTCACTGTATTTGCTGGATGAAGACTACCTTGGTCAAGCAAGGGTAAGATGCATCTCTGAAAAATGCAGTCCTTATAGACAAGCCAAATGCAAGCAATCAAATCCTTAAGCCAGGATAAGCACAAATATCCTGCTGTGGGAGTAATGAAAAAACTACGCTTGAGAGAAGTTTCTAGATTCTTTTAATTGTTTTTGGAAAAGGAGATGTTTGCAGGAGCACAGAGATCATAAACTGATGTTAAGACAGGAAAGATAATCTGAATTGGACCAGTGGCTACTGATGGCATATAGCAAATGCATGAAACATAGCAAAGGATATTTCTTTGAATTTAATACCTGGTACTTAATCAAACTGGAGCAGTAGTTCTCAACCGGTGGGTGTCCAGATGTTTTGGCCTTCAACACCCAAAAAGCCTAACAGCTGGTAAACTGGCTGGGATTTCTGGGAGTTGTAGGCCAAAACACCTGGGGACCCACAGGTTGAGACTCACTTCTCTAGAGAATGAATCCATTTTCAATCTGTTAAAAGTTCCTCCCTAACTACAAACCCCAGAATTCTGCAGGAGGCAGAAGCCAGATTTAAAATGGATTTATTCTCTAGGGTCCCCAGGTGTTTTGACCTGCCCCTCCCAGAAATCCCAGCCAGTTCACCAGCTGTTAGGATTTCTGGGAGTTGGAGGTCAAAACATCTGGGAACCCACAGGTTGAGGACCACTGATCCAATGGCTTCAATGTAAATGGAGCAATGAATCAACTCCAGGCTTTAATAGAATAGCCAAAGTACTGAATCCTATACCCAGAGTAGGTTCAGCAGCTTTGAATGTCCTTTTAAAGTGGATCTGCAGACATCGGATCACCAATGAGATATGAGCCATCAGCAATCGGATTTTAAGTTGATTCATTCTCTAGTGTGATGAAGAATTCAAATGTTAGTTGCAGGATCTGAATTCCAAGATAAGATATCGCAGTGTAAATCCATGCCCCCCCCCCCCCAGTCAAATTCAGGAGAGAATTTCATCCATGTATGTAACTAAAGCAGGGGTTGAAACAGAATTACTTACAAACGAGTCTCTCTCTTAACCTGTAATATTTTTGAGTGATTTACAGGTGTGTTTAGTTACCATATTCATTTTTTAAATATCCATGAAGGCCAAAGTAGCATTTTAGAAGCTATTACTCTTGGAAATACATTTTATTAAGCAAATAAATTGTGACGTATTTTTGCCATCTGATATTCTCTTGCATGCTGGCAAAAACCAAGCAGCAATTATGTTGTTTATGGGGCAATCCTATATGTAGTTCTTCAGTCATTTCAAGAGGGCTAAGTCGAAGATCAAAGGTAAAGGGACTGATGTCTCGGGATTAAATAATGAATAGATTTGTAATGATTAGTAGTACAGTCCTTTCACATTTCATAAATAAACTAAAGGATAACAAATGGCATGGAATAAATGATATAATGTTCTAAAATTAGAAGGTTATATCATGTTCTTAAATTGTTATTGATTGGCCACTTGTTGGATGTTTATTTCCCCACAAAATGATAAAGTAACATACCGTTGGGTTGCTGTGAGTTTTCTGGGCTGTACGGCCATGTTCCAGGAGGCATCCTCAGAGGTTGAGAGGTCTCTTGGAAACTAGGCAAGTGAGGTTTACATATCTGTGGAACATCCAGGGTGGGAGAAAGAACTCTTGTCTGCTTGAGGCAAGTGTGAATGTTGCAATTGGCCACCATGACTAGCATTTGATGGCCTTGCACCTTCAAAGCCTGGCTGCTTCCTGGGAGGTGATAACTGACTCTGATTATTTCCTGTCTGGAATTCCCCTGTTTTTTAGTGTTGCCCATGTTTTTTGAATGTTGCTTCTAGAACATGGTTATACAGCCCGGAAAACTCACATCAACCCAATGATTCCGGCCATGAAAGCCTTCAACAACATGTTAATATAACATTATTTTTTATTTTGGATTGTAACCATGACTATCCTTTGTCATTTATATTTCCAGCACATGTTGTCTAAAGTGGGATTGTGGGATTTTGACATTTTCCTATTTGACCGCTTGACAAATGGTAAGTTCTTTTTTATAAAGCAAACCACATTATGAAATCTCTTTCCAATAGTGATGCTATTGTTTATTACTAATTGGCTCATCAACCTTGATTTTTCTTTATTGGTAGAGATTTATCCCTTGCAAACAGTGGAGTTCGGAGGAACACGGGAGGGGGTGGGGTGTCAAAAATATGCATTGCTGGAACAGCACAAGTGTGTGCCATGGAATCTGTCTCATATGTTCCAAAAAATCTTGACCGATTTTGACTCATAGGTCCCAGTTCCCAAAATTTGGGGGAAATTGATGAAAATCTCTAGTGTTTTCCTGTCCAAGCTGATAGACAATGCCCTTCCTCTTGTCATATACAGAAGTCAACTAAAGTGGACTACTGGCAATAGAACAGCATACGCCATCACAGCTGAGGCCAGCAGGCCAGATTTAGGGAACATAATAAGCAGTGGGGTGCAAACAGTTTGATAAAATCTGCAGAGGCTCAGGAATAAGACTTTCTTGAGACAGCTTCATTCTTTGTATTGTTAGGAGCATTTTGGTGGCTACAAATGCTTGAACAAATTTGTAAAATTTGCCATTGTCAGACATTATTGGGCTGCAAAAGGAGCCTCTTGTTTTTCATAGCTGCTGACACTTATTTTCGTCCCCCCCCCGCCCCCCCCCCCGATGCTTGTCAATTTCCACCTGCCTCTACTCAGTTTGTAAAAGCCCGACTGGCACAAAAAATATTGGCCAGAAGAAGAGCAGGGGCCATTCCGGAGGAGTTAGGACAGTCAGAAAAGATAACAAGAAAATACTGGGTTGCTGTAAGTTTTCAGGCTGTGTGGTCATGTTCCAGAAGCATTCTCTCCTGATGTTTCGCGTGCATCTATGGCAGTCATCCTCAGAGGTTGTGACCTCACAACCTCTGAGGATGCCTACCATAGATGCAGATGAAATGTCAGAAGACAATGCTTCTGGAACATGGCCATACAGCCGAAAAAACTTACAGCAACCCAGTGAATCCAGCCATGAAAGCCTTCGACAACATATTAACAAGAAATTTTAACCTGGCATTGGAAGGCAAATGAAGGCATTATTCCTCTAAAACGAATTTGGTGACTGAAGAAAACCTTTATTTAGGCAACAGAATGTGTATGGTTGTGCAATACATTCAGTGTATGACTTCATTATCACAGCGGTAGCCACCAACTTGGGACTTTACAGGAAGACTAGATGCTCTTATGGAAGAAAAGTCCAGCAATAATAATTACTGATCATGGTGAATAAGTGTTAGCTTCAGTATCAGAGACAATATGCCTTGGACTATTTATTTATTATATTGTGTTTGTTTACACCCTACTTTTTCTATCCACAAAAGAGACTCAAAGCAGTTGATGTTACTGTATCTTACTTGCACAAGTGTTACACTGTTGCAATGTTGTGCTTTCCTGGATGGGTGTTGTTGGCCTTAGTGGGAAGGGATGCTAGACTAGAAGACATGGTTCTCAGGGTTGTGGTTCTGGGGGTTGAGGGATAAGGCAAAACAAGAGCATTGCTCCCCTATCAAGACTTTTTCCAGCACAAATGAAATGTGCCTTGAGATCCCAAATTTCCAGCATTGCAGTAACTTAAACTTTAGTTGAGCATTTAGAGATACAGTTTAGGGGCCAATAGAAAAGTGACAGGCGAAAGTACAAGGCAAATGTAAACACAGCAAAAATAAAATTTATAGATTGAATGCTTTTCAATGTTTCCCTCTCTGCAATGCTATACAATTTCAGAATGAAGTAAAATCTCATTCTGGGGGCAGAATTCTTAGGAAAGATTAGTATCCCATTTTGCTCTCCCATTCTGCACCATTTTCCTCCCTGTGGTTCATCATATGCCTGTCTATCTTACTTTGCCCATCTCCTTCTATAAACTCAGATGCTTGCTTTAGACATAAAACCAAAGCAAACTAGGAAGCATCTTTTAAAAAGAAATACTTATCTATATATAATTATTGAGCTTCAATGAGTTAAGAATCCAATAATCAATACTATGTAAAGTAGGGTTCCTGTATCTATGCTGGTAATGTTCCTAAACCAGGAAACCAACCCCATAGGTGGGATAATATGGAAGTTGTATTGTATATTCCCAAAATTTATAGGATTTTAATTCTCTAAGGAATCCAAATTCTGGATCTAAATTGGTCTGTTTTTGATGCAATGGTGCCTTTTCTGAAAATTAAAAGGACAAATAATCAGTGCAACGTCCAGCCCAAATATTGTGGGAAGCATGATCTCTCATGTTAATAGCTCAAAAGACTATTTACACTAAATGGTATTTATCCCACAGGCCAAATATGTAAGTACCCTGCTTTCAGTGGTAAATGGGACATTTTAAGAAACTGTGAAATTTAATTGGCATTTACTGTACTTGATGAAACAATGCATTATTCATCTACTTTGTAATAATTTGTTTGACATTGGATGCAGTTAAAGTCAGCTGGTCAGCCGGTTATAAAACTCACTAATCTTCAGATGGTGATGACATGAATAAGGGTAGATTGGAGCTTTATTTTTAATCATTCCTTGAGTGAGGTCAAAGTGATCCTCTCGCCAAGGCCATTGGGAGGGGTAATTTCTCTGAAATTTCTGGCTGGGTTCCCTAGGGTGCCAAGGATTTTCTAGGGTTTTTTCTAGAGTTTTAAAAAAGTCAGATGATTTCCTCATTGCAGATATAGATGAATAACCTACAGTTACAGGAATGTAATTGCTCCATGTTTGCTAATTACATTCCTGAAACTGTCATGATTGTACCACTATTGCCACAATCATAAATGCCTTCCCAAACTTACTTTACTAGGCCACAGTCACACTGAGAGGATAACATTTCCATGTCTCTTCTGCCAATTTCTTATTTGCAAGCCTCACTCATTAGAAAGACGGGGTGGAAACCTCATTCTCCTAGACCCCAGCTGCCAGCTGAACAGACCTACCTCCTTTGGTGCCACTGCTGTCTGATGAAGTAGATTTGATGACATGGGGGGTTGAAAGAGGGGACATATAGCTACACAAGGAAACTAAGTAGGTGATATGGAATATGGGCCATCACTTAAAGCCCCAAATGACTCATACCAGAAGAAGGCTTTGGCCTATAAAGCCCTAAATGGCCCCGGTCCAATTTACTTGCCGAACCCATCTCCCTCTATCAACGATCACGGAGATTAAGATCCTCCGGTGACGCCGTGCTCTCTGTCCCACCAATGTTACAGGCGCAATAGGCGGGGATGAGAGAGAGGACCTTCTCAGTGATTGCCCTTCAGCTATGGAACTCCTTTCCTGGTGAGATTAGATCAGCCCCCTCCCTCCTCTCCTTCAGAAGGATGGTAAAACCTTGACTGTGGAACCAAGCCTTTGGAACAGTGCAATAAGGCAGCAACAGGAAACCTTACCATGCCAACCAATAATTGAGATGGTTTTAAACAGTGGTTATAATGTTGAAATAAATGATTTTAATGTTTAGGCATGTGTATAATCTATTTATGTCCCAGCATTAAATGTTTGACATTGTATGTTGTGCTTCGCCCTGAGTCCCCTTTGGGGTGAGAATGGCAGAATATAAATGTTTTAAATAAATAAATAAATAAATTTGGCTTTCTGCTGTGTACCCTACATTGCATATCCTGGGAGTAATACCATATCACAATATGCTGCTCCTATACTGGTCTGGAAAGGTGGCTGGTACAGAATGGTGCGAGTCTTTCTTCATAGCTTCCTATCAGCCACAATTCCCCGATATTTTGGGAGTGATGTGCCATCTAGTTCTATCTCTTCAAATGCATTTTAGGAACCTGAAGAGAGATTTGGTCCACTTCTTGAGCAAAGTGGGTTCTTTACAAAAAATAATAATTAAGAAGCATGGATGGGTGAGAATGGGAAAACCATTGGCTACCTCACGATCTTACCATTGACACAGGGGAAGAAGGAGGGAAGGAAGGAAGGAAGGAAGGAAGGAAGGAAGGAAGGAAGGAAGGAAGGAAGGAAGGAAGGAAGGAAGGAAGGAAGGAAGGAAAGAAAGAAGGAAAGAGCAACAATTTCCCCACCTATCCCCAAAGAAAACAATAAGAAACTGATTGTGTCTTAGAAGAGGTAGAATATTTGGGGTGGGATGAAGAAATTTTGTGCCAGTGGTTTTAGTGTTGGACTAGGACTGAGTGAGGCCAGGACTTGAACTCCTGCTTATCCAGAGAAACCTACTAGAAATAGTTTATGCATTAAATGAAATGGAGCAGGTATATTAACCATATGCAAATCTAAAAGTTCTAGTTGTGAACTGTTTTCACTTCATCACTCTCTGTAATGTTAACAATTTGGGGACTGATGAAAAATTGCATTTTATTTGGAGTGGCACTGCCCTGCTTCCCTCCCCCTGCAACTACACTCTTGGGTTTCAGTGAGAGATAAATAGATAGACAAGTGTATTACTTTTGACAGTAGCTCCCTAGTCTTAGATCAAGTCTCCTTCCCAAACCCACTGCCTTTGGAACTAACAGATGCTGTGGGATTCCATTCCTGCATCTTTCACTGTCTAGCTGTTTCTGTATCTGCTTTTTGATGGCAATCCTTTGGGGTGGGGGGGGGGGTTGGTTACCCTTCCTGGAAGACTGCTGGAAGACTGCTCATAGCAACAGAGTTTCATACAATTCTGGTTTTATTTTACCATGGAAATAAAATGATTTTCAGGGTGATGGTGCCTGGAAGCTTGTCGTGTTCTCAAGCCATAACAATACAACTTTGCATTCCATTAAAGCCACTCCTGGAGTTCAACCAAGGACAGTGCTAGTGGGACAAAACAGTTGTAGAAATTACAAGGTGGCTAATTAAAGAATTGGTTGCTGCCATGACTAGTGTTCTGAGCTGTTTTTTCAATTTAATACGAGCCTTTGTATTCTTTCAGGAAACAGCCTGGTAACTTTACTGTGCCACCTCTTCAATGTACATGGGCTTATCCACCATTTCCAATTAGACATGGTTACGTTACACAGATTCTTAGGTAAGTACTTTCTTCATCTCTTTATTAGTGTTGACAGATGTAAAGGGTCCCTTCAAATATTTTGAAAGTGCCAGAGAACATGGCCTGTAAAGGGATTAAAGGAGTTCCAGTCTTCCAACAGATTTTCTTTTTTGTTTTGCAGTATTCCCCACCTTAATTCTGTGGCAAATAACACTTTAGTTACACCCACTCTGGTTCTTCTTCTTTTTGCTCTCTTAGATATAAACAAATAATCCAAGTGAGTGTTACAGATATGTATGTTATAGAGCAGGCATGGGCAAACTTCGGCCCTCCGGGTGTTTTGGATTTCAACTCCCACAATTCCTAACACTTACTTAGGCAATCCCTCATAGCTTGAGAATGATTGTCTTCCAGATGTGGTGTCTTGGCAGTGGGTCTGTAGGTGGCTGTGGAGCCCTATACTTGATCCGCATGTTCTCCCGCGGTGAGGACATTGGTTTCCCAATGGAAGGCGGTCCCAGTCAGGGTTGGCTTGATGCACCTTCCTCTTGGCACATTTCTCTCTTTCGCCCTCCATGTGTGCCTCTTCTAATTCCGCAGCACTGCTGGTCTCAGCTGACCTCCAGTAAGATGCTCAAGGGCCAGGGCCTCCCAGTTTTCGGTGTCTATTCCACAATTTTTAAGGGCCAAGGTTTGCCCATGCCTGTTATAGAGATTCAAGTTTTTTTTCTTATTAATAAAAAACACTTACTTCCAAAATTTGCACTATGCTTTCTGAGCTGAGATACTTCAGAATTTACTTTCATAAACACTGATCTTTCTGGGGGGGGGGGGGGGAAGGGGGGGGGGAAGGATTTATAAGCAGGAAAAGGGCTATCAGGAAAAGGGGTAAGCGGCATCCCCTTTCTCATTTCCTTTCATTTAGTATGGCTCCAATAGCCACAAAAGACATATTTCTGAACTTAAAATGGAAAATAGCAAACCCTGTTGAAGTGATCAAATGTTGCCCGAGGTTACCATAGAACAGGCATGGGCAAACTTTAGCCCACCAGGTGTTTTGGACTTCAACTACCTACTGCCTGCTATAGAGTCATGCTGGAGAAAGTAGAAAATTGCTAATAAGGTGTCTCTGTGTACCAGTACCAATAGTTTCATTTACCTTGAGGAGGATTTCATGGTAATTTCTGTTTTTGTTTTCGTTTTTCATATCAGAAGCGACTTGAGAAACTGCAAGTTGCTTCTAGTGTGAGACAATTGGCCGTCTGCAAGGATGTTGCCCAGGGAACTCCCAGATGCTTTACCATCCTGTGGAAGACTTCTCTCATGTCCCCATGTGAGAAGCTGGAGCTAACAGACAGGAGCTCACTCCACTCCCTGGATTTGAACTGCCAAACCTTTCAGTCAGCAGTCCTGCAAGCACAAGGGTTTAACCTATTGCACCACTGGGGAATTTCTGGTGGAGGCACACCAGAGAATCTTGGAGGACCTAGGAAATCTCTAGAGACGGCCTATTTTGTCTGGTGCTGGCAGGTAAAACTGTGGGTACTGGTACGTGATCATACTGTACTTACAGTTTTATGAGGTTTCTTCCACTAGAAAGAATATATTGTTTGCCTTTCTGAGCAAAATGTCATTTGGATCCAAGTAAAATATCACCTCAAAATTTGAAGCAGAAAAGATTTTATTAGGAATATTTATTCACTTGTTTAATAAATCATTCTGTCAGTATTGGCAGCTAGCAATGTGTTCCACAATGAAGGCTTTCTTCTTTCATCCCCATTAGCCTTATGCAAAGTATGCTCATCTCCAACTCTACCCATATTCATGTTGTCCTTGCTGCTGTTGTAGTTTACAGTCAGACCAGCTTCAATTTGCAGTCATGTTGTGAATGAGAGACCTCTAAGAGACAGCAACCTTCCTTGATGAAATCCATCTTCCTGCAATGCCATCTTCCTCTTTCCCTGTTACTCTCCAATTCACCTACCATTATCACCTTTTCCAATTATTTATTTGTATCATTATTTGTATCATGTAATTTCTAAAGTAAGTCAACCTCCGTTTAGCTGTTTTGACTTTTATGGAGAATTCAAGCCTAATTTGCTTTCAGACCCATTTGCCTGTATTTTTTTTTTTTACTGTTTGTCTATGGCCTTCATGCATTGCCTCAAAGTCCTTCAGGGCCCCCGAGGCAATGCACAGTTAATACAAAGCATTAAAACAACACATAGATGAAAACTTTTAAAAACAAACTTCAAGTATGTCTTAAAAACAATTTAAAGCCAAATAGTTAAAGCAGCCAGAGCAGTTGCAAGGTTGGTTATCCTCTCCCAATGTCACCCCCTTTTACTGCTGGTGCCCAGTAGCTTCACCTTTCAATAGCTTCACCACTGTTTCGCCATTGGAGCCATCCATTCTCTTTTGCTGATGCAGCCATTGATCCCCGAAGAGGATGGACTCATCTTACTCTGGTTTCTTAACTCTGAGTAGTAGGCCTTGGACAACTTTCCCAAGAGACTAGACTAGGCATGGCCAGACTTCAGTTCTCCAGGTGTTTTGAACTTCAACTCCTAAGAATTGTGGGAGTTGAAGTACAAAACACCTGGAGTGCCAAATTTTGGCCATGCCATATCTAGACTCTTGGAAAAGCTCAACCACTTGATGGTTTTTATTTCAAGTTTCACTGTCATGATCACAGTTAAGGTATGCGAAAGGCTCTACCAATGCTCCTAGTCTTATAATAATTGATTACTGAGATCTTTAAGTATTTCAGGTCAATCCAGGTAGGCATTCAGAAAACAAGGACTTGTTACTAGTTAGCATTGCAGGCATTTCATCTAATTCATTCTCTCTCTTAGGGGAGGGGAGGAAGTTGTGGCATACAATCTGCTTGTGATACATCCTAAATTTTTGGTGCTGTCCCTGGAGCCAATGGGCTTATTGTGGTTGCATCTCTCCAACAAGACAAGGCAACGCTCTACCACATCTTGTTATGCCCCAAAATAGTCATGCCCCTAGACATGAAGTAACCTTTGCCATTTAGAACTTCTGTGCTGGACTTGTAAAAGTTAGGTCCAGGATATTCCCCTTCCCACCACTAGAAGTTCCGATAAAATCCTAATCTTTTCAACTTTGATCCAAAAGGACAAAGGATCTGAAAGGGAAATGAAGGGAAAAGTTTCTGCTGTCCAGAATGTAATATGTCCCACAGCGTAGCGGGTTTTCCTATTAATGAAACCAGAGACATATTGCACAAGCAAAAGCATGTCCTCATGCAAAAAAAAAAAAAACATTCTTACACAACAAAATCCTTTGTTTCATGAGGGCTGGCTTTCATTCTCCTCTCTCCCACCAGCATCAGTTTCTGTATGTTTCATATCTTCCTGGCAATGGATTGCAACTGTATCTTCATTTTTCTACACAGTTTTTTTTAAGTTCACATACTGAATTTATGTACTTCTGGAAATTTTCCCTATGACCAAGAAATGAAGCCATAGAGAGACTTAATTGAATTTTGCAAGGCCAACAGTTTGTTAATCACAAATACATTTTTAAAGCTACCAAAGAGGCAACAGTACAAATTGACACTGTAGAAATCAAATCTGCAACTGCTCAATAAACTGTGTTCAGAGATGAGGATAACTATTATTATAATCAATGAGGAGACATAGAGGAGGATAACATAGAAGGATTAACAAGAGGACTCTTCCACAAGATCAAATAAATCAAAAGGAAATTTATACCAAGAGTGGGGGTGCCTATGACCCCAGGAGGACACATTACCCAAATGGAAATAAAAAGATGAGGAAAACAGTGCACTGAAGAGCTGTATAAATAATATGAAAGAATGACAAATCCATTCAAGGAAGACCCGTTTAAACATGAACTTCTAATTTTAGAAAGTAAAGCAGGAGGTGAATTCAGGGCCCTTCCTTACAGCCCTATCTCCCAGGATATCAAGGCAGGAAATCCCATATTATGTGAGGGTGGGCTCAGATAAACCAGCTCAAAGCAGATATTGTGGGATTGTATGGCTGTGCGGAAGGGCCCTCAGAGCCCTTGGAAGAAATAATTCACAAGGAACAAATGGCATACCAACAGATCTACTTCAATCTACAGAGGTGGAAACTACTCTCGTTCTAACTAATATCTCCCTAGAACTATAGATGACCAGATTAAGACTATCATGCTATGGACATAGCATGAGAAGATGGGCCCTTCCACACAGCCCTATATCCCAGAATATCAAGGCAGAAAATCCCACAATATCTGCTTTGAACTGGATTATCAGAGTCCACACTCAGATAATGTGGGATTTTCAGCCTTGTTATTCTGGGATATAGGGCTGTGTGGAAGGGCCCAGTGTGACTCATTAGAAAAGAGAATAATGTTAGATAAGACAGAAGGCATTGGAAAGAAAGAGAACCACATTACAGATGAATATGTCCAGCCAAAGGACATTGTTGATAGGATGTCTAGGCGGTCTCTCATTTATAGAATCATCACAAATCTAAGTCAGGAGTTCACAATAACACAGTTATTTTGGTTTTTATTAGACCAACATTCAGTGTAAATTTTCACATTTTTCAGAATTTTTCAACACGGCAAGAAGGTAAACAGAGCCAAAAAAATGGCATTAACTATTTTGCCTGGTAAATTTTTCTGGTTTTTAATCTTTCAAGGAGAACATCGCATGTATGTCCATTTGTCTTTTTTTTCATTGCGGCATCTGCTGGTCAGTGAGACAAACTGCACACTCAAAAATTCATTTCTGAAAGAGTGAAACTTTTTCAAAGACTATTCTGACAAGCAGGAAGAAAAGAATTGTGCTCTTCTGCATTGAGAGATTATTACTGACAAATGCAAATTTTGGGTTGGTTCAGTCCAAAACACCACAGACTAGTGATAGAGATAGACAGACTTATAAAGTATCTCATTTACTCAATAAGAAACACTTCTCAATTTGCATTTATTAAAAAAATTATGTTTTATCAAATTCATGAAACATTTTGAGAATGTTGATAAAGTGCTTCTTTAAACAAACAGAAGATTGTTTCTAAACTACACCAGAAAAATTAAAGTGATACAGTTATTCTCTTTAATTTTGCTACTGTAGATTAGCAATAGTGTTGTCAGTATTTTTTAAAGTAACAATTTACCTTAATTTTCTAAGATTTTAATTAATTTGATTAAACAAAATTGAGATTTAAGAAGGTATGGCTATTTTCAATTGTAAATATTCTAAAAGAACTAGATCCTCCCTGATTTTGGAAGTTTAACGGGTCATCTGTGGATCCCCAGATGTTTTGGCCTTCAACTCCCAGAAATGCCAGCCAGTTTAGGATTTCTAGGAGTTGAAAGTCAAAACATCTGGGGACCCACAGGTTGAGAACCACTGGTCTAGATGGGAGATAACCAACAAAAACCATGTGCTTTATACTATATTTCAGGGAAAGAGCTGGCGAAACCTTTGAGTATTTCTTATCTAAGAGGTTGTCCATTGTTTGTATCCAGTCAAATTGTGTATTCTCTTTGGGGAGATGGTGGTGGGGTACAAATAAAGTTGTTGTTGTTATCATCATCATCATCATCATCATCATCATCATTATAAACACAACAAGATGAGTCCACAGCAGACAAGATCACTCTGCCAGCTGTTGTATTGGATCACACGTCGGACACTTCCCAAGTGTCTAGGACTGTGTGATGTATCGGCGAATAATGCATGCACATCCCAGTAAGGTGGCCTTTTGAAGCTGGCAGATGGTAATTTTGTCAGCGCTGATTATGTTTTAGTGCAGGCCAAGGTCTTTAGGCACTTCACCTAGAGTGCCGATCACCACTGGGGCCACCTTTACTGGCTTGTCCCAGAGTCTTTGCAGTTCAATCTTTAAATCATATCATGTCAGCTTTTCCAGTTGTTTCTCTTCAATCCTGCTATTGCCTGGGATTGCAATATGGACGATCCCTACTTTGTTTTTTAACATGATCATGAGGTCAGGAGTATTGTGCTCCAAAACTCTGTCAGTATTATTATTAATCAGTATTATTATTATTATTATTATTATTATTATTATTATTATTATTATTCAACACGTGAAGAAGGTACATGCATACGTGTGTGTGTATTTATATAGGTGTATACATACCCATACTTACATACACACAGTTATGCTCAGCACAGAAAGAATCCGTTTATGCCTGCCTTCGATGTTTCTGTTCAAGATTAAAACCCTCTAATATAAAAAAGTGGTGGCAAACCTAATTCAGCACAGCAAACTAGGGTGGCTACACATGCATTCAAATCCAGATTGTTTAAGAGGCAAGAAGTCACATTGCTTTGGACAGATGGAACTAACAGTTGGTTTTGCTTTCATCCACATTTGATCTTTTTTTTAAAAAAAACTTTCTATTTTAATTATTGCAAATAATGAGAAAATCTTATTTAAGAAGGAATTGAACAACATTATCAGCCATACCTATTTTTTTCTGAACTTGCCTGACCAGAGGAGAAAGGTTCTTAAGGAAGACTCGGGAGAATATGATGTTTTACTTTACATCTTCAATGAATGCATTGCCAGTGTGGTCATGGCAAAATTGAATTATGAGCTGATGTTCCTATTAACTCTTCAGAATAGCTCTGCCCTTTTTATAACAACGGAAAATGTCCCATTCTGTCTTACATTCTTTCTGAGTGTAGAGTTAGTGTGACATTTTTCTACCAGTTCTCTGTGAATTGAAATTGGGCGTCTGCATGGACGATTTCTCACTTTTTATGCTATGAGGAGCTGAAAGTTGTCAACTTCTCTGCCAATTTTCCAGATGAAATGAGCTAGTCTAGAACTGGAAAGTACAGTTAACTGGGGAGTTTTAACATGCCAGTTTTTAAAAAGTGATAAAACTCACAGAGGACTGAGAATATGTTTGTTTCAGTATATTGCAGAATTTAGGGAAAGTTAATTTGTAGAGACCAGTTCCCCAAATCCTCAAGTCAGCATGATCAGTGAACATAGTAATGCCAAAAGTTTCTGGGAATTATAGTAAAAAAAAAATATCCCTCCCATATGTCTATTGAAGATATTGTGAACCATTTTCTTAAAGAATGTGGAATCCTCTCACTAAAAAAAAAAATCCCTTTTCATGGAGTCATATGTATTCACTGGACTATACATATATTCATTCTGCATATTAGATCTGGCCTCCTTTCACATCACACAATTACAGCACCCCCGGTGGCACAATGGGTCAAACCCTTGTGCCGGCAGGACTGCTGACCAAAAAGTCAGTGGTTTGAATTGGAGGAGCGGGGAGAGCTCCTGTTGGTCAGCTCCAGCTTCTCATGTGGGAACATGAGAGAAGCCTCCTACAGGATGGTAAAACATCCAGGTGTCCCCTGGGCAACGTCCTTGCAGTTGGCCAATTCTCTCACAGCAGAAGTGACTTATAGTTTCTCAAGTCGCTCCTGACATGAAAAAAAATTATAGCACAATTATTCAAACTTTTCTTGTCTGGAATTTTCAGACAATGTTGAATTTTCATCTGTGCCTGATGCAGAGGTTCTCAATCTTTGGTGCTCTCAGTCTTTGGTGCTCTCAGTAACTGGCTGGTCTTTGGCTGTTAGAAATCTTGCGTATTGGCCATACCGGCAAACTATTTGGAAGATGGGAAGATCATTGCCTGATAGTCACATTAGCTGGAAGACCACTGATCTAGAGCATCTCCAAACTTCACATTCCAAGATTCCGCAGAATGTTGTCATGCCAATTAGAGTTCAGCCATAGCACCATAATTTTGTAGCATGAAAGGACCTCTGAATTCAAAGTGGAAGGAAGTTCTTGGAAAAAGTTGAGTACCTCTCTTAGCATTGAATGCTAGGTGATATAGTGAGCATTGGCTGCACTGGGTAAAGTTTGATAATCTTCTGCAGTGCAAATATATTATATTGCTGCAACTCACAGGCACACTTCTATTACAGTAGAGTCTCACTTATCCAACCTTCGGTCATCCAATGTTCTGTATTATCCAACCCAGTCTCCCCCCACCCTCCCCCAGATCCACAGCTATTTCAATACATTGCAATGTTTTGGTGCTACATTTGTAAATACAGTAATTACTACATAATGTTACCGTGTATTGAACTGCCTTTTCTGTCAATTTGTTGTAAAACATGATGTTTTGGTGCTTAATTTGTAAAATCATAACATAATTTGATGTTCAATAGGCTTTTCCTTATTATGCAACATTATTTCCTTATTATGCAACATTTTTGCTTATCCAACGTTCTGCCAGTCCGTTTATGTTGGATAAGCGATACTCTACTGTATTTAAATAGCAGCCAAATAGCAATTCTATGGGGACAGGCAGTTTGTCAGGACCTACAACAGTCCTGGCAAATCTTGCCTCTCCAGAGTTGCCATCCACAACAAGGAAAGCTTTCCTGGAAATGCAAATAGCAACTTCAGAGAGAGCAAGTACTTTTCTTGGAACTTCAGCAAGAAATATATATATATATATATTCATCCGCTTCATCTCTATTCCCATAAGGCTTTCCCTAGGTTTCTCTATACAGTAAAAATATGGAAGGGGACGTGAAGGGTTTCCACAGAATACATGTCTAATTTAGTGGCAATATTGAAATGGATAGGGGCCATTTCATTTCATATTAAAGTAAGTAAAGTGAGGGCAAACAGGGAACAGCTTGGGATGGTTATGGTTTTGAATGACAACTTCCAGAAATCCTCAAGTCAGTATGGATACTGGGCAATTCAAGGAATTGGTAGTCACAAAAAGTAATTTTTCTAAGCTCCATGTCTGGGATTAAGGGCCCCTTTCCTGTTGTTGCTTTTGAAGGTTCAGCCTCCCTTCCTTGATCCATGTATGAAAATAGTCTGCAGTCATTACCCATCATATATTCTCTCTTTCCTTCCCTAAAACGCTATTTATTTTTCTTCAGAAACAGTGCTTTCATTAAAAGCAATAAAAGGGTGATTTATAAAGTACGTCTGAGTTCTTTAATGGTTTGACAAATCTTTTCTATAGTACAGCTGTGGTTTTTGTGCCACCCAAGGAGAGCCTCATACAAGGCCACTAAGCTTTTTTTTTTTTAAGAAGGAACTCCTGGTCAAGTGAAACTAATAGGATATTTCCCTCATTCTTTTGCTTCTAGTTATGGTGCAAGAAGATTACCATAGCCAAAATCCATACCACAATGCTGTCCACGCTGCTGATGTTACCCAAGCCATGCACTGCTACCTTAAGGAGCCCAAGGTAAAAGTCCTGCTTTTCCAGTGAGCAGTGTCTCTCCATTTTCCTACTGTAAATTGGTTACACTTCTCAAAATCTACTTTTTATTGCACTAGAGGTAATAAAGCGTCCTGGCACACATTGGTTCGACAGTTTCCGTGGTAAAGGATTTAAGGGTTTTAAAACTGGCAGCTTTTGGACCAGGACTAAAAACAGCATCAGTCCTAGTTGTACCAAGGCATAATAAATGGTTATTAATATTCTAGAGTTGGGCAGCAAATTAGTTTTTAAGCAACTGTATGGAGTGAGTGAGTTCAGTGGGTGAATGTAGTTTCAGTGCAGAGGCATTTGCATGGGAGAATTCATTGGATAACTAATTAAATTTCCCTTCTTCTTGCCTAATCATTTTTTCCCTACTCTCAATACTTTAAAATTGCAAGGATAGGATAAGCCTGACTATCCAGAAGTCGTTGAACTACAACTTCCACTATTCCTAATTATTTGTTTTGCTGCTAGGGGAAATTGGCTGGTTTTTGCTAGTGTTGGACTAAATGAAGACAAGCGAACTGCTCAAGATGGCAGATAAAATATAAAAGGTTTACTCATCTATCTGTGAACTACAATTATACCCCACCTTTGCTCTAATGAGCTAAAGGTGTGTTCATGGCTCTTCATCTCCCAATAACCTCCATCAAGGACACCTGATGAGTTTCATGGCTTGGTGGACCGACCTACTCTCCAAAATTCCTAAAACCTGGGTTAGGCGCTTTTTTAAAAAAAGCTAATGATTATTTCATTCACTAAATGACATTGTTTACCATATATTCTCCAGCAAAGGATCACCGCCTTGTCGGGGTGCTAGAGCTTGAGCACCTCAATGATGTCATGAGCGAAACCGTGAAGGGCCACCCAAGACGGGATGGTTGTGGCGGAGAGGTCAGACCAAGCGTGATCCCTGGGGAAGGCAATGGCAAACCACTCCAGTATCCTTGCCAAGAAAACTAAATGGACCAGTATAACCAGAAATATGTCGGTATGCCATTGGAAGATGGGACTCCCAGGTCGGAAGATGGCCAAAATGCTACTGGGGAGGAGCGGAGGATAAGTTCAGCTAGCCCCAGATGTGATGACGCAGCTAGCTCAAAGCCGAAAGGAAGGCTAGCGGCCGACGGTACTGGAGGTGAACGACGAATCCGATGCTCTAAAGATCAACACACCATAGGAACCTGGAATGTAAGATCTATGAGCCAGGGCAAATTGGATGTTGTTATTGGCGAGATGTCAAGACTAAAGATAGACATTCTGGGGGTCAGCGAACTGAAGTGGACTGGAATGGGCCACTTCACATCAGATGACCACCAGATCTACTACTGCGGACAAGAGGAACATCGAAGAAATGGAGTAGCCTTAATAATTAATAAGAAATTCGCTAAAGCGGTGCTTGGATACAACCCAAAAAATGACAGAATGATCTCAATTCGAGTGCAAGGAAAGCCTTTCAACATTACAGTGATCCAAATATACGCCCCAACCACAGCTGCTGAAGAAGCAGAAGTAGATCAGTTCTCTGAGGATCTGCAGGACCTACTGGATAATACACCAAAAAGAGACATTATTTTCATTACAGGAGACTGGAATGCCAAGGTGGGAAGTCAAATGACAACTGGGAAAACAGGCAAGCATGGTCTGGGAGAACAAAATGAAGCGGGACGCAGGCTGATAGAATTTTGCCAGGAAAACTCGCTGTGTATAACGAATACTCTCTTCCAACAACCTAAAAGACGGCTTTATAAATGGACCTCACCAGATGGTCAACACCGAAATCAGATTGACTACATCCTTTGCAGCCAAAGGTGGCGGACATCCATCCAGTCGGTGAAAACAAGACCTGGGGCTGACTGTAGCTCAGATCACGAACTTCTTATTGCCCAATTTAGAATAAAACTAAAGAGATCAGGGAAAATACACAGACCAGTTAGATATGATCTCACTAACATTCCTAGCGAATATACAGGGGAAGTGAAGAACAGATTGAAGGACTAGATTTAGTAAACAGAGTCCCAGAAGAACTATGGACAGAAGTCCGCGACATTGTTCAGGAGGCGGCAACAAAGTACGTCCCAAAGAAAAAGAAAACCAAGAAGGCAAAAAGAAGGCAAAATGGTTGTTTGCTGAGACACTGGAAGTAGCCCAAGAAAGGAGGAAAGCAAAAGGAAACAGTGATAAGGGGAGATATGCCCAGTTAAATGCGCAATTCCAGAGGTTAGCCAGAAGAGATAAGGAACTATTTTTAAATAAGCAATGCATGGAAGTGGAAGAAGACAACAGAATAGGAAGGACAAGAGACCTCTTCCAGAAAATTGAGAAACATTGGAGGTAAATTTCAGGCAAAAATTGGTATGATAAGAAACAAAGATGGCAGGGACCTAACAGAAGCTGAAGAGATCAAGAGAAGGTGGCGAGACTATACAGAAGATCTGTATAGGAAGGATAATAATATTGAGGATAGTTATGACGGTGTGGTGAATGAATTAGAACCAGACATCCTGAGGAGTGAAGTTGAATGGGCCTTAAGAAGCATTGCTAACAACAAGGCAGCAGGAGACGACGGGATCCCAGCTGAACTGTTTAAAATCTTAAAAGATGATGCTGTCAAGGTGATGCATGCCATATGCCAGCAAATATGGAAAACACAAGAATGGCCATCAGACTGGAAAAAATCAACTTATATCCCCATACCAAAAAAGGGAAATGCGAAAGACTGCTCGCAAACTTCCATACAGTGGCCCTTATTTCTCATGCCAGTAAGGTAATACTCAAGATCCTGCAAGGAAGACTCCAGCAATACATGGAGCGAGAGTTGCCAGATGTTCAAGCTGGGTTTAGAAAAGGCAGAGGAACGAGAGACCAGATTGCCAATATCCGCTGGATAATGGAGAAAGGCAGGGAGTTTCAGAAAAACACCTACTTCTGCTTCATTGACTATTCTAAAGCCTTTGACTGTGTGGATCATATAAATTGTGGCAAGTTCTTGGTGGGATGGGCATACCAAGCCACCTTGTCTCTCTCCTGAGGAATCTGTATAAGGACCAAGTAGAACTGACCACGGAACAACAGACTGGTTCAAGATTGGGAAAGGCGTACGGCAAGGCTGCATACTCTCACCCAACCTTTTTAACTTGTATGCAGAACACATCATGCGATGTGCGGAGCTGGATGAATGCAAAGCTGGGGTGAAAATTGCTGGAAGAAACATTAACAACCTCAGATATGCAGATGACACCACTCTGATGGCCGAAAGCGAGGAGGAACTGAGGAGCCTTCTAATCAAGGTGAAAGAAGAAAGCGCAAAAGCTGGGTTGCAGCTAAACATAAAAAAACCAAGATTATGGCAACAAGAATGATTGACAACTGGGAAATAGAGGGAGAAAACGTGGAGGCAGTGACAGACTTTGTATTTCTAGGTGCAAAGATTACTGCAGATGCAGACTGTGGCCAGGAAATCAGAAGACGCTTACTTCTTGGGAGGAGAGCAATGTCCAGTCTCGATAAAATAGTAAAGAGTAGAGACATCAGACTGGTAACAAAGATCCGCCTAGTCAAAGCCATGGTATTCCCTGTAGTAACCTACGGATGTGAGAGCTGGACCTTAGGGAAGGCTGAGAGAAGGAAGATAGATGCTTTTGAACTGTGGTGTTGGAGGAAAGTTCTGAGAGTGCCTTGGACTGCGAGAAGATCCAACCAGTCCATACTTCAAGAAATAAAGCCCGACTGCTCATTGGAGGGAAGGATACTAGAGACAAAGTTGAAGTACTTTGGCCACATCATGAGGAGACAGGAAAGCTTAGAGAAGACAATTATGCTGGGGAAAGTGGAAGCAAAAAGGAAGAGGGGCCGACCAAGGGCAAGATGGATGGATGGCATCCTTGAAGTGACTGGACTGACCTTGAAGGAGCTGGGGGTGGTAACGGCCGACAGGGAGCTCTGGCGTGGGCTGGTCCATGAGGTCACGAAGAGTCGGAGACGACTGAACGAATGAACAACAACAACCATATATTATGGCAAATTTATAAATTAGTGGCAAGTTTAGTGTATACTGACTGTACACTAAAGCCATCACATAGTAAATATGAAATATTAAAATATACATATGTTTTTATTAATTTAGATGTAAGAATTTAAGAAAAAAACATATATAGCTTTATTTTAAATATCCATAAACACAAAGCCAGCTATTTTTCTGTCCTTAGGACAAGATAGAGACCTTATGGTCTATCAAAAATGTTAATACACCTACAGAAGGGGCAAGAAGGTCATTTCTTGTTTTGATTTTTTTAAAAAAGATAGTACACACTCCAGAGAGGTGTCACTTAATGAATATCTTAACCAAACCTCTATAGGCTTCCAGAAAAGACAATCAACCTTTTTGTAGTTATAGTCATGCAGGGACATGAGAGAAGCCTCCCACAAGGATGATAAAACATCAAAACATCTGGGCGTCCCCTGGGCAAGATCCTTGCAGACGGCCAGTTCTCTCACACCAGAAGCGGCTTGCAGTTTCTCAAGTCACTCCTGACATAAAAAAACAAAAATAAAAATAATTACAAAAAAGGAGACATCTGGGACCACAAACCCAGCTTGGAAGGCCTCTTATTGCCTTGGGTTTACAGTCCATTCCTGCTGTAAACTAGAACTAAACACAGTAGATCTTTAGTTCTTGTGATAAAAAGTATGGATTAAATATTGTCCCAACCGCACCTGGTTTCAGTCTAGTCCACTCCCTTGAAAGACGGGCCCATTTATATGTTTTAATATCCCCAGGGATATTAGATCGGACCACTTCCTCCTGACTTTTCAAAAAGAAGCTTTTGTAATTGCAGAGGAATAGATAAATGTTAAACTTTGAATAATGAACATGGAATGGCCAGACAATGCTACTGGGAAATGACTTTAACAGGACAACACTAATGATTATTTGTTTTTAATGGTTTTTATATGTATATATTGCCATATTGATTGTTTTCATCATATTTTTATGAATTTATTTATTTATTTATTTATTACTGCGCTTGTATACCGCCGTTTCTCAGCCTACATTGGCAACTCAACGTGGTTTACAACATTACAATAATCAACAATATTCAAGATAAAAAGCATAAAAAAAGCATAAAAACACATACATAATATACAATATTGGGCCACCAATATCGAACCAATGCATCTCTTAGTTAAAAACGCAGTCCAATTTCATCGTCTGTGATTACCAGTCCTTGATCGTCAGATTCATTGCACCGTGTTAACCGAATGCTTGTTCGAACATCCATGTCTTCAGTCTTTTTCGAAACGCCACCAGCGAGGGGGCTGATCTTACCTCTATGGGGAGGGCGTTCCAGAGCCGAGGGGCTACCACAGAAAAGGCCCTGTCTCTCGTCCCCGCCAGCCGCACCTGTGAATTTATGGCATCAAATTGTTGCCAATTTTTAACCTGCCCTGAGTTGCCTTAGGGCTGAGAGAGGTGGCCTATAAATGCAGTAAATAAATAAATAAATAAATACGATGTTATGGAATTTCAGAGCACTGCTTGACTTTTGCATGGCCAGTTAGTACATATATCTTGGTACAACAGGGTTGATGCTGTCTTTCAGCACTGGTTCAACAGATATCATTTTTTAAGTTCCTTGCTTCAAGGGGGGGAAAAATCTTGATCAAAAATGTTGGTTTTTAAAATGGGCTAACATCAGGGCTGCCAGGCGTCCCAGATTTTAAGGGACAGTCCCATAGTTGAATGAAATGTCCCACATCCTGTAACATTCTTTCATAGGATGTCAGTTGTCCCATGTTTCCATCAGCTTCTCCTCCTCCTTCCCTCCCTCCCTTCCTAGAGTGGAAAAGGTGGCAACAGCAATAGCCACATGTTTAGGGGTCCCTTTAATAAGGGCCAGAGTCCCCTTTGGAGAAGAGGCCACAGCCCTGACTTGCCACTCACCCTCTGAATGAGCTCTGCCCAAACAGAGGCCGTAGGGCGGCTGCCCCCCTGAACTTCACCTCGGACCTTGGATGTTTGCAGTTCCAACTTCCAGTTTCGTTCTGTGCCTGTCCCTTAGTTTCACCTTCGGCACCTGGCAACCCTGGCTAACACTATGTTTTTCAAAACACAACAACAACAACTGCACACTTGTTGGAAGCAAAGAGGCATCAACACATCTATAAAATGATTTATGAGAGGGCCTTCAAGAGAGCATGCCTGCCCTTTTGTTTCACCTCTCTGTTTCTTTCTTTGATATGTGTATTTAAGGCCTTTTGCTTCCTGCCTGTCTGCAGAGGTCACTTCCCCTTTGTCCCAAAAATTAGTTAGTTCTTTGTCTGCAAAGGGAGGTGCCTGCCCCAGGATAGCTTACATCCACACATGAGAGCCAGTTTTTACGGGCTCTTCTACTGAAATGTAGGTAATCTTCTTTTGTCTATCTCCCTTCCTATCCCAAGATGGATTTCCTGAAACACTAAATGTAAGTTTTTCTTTCTTTTTAACCTTACAAGAGCATCTTGAGTATTTTCTCCTGTTTTCTTCCACATGCTCATACTACACTGGCTATGCTGCACTCTGCTTGATATAGATAGTAAATAATCCAACAACACTAGTATCTGTCACTGTAGCGGAATTGAAGTGCTTGATAATGTTAGGGTGGTATCCTTTGTATTTCAGCTTTTGGCAGTAGAATTTTAGACTATACCTACCAATACTGTATATTGTTTGAAGATTTAAGCCTTGTTTTAATATTGGGCACTGCAATTGGTCGTCCCCCCACCACACGCACACACAACTTAAAGGTTATTTCAAAAAGAAGTACATTAAGTTGGGTGGTTTGTATAAGTGTGAGTTCATTTCACTGTGTGTGGTAAGAAAAGCAGTACTGTGCTTTATTTAATCTTGTGTTTGTTTTCTTCATGGTGCAGCTAGCTAACTTCCTCACTCCTCTGGACATTATGCTTGGACTACTGGCTGCTGCAGCTCATGATGTAGATCATCCAGGAGTCAACCAGCCATTTTTGATAAACACCAAACACTACCTTGCCAGTTTATACCAGGTAAGAATGATGCTTGTCATGCTGTGTTAAAAAACAATAACAACTCATACATCTTAATCAAAGCCATTGTTCATGACTGTATTTTTCAATGGTCTTTCTGCTTCTCCTGACCACCACTGTCTCTATTTCCCATCATTGTCTCAATCCATGGAGCTCTCCCAATTGTACATGAAGCCAAGGGCCTACAGCATGGTGGTCATTAGCAGTCAGTGTCAAACCAGTTCAGACTGTTTGCATACCCTCCAACATTTCACAGAAAATAACTAGGTCACGTGTGGCCAAATAACATCAGATTAGTGAAAATATCAAAAGTGTTAATGAAGAAGATCACACAAGCTATGAAAGAATGCCACACTTTGCTTACCCCTGAGCCTACTGGGAAGGGCAAAACACAACATCCCACTCCCTCATATCTTCTCCCCGTGGTGAGTTAGTCAATTCCAAACTACTCTTGCACCTCAGACTCAGTTTGCAGAAACTGAAGTAAGTTGAAGACAAAGGAGGGGATGTTTTAAAATTAATTGAAAAGGTGGAACAGATGAGATCAAGGCTGTCCCTGCCAAATCAGTAGAGTTGGGAGAGGTGTACTTGTCCAGTATATCAAAAGTCAGAAGGAAGTAGCTAGTTGAAAGCATTAGATGTATATAAAATGGGGGCGGGGGTGTACTTACAGGCACAACTAATTCTCATGGAATATCACTAGATGTATGTGTAGTTCAGACAAATGCAGAAAAGGGCACAGAGTATGATGATGTAGAGATTGTGTATTTGATGTGAAAACAAGATTTTACTTGAAAATGTGTTGAAAAAATTCTCAGTGTCCTACTCCTCTGTGCTCCTCACAGTTAACAAAATTAGGGTGTTGTATGCAAAATGAGAGCTTGTGAATATTATTTGTTTTGGACTCCTCCTCCCAGATTCCACCAGCCAGCATAGCTAGGAAAATGACACTTTGAAGCTCTGGATTATATCAAATTGCAATTTTTTTTACAAGCCACAAGTTTCATATTTTCTAGTCAACATATTTAAATGGCTGCAAAAGTTTTCTCTTTGAAAAAAAGAAAAGGGGGAGAAAAACATATGAAGCCCTGGATAGTGCTATTCCTGATCTGGGATGTCAGAATTGGAGAAGAGAATCAAGAAGGAGAAGAATATGCAGATATTTCCAGAGCAGTTTAAATTATTTCTCTTCAATAATCAGATGGCCTTTGAAATTTGAAACTGTATCCATTCTTTCAAAATCTATGTACAAAAGTATTTTCTCCTGTTTTCTTCCACATGCTCATACTACACTGGCTATGCTGCACTCTGCTTGATATAGATAGTAAATAATCCAACAACACTAGTATCTGTCACTGTAGCGGAATTGAAGTGCTTGATAATGTTAGGGTGGTATCCTTTGTATTTCAGCTTTTGGCAGTAGAATTTTAGACTATACCTACCAATACTGTATATTGTTTGAAGATTTAAGCCTTGTTTTAATATTGGGCACTGCAATTGGTCGTCCCCCCACCACACGCACACACAACTTAAAGGTTATTTCAAAAAGAAGTACATTAAGTTGGGTGGTTTGTATAAGTGTGAGTTCATTTCACTGTGTGTGGTAAGAAAAGCAGTACTGTGCTTTATTTAATCTTGTGTTTGTTTTCTTCATGGTGCAGCTAGCTAACTTCCTCACTCCTCTGGACATTATGCTTGGACTACTGGCTGCTGCAGCTCATGATGTAGATCATCCAGGAGTCAACCAGCCATTTTTGATAAACACCAAACACTACCTTGCCAGTTTATACCAGGTAAGAATGATGCTTGTCATGCTGTGTTAAAAAACAATAACAACTCATACATCTTAATCAAAGCCATTGTTCATGACTGTATTTTTCAATGGTCTTTCTGCTTCTCCTGACCACCACTGTCTCTATTTCCCATCATTGTCTCAATCCATGGAGCTCTCCCAATTGTACATGAAGCCAAGGGCCTACAGCATGGTGGTCATTAGCAGTCAGTGTCAAACCAGTTCAGACTGTTTGCATACCCTCCAACATTTCACAGAAAATAACTAGGTCACGTGTGGCCAAATAACATCAGATTAGTGAAAATATCAAAAGTGTTAATGAAGAAGATCACACAAGCTATGAAAGAATGCCACACTTTGCTTACCCCTGAGCCTACTGGGAAGGGCAAAACACAACATCCCACTCCCTCATATCTTCTCCCCATGGTGAGTTAGTCAATTCCAAACTACTCTTGCACCTCAGACTCAGTTTGCAGAAACTGAAGTAAGTTGAAGACAAAGGAGGGGATGTTTTAAAATTAATTGAAAAGGTGGAACAGATGAGATCAAGGCTGTCCCTGCCAAATCAGTAGAGTTGGGAGAGGTGTACTTGTCCAGTATATCAAAAGTCAGAAGGAAGTAGCTAGTTGAAAGCATTAGATGTATATAAAATGGGGGCGGGGGTGTACTTACAGGCACAACTAATTCTCATGGAATATCACTAGATGTATGTGTAGTTCAGACAAATGCAGAAAAGGGCACAGAGTATGATGATGTAGAGATTGTGTATTTGATGTGAAAACAAGATTTTACTTGAAAATGTGTTGAAAAAATTCTCAGTGTCCTACTCCTCTGTGCTCCTCACAGTTAACAAAATTAGGGTGTTGTATGCAAAATGAGAGCTTGTGAATATTATTTGTTTTGGACTCCTCCTCCCAGATTCCACCAGCCAGCATAGCTAGGAAAATGACACTTTGAAGCTCTGGATTATATCAAATTGCAATTTTTTTACAAGCCACAAGTTTCATATTTTCTAGTCAACATATTTAAATGGCTGCAAAAGTTTTCTCTTTGAAAAAAAGAAAAGGGGGAGAAAAACATATGAAGCCCTGGATAGTGCTATTCCTGATCTGGGATGTCAGAATTGGAGAAGAGAATCAAGAAGGAGAAGAATATGCAGATATTTCCAGAGCAGTTTAAATTATTTCTCTTCAATAATCAGATGGCCTTTGAAATTTGAAACTGTATCCATTCTTTCAAAATCTATGTACAAAATTCCCTGTAGTAACTAAGCGGTATTACCTTTGAATTCAGAGAGTTTCACTTAATTCAAAGCACCCTGGGGATGTGTAACAAGAGTGCAGATTAAAGTATATATTACCTGGTGGCTTGTTCAACAATACCTATTAAAATTAAATCAATATAAAAAGAGCAGCTGACCCATTAGGTTTTACTTTATGGCTATTAAATATTATAGCTGTTATCTTACAGTGGCGTGCAATTTCTATGTATTTCACTGGCCTCTTGGAGTCATGTAATAGGAATGGTTACTACTTTTGTTATACAACTTAGAGAATGCAACCCAGCAGTTCTCCCATTGGCATGGCCCTTATCATGCAGAAATTTTGGCAAGGGCTATGCCAGTTGGATAATTTTTAGAGTAGCATTTCCAAGCTGTGATACTTCTCACTTTAGTTCAGTGGTTCCCAACCAGTTTTTGATCAGGGACCACTTGACCAGGGACCACTTTGACCACTCTCCAACATTAGTCCAAATCAGTTTTTGATCAACTTTAGGTTCAGTTTGGTTATTTGGGGTGCTGATTCAGAAATTTCCATTGGATGGACTACCTATGCTCTAATTTATAATACAGAATATATGCCACCCAGTAGTTGCCATCTGCTCGCCCACAGAAAGCCATATTTAATAATCTAAAGCTGATGTGGTCTATCAAGTGCAATTTTCTGAATCAGCGCCCCAAATAACTCCAGGAACAGGCCTAAAAATGAAGGCACCAAGGCACCCCTGCTTCCATGTGCCACATGGAACAGCTCTGCTCAGGGGGAGGAAGGGAGGGAGGAGGAGGAGCAGTCAGGAGGCTTATTGTCACACCTTTCGTGGATAGTCAGCCTCTCCCTTTCTGACATCCCTGTTGCCTTGGCACTATAAGAGGGCTTTGCAAGACCAGCCACTCTCGTTGCAATGGTGTGGTAATGGTGAGGCCATGGACCATATTTTAGTTCTTGGGACTACTGGTGGTCCACAGCCCACAGGTTGGGAACCCTTTCTTTAGTGGAACTAGATGGGAAGTTATTCATCTGTAGATTCCTAGCAGAACTTTGATTTTATGGTTAATCTAACTGGTAAAAATAAGAAAGGGGTCCTTTCTTGGAAAGCCTTCCTCCCTTGTTGTGTGTTTTTCTTCTAGGGATTTCAGTTGTATAACAGTCCAGACTGTCCTTCCACTCTAAGATAAAGGAACGGGCAGGGCCATGTGAGCCAAGGCTAGTACAGAGGGATTCTGAGATACTCTGCAACTGGCTCAGTTCCCTCTGTTGCTTTTGACAAGCCATAGTCAAATGTAAGACCAGACATGACAAAGTTAGAAGCAAAAGGGTTGATGCATTTAATTAATGGTTACAACTGCATTTTTGTAAGGAGAAAAATTAACTATTGGCTGCAATCCAACATCTTCTCGATGTAAATATCTGCATGTGGAGAGATAATACACCAGAACTATGCATGCAAAATAGCAAGACTGTATAACATTTGTCAATGGCTGGATGCTCTTGTACAATGCGCAGTGTGCAGTGCAAAATCACAATGTATAATGTCAGTGTATGTGTAACTTTGCTTCAGCCACAGTCAGCAAAATGCAACTATTGCACTATGATAAATAATTTGGCCATATGTGTAGCATGATGTCGGCATGAATATCACAAACAGGATGTCCGCCAAAATGTTTATAATAAATTGCTATATAAATGAAATGTTAAATGTCTGAACAAAAAGGCTAACCAGAATGAAGCTGAGAAATACTATCCATGATTATGACTGATTTATTAGTAATTCCCATGTCGACCCCAACAAATGTCCCAAGTTTCAGATCTTCAGAATTCAGTCTCCTGGGACTCATGAGAAGCCTCTGTACAAAGTGGGCATGAATGAAAGGCTGGAGCACCTTTTTGGCAGTGCCCTACTTGTGCCCTATGCAATGTGCAGGCAGAAATAATATCTGATTGCAAAGAAGATCACCCACCTTTGAAACTGCCCTTAACTCATGCTAATTTAAAATATTTCAGCCTTGGTATTTACTAAACCATCACAATAATTGTCTATAACTTAATTAATAATTTAATAATAGTGGTTTCACTGGTGAGTCACAGAAAAGGGTCCCATCAGCAAATCTCAATCCTTGGTAGAAAGGCCTAGCTGGATCCCTCCCAGTGTGTTTTCTCTTATCCTTTCTGTCACTCCTGTAGATTTCAGCTGTCTTCCAGATGGGAACATCATGTTCCAGGCTCCATCATTTCCCTCCCAATGTCCAAAGGTCTGATCTGAGCTTTTAACTCCACAAGGACAGCAGAGGAGCCTTTGGCAATGATGACAAGGACCTGGGATCATGGCTCCTGCTGTGAAAAATGCCTTCTTATCTTATGCAGACTTTGTCTCTATTTTTCATAGGCAGTTGAAAAGGAAAACATATTCCCCTCCTGCTTTGCTGTCTTGACCTTGCAAACTCACCAGTAATCATCAGTGTTAATCATAGTATTAACACCAAACCTAACATGCCAAATTGGCATGTGCTTAACAGCATTATGTCGCCTACTTGAGGGCATCTAATGCTGTTACATTGATACAGCTAATGAGGAAGCCTTGATTCCCAATCTGTTTCAAACAGCTGCTGGGCAGCATTCCAAGTATCTACTGGAGCTTTGTATGCATAACTCTGGTTTGGAAAGAGGGCGAGGAAATTAGTTTCAGCAATTTCCCAACCAATTAGGGATCTGTGCACAGAGGCCTGCAGCTTTATACATATAGCATCTCTTGCTTCACCATAGCAATTTTTGAGTGTATTTTTCCTTGCTCTTTCTCCAGAATGTCTCTGTACTAGAAAACCATCACTGGAGGTCTACGATAGGCATGCTCCGGGAATCAAGGCTGCTTGCACATTTGCCAAAGGAAGAAAGGTAAGCAGTAGCACTACAGTCTGAGAAAAGGACTAAGATGGTATGCCCAATTAATGTGGGTTATTCAAAACACTATGAATTGGCCAGATTTACAGAGTTTTATTAGATGAACAGGTTAGTGTCCAAGAAAGAAACTGAGTCTGCGTACCCTTTATAGCAAAAGTACTGAGAAAAAAATAGGGTCTTGAAAGCACACAATTCAGGTAGTATGGTATCCATTAGGATTGGTTGATCCAAAACAAAAAGTTCAAAACTTGTTTCAGATCTAGGAGGTGCTGGTGGTTAAATTCTAAAGTCACTTCCATTTTTTCTGAAAAAGTCTAAACTTTCCAAAACTTCCAAATCAATTTGTTAATGGTGGATGCGATTGCGCAATATGCAGAAAATAGCACTGACACTGGGGAAACTCCAGGGTCTTCTCCCTCCCTCATTTTTACACCAATCTTGATGAAACTTGATATACTGCTACAACACATCCTCCTCTGTTAGCATACCAAATTTCAACATGTTCATTTTAAAGAGTTTTTTAAAACAATTTTAGAAATAATTTATTAAAATTAAAATAAAAGAGCCACCTCCTTGAATTTTTAAGGAAATGACAAAAGGTTATAGGGGATCCCCCCAACTTTCAGACACATTCATACTGTTGGAAGTCACCGTTTGTACAACTAAGGCCCAGAAAGGTTGGGAAATGTAGCATCAAGTGCCCAAAACAGACCCCAGAAAAAAAAGAGAGGCCCCAATAAAAATAGCAAAGTTTTAGTGGTGAGCAAAAAAGAAGTTTCCAGAAATGCCTTTATTAATTTCATCCTCTCCCTGCCTCCCAAACAAACTTTTCCTTCTTTCTCTCTCTTCTCTGCCTCCAAACCCTTCCTTTCTCAATTTTTTTCCTTCTGCCTTGCCTTCCTCTGTTATCAAAAACTCCTTTCCTCTGGTTCCAGACTCTTTCTTCAACCCCACACCCAACAGCAACAAGCAGCAGCAGCAACAACGGTCCAACCCCCCCTCTCCCTTCTCTGGCTGCCAATGAGCCTTCCAGCCATGTACTTGGGTTTATATACAGCAATGGCTGCTAGACGCTGCAAATCCCTTCCCTCCCCAAAATGTAATCCATGATTGGCTGGAAGGCAAGCAGGCTTAGTTGAATTAAAAATGCTTCATCATAGTTCCGACTCACTTCCGCATCCCTGAAATCAATTGTTCAAGTCGAGTTGAAACTATAGGGGACTACAGCCTCACGGAAACGTGGCGGAAGTCCCTTTGGAAGGCAAAACATCCATTTTTTTTCCTAATTACGCCACATCCGAGTGAACCTATCCAACCCTAGTATCCATTCTAGGACTAAGTCTAGTTACCCCATCACTACCATTCAGTTGTGCTACCCACTATGTAAACAGAGGAAATGGGAATGCCATGTCAGTGCTTTGCGGGAAGGTAATGCCAAGTTGGGAGGAGGGTCCTGTGGAATCCTGGGGTTTGTAGTTTGCTAAGAACCTAGATATTTTCCTTGGCAGAGAATTCCAAACATCTGTCCACAAACTGGAAATCCTAGGATTCCATAGGATAGATCCAATGCAGTTAAAGTGGAATTACAATGCTGCAATTATACACTGTGAATAGTATCCCAGTTGGACTATGGCACAACATCCAAATATGACAGACTGAAAATTAGGCAGGCTGAAGGCCCCACATCCAAATTAGATGCTAGTCTTTAAATTTCTAAGCATCCAAAAATCTGAATACTTGCAAGAAGATACCAAGTAACCATTTGTATCACCCCAATCATCAGACCACATTCATATCCCTTCTCCTCCCACTGCCTTTTAAGTGAAAGGTGCAGCAGTGGTGGCAACAGTCATGAGAGAAAGGGGGGACTCTCTTCTTCCCCTTGCTCTGCTTATATTTTCCCCTAATACTCCCCTCAACCAACATCAGAAATGTTAACTATTCTAGATTTAGAAACAAAGCACCAGATATGGAAGGGTGAGGGTATTATCATACACCCCTTTGCAGGTACTGCTAGCATAACAAGTGGACAGGAAGGGTAGGATCTGCAGTCCAAATACCTAGAGAGCTACAGCTGCTCCTTTTGGTTGACATGAATGACACTTCATTTAATGAGCAAATCCCCCCCCCCAAAAAAAAACAGTACCTCAATCACAATCTTTTTCAGAGTCATGTTTGACCATGCCAGTCTCCCTACCAGCCCCAAAATCCCCTGCTTCCAAAGAGGTCATAAAAACTCTATTTTCTTCTAAAGGACATAAAATCTCCATGGTGGTAGTGGGAAACTCTGAGAGGGTGTATCATGAGGGATACATTGGTACTAGTTCTTGTACAAAATTGTGGTGTATTACTTGGTGTCAGACATGGAGCTATGGGATCAGGGGAGCAAAATGGGGACATTATTCCCCATAACAATTCTTCCTCCACCATTAATTTTACTGTCAGTGCATTGCAAATTTCTAATATTGCAGTAACTTAAAACTTCAATTGAGCATTTAGAAATAGTTTGGCCATCTAAAGAAGACGTCAAGCAAAGTTTCCAAGGGAATATGAACACAGAAAATATAAGAGTTTTATGTGTAGAGGATCTTCACTGCATCTCTCTCTACAATGTATTCATGGCTGGAATCACTGGGTTGTAGGTTTTTCGGGCTGTATGTCCATGTTCTAGAAGCATTCTCTCCAGACATTTCACCTGCATCTGTGGCAAGCATCCTCACAACCTCTGAGGATGCTTGCCACAGATGCAGGCGAAATGTCAGGAGAGAATGCTTCTAGAACATGGTCATACAGCCAAAAAACCCCACAACAACCTAGCTCTCTACAATGCTAGACATTTGGGGACCAGAGAAAAATTCAATTTGGAGGCTGACAGGATTTTTATTTGATCAGACATTACCCCCATTTTGTCACCCACCCCTGTAGCAGTACTCCACTGATATCTCAAATAGGGCAAAAAGTATTCACAAAAGATAGCATTTTTTTTCTTTTTGAAATTACAGGCAAGATATTGAACAACAGCTGGGCTCCCTGATCTTGGCAACAGACATCAACAGGCAGAATGAATTTCTGACCCGGTTGAAAACTCATCTCAAAAATCAGGATTTGAAATTAGAGGATGCTCCAGACAGGCATTTTATGCTTCAGGTAAATGGTGATGGTTTCTCCCATCATTATAATAATAGTTATTTTCAAGGCATTTTTCTTTTCATGACTAACAATGTAGTTAGACAAAAAACACTGATAGCTTATCATTGGCTTGTCAGAGTTTGGGAAAAAGGGAGACAAAGTTCTGTGCTCAGTGCTTTTGTCATGTATGAATATATTGCATGCATACACTTCCCTTCATTATGAGTTAAAACTATTGAAACCTAAGGCTTTAAGTAATATTGTTTAAAAGAATGGTTCCCAATCTTTTTTGACCAGGGACCACTTTGACCAGGAGCCACTCTCCAACATTAGTACCAAAAGGGTTACAAATCAGTTTTTGGTCAACTTTAGATTCGGTTTGGTGATTTGGGGTGCTGATTCAGAAATTTGCATTGGATAGACCACATCAGCTCTAGTTTCTGAGACAGGCCATATGCTATCTAGTAGTCGCCAACTGCTCACCCATAGAAACCCATATTTAATAAGCCTCAGCACAACAGGGGGGTTTCGCAAGACCAGTCACTCTTATTGCAACCGTGTAGTAACGGAGAGACCATGGACCATATTTTCGTTCTTACAGATCACTGGTGTTCCACGGACCACAGGTTGGGAACCACTGGTTTAAAATAACATACATACCTTAAGCTGTTCAAAAAGTAAGAAGCTGCCTGATGCCAAGTATGCTTATTAGTCCATCTAGTCCAGTATTATCAGTTGTTGCTATGGTACTTAAAGCGAAGTCATAGCACTATAATCGTGTAGTGTGAAAGACCATGGGGGTTTTCTTGGGGATCTTCCATTAATGTACTAATCAGGCTTAATCCATTTTAGCTTCCAAAATAAAACAAACCAGGTTTGCTCAGAGTGGTGTGATGGAGGGAAAGGATTAATGCGAAGTCATGTTGTCTTGGATCCCAGACTACTGAGATTTACTTTAATTATCCTAATGAAAAGCCTATTCATAATTTCTGGTACTTTCAGAAAAAAATAAATCAATCTTCAACACATTATTAATGATAGTGAGGGTTCTCCAACCTGTTCTGTTTAGTACAGTGTTTTTCTCATCTTTCTCTTCTCCTCCTCTGACCATTTCCTACTTTTCTCCTTTCCTGAGATTCATCCAGTGTCAATATTTTGCATTCATGGATTGCTTTCCAGAGGCATTTTCAGGAAACTTGTGTAAAAACTTTTTGAGAGATTTTATGAGCCAAAAATGAAGGAACTGGGCTCTACAGGAATCCGAAATCCTGCTGAGGAGAAACATACAGTTCTCATATAAATTTCATTGCTAAAAGATTCAAGTTAGTCCCCATGTGTGTGAGTTTCTGTATTGCTGATTCAAGATCTAGCTGTTCTCTAAACTTTATGTGGTTCTCTTGAACTAGGGTCTGACTGCAAGCATCATGGAAGTATTTCATATCCCTTTTAGGGAGAGCCAGTCTTAACTTCTTCTCCAAATCATTCCTCACAATTGCAATATACCATTCAGATATATATTGCACTAGCCATCCCCTGCCATGTGTTGCTGTGGCCCAGTCTGTGTATATGTGTTTTGTGTGTATATATGTGTATATATGTGTTTTGTGTATATATGTGTTTTGTGTATATATGTGTTTTGTGCATGCATTGTAATGTATTTTTTGGGGTTTTTTTACTTTTCAAGTAACTTCTGCTGTGTTTTTCAGTGTTTTTATAAGTGATGGTCACTTGTTGGTCTGGTAGGTGTATTGTGTCCAAATTTGGTGTCCATTCATCCAGTGTTTTTTGAGTTATGTTAATCCCACAAACGAACATTATATTTTTATTTATATAGATTGAAATGAAACCAAACATAGATTGTGCAGGACCTCTTTATAGAAAGGAATTTAATAATTCCTGGTATGGGTTGGAGAGCAGGAATCCCTCCATTCCTTAATCTAGAGTTCAGTCAGTGGACAAAATGTGAAGAAAAAGTGATTACATTAATTTCTGCACAGGAAGCTATGAGCCTGAGACAAATCAAGAATGCGGGTAGAATTCTGAGAAATGCAGTGAAAACAAGATGATTGTCTACCCTGCGTTTAGAACCAAGAAATGCTTCTCCTCACTTTATTAGAAAGAAGTACAATACATCTCCAAATAATTTTAATACTGCTACATTTTTAACTACAGAGAGGGCAGATGCCACTAAACTCCTTCTTTGCCTGGTTGTTTTTCAAAGGGCCTCAAACTCTTCCCACCCACCCGCTCCCATAATGGAGTAGTTAATGGACACCTTAGAATACAGCCACCAAAATCATTGTGATTAAACTTAAAAGTACCTTTCATTGACTACGTAATGCAATTAGAAAATGCTTTGGGGCTGACACCTCTACATAGCTTTTAGCAAAGATAATAATTCCATTTTGAATGGAAAGGACATTACTTAACATATTTGTTACTTCTTGAAGGAAGAAGAGAAGAGAAGAAAAGATGATGACAAAGTAGATACTCCCACTTCAGAAAAATAATTATAGCACACCCTGTACCTAATGCTGGTCTTTGATCAAGACAAGCTTTCTACGAGAAATCATTTACCATAAAAAGGAGCAACTTCTAGGAGCACAGATTTACATGCTGTAGAGGCGGAGGGCAGGGGCAGATCCTGGAAGACTGCACATGGTAGAGAGCTACAGAAAGACTGTCTATTGTGCACTCTGCAAGGTAGTCATCTGTCCTCAAGTAAAGCAAAAGTGGCAGCCATTTATAAAAGAGAATATGGCACTATTTTACACTGATTTTAGGCAGCAGAACACCTTAGCTCAGCTCTGTCAGTAAGCAGGATCTATTAGAGATGTGTGCAGAATTCATTCCTACCGTGTCTTCCATTTCTTTTGAAGCACGAAACAGGAAGCCCTCTCCCTACATGAAAATCTGCTTGACATAAAAGCATCCGAACTAGTCTCCTTGCCTTGGAAAGAGAGTGTATGTGTGGCAGGGTGTGCAGGCTGGTCTGGAGGGCATCTGCAGCTGTGCGCCTCTTATTCTAGAGTAAGAGGTGCTCGGCTGCAGGCACTGGCAGGTGTGTGCACTTTCAGGGCCTGCCTGCACACCCCACTACACACACACACTCTTTCCAAGGAGAGAGTGTGTATGGCAGGGTGTGCAGGCAGGCCCGGAAAGTGTGTGCACCTGCCAGTGTCTACAACTGAGCGCCTCTTACTCTAGAGTAGAAAAAGCAGGTTCCAAGTAAGAAGAATGCATGCCAGGAAGGGGAGCCAGTGGGTGGAAAGCCACTCCCCCCCAACAATGGTCTGATTATGGGGGGGGGGGGTCCGAACAAAAGAACTGAAGACAACCCTCCTGATTTCAGGAGGCTCACAAAAAATTGATCAGGGACCCCAACTAAAGTTGGGACATGAAATGGGGCAAGGTTTACCCCGAATGTACATGTCTGGTGTCTATGCAGGGAAAAGAGTATTTTTCAGGTAATGAGGCCTGGGAATCACAAACCAATTTGAATTATATCGCTATATTGTTATTCAATTATTTATTCATTCTTGCCTAAAGAGTTTTTACTTTAAAACAGTGGTTCTCAACCTGTGGGTCAGCAGATGTTTTAGCCTTCAGCTCCCCAAAATCCTAATAGCAGGTTTAACAACTATTAGGATTTCTGCTTTAAAGCTTACTCTAGCATTAGAGACGTAGGCCATGCAGATATGGCTGTTTACACCATCCACAGTGATGCTATTGTTCCTAGCTGATAAAAAGCAGGAATATTGGTAAGGTCTAGGCTATGATGAGGATATCTTTCCTATTATGCTTGTGTTGGCTTCTGCTATGTATATGGCAATACCAAGGAAAGATTATTATCTCCCTTGGATACGCAGGAGCCGGAGCCGATGGGATGGCGCGCGCGCGCCGGTTGTCTCTTTAGGCGCCTCTCCCAGCTGTGTTGCAGGAAAGATACAGGAGGAGGGGAGGAGGAGGAGGGCGCAGGAGCCGGAGCGCAGGAGCCGGGGAAGCGCCGGTAGGCTCCCTGCGCCCTCCTCCTCCTACTCCTCCTCCCCCTGTGTGCAACACAGCTGGGAGGAGGAGGGGAGGAGGAGGGCGCAGGAGCCGGCGCCGATTGGATGGCGCCGGCTCCTGCGCTCCGGCTCCTGCACCCTCCTCCTCCTCCTCTCGCTCCCAGCTGTGTTGCAGGAAGGCCAGGAGGAGGAGGAGGAGACTTATATGTTGGAACAAGGCAAGATGTATAATCTGCAGGGACACATAGACAGGTAGTAAATATGCAAACGAGAGACAGCATACAAACATGGAATGACTTCAGAGGTGCATCTTCACTACAGAATTGATGCCTCCTCCTCATCTCCTCCTCCTGGCACTTCCTGCGAAAAAAGAAAGGAAGGAAGGAGGGAGGGGGGAAGGAGGGAGGAGGAGGGCGCAGGAGCCGGAGCCGATTCGATGGCGCGCGGAGGCCGGTTGTAAGGGTGAGCGGAGCGCTTCCTGCAACACAGCTGGGAGGAGGAGGAGGAGGGCGCAGGAGCCGGAGCCGATTGGATGGCGCGCGGAGGCCGGTTGGATGGCGCGCGGAGGCGCGGAGGCCCCGCCCGCCCCATTTACAAAACGGGCGAAAGCTCGTAAATACTTTGGGAGTTGCTGTTTCGATATTTAAAAACCCTTCCGGGTTTAAAAATGTGTTTTGAAATCGCGTCGGATATGGTAAAAATAACGAATTAATAACGAAATAACGAAATAACGAACGAAACCGCACAGGCCTATTGGATACATGTGAGTCTATCCACAAAGTTAAATTGATGATGTTAATTTTCTCTTTATGTTAAATATAGAAATGCCTGCTAAGGGGAAAATAAATTTAATAGTTCAGTCCTAATGAAAATGTAATGGCTTACATTTAACGTGATGTAATGTATGCAATATGTCTAGACATTGAAAAGTCTATGTTCTTCCATAAAGGATGCATATCTTTGACTTTTTAAATATAAGTAACTGAGATCTTGCTCAGTTTTCCCTATAAGTAACCTGAGATTCTAAGACTTTTAAGAATGCTTAAGTTGAGTGCTGATGTTAACTCTGCTGTTTGGACTTTAATGTGATCAGTTGGAGACCCAAGTGGCCAGAAGGTGACAGGAGTTGTTTTTGAGAACACTATGAGTACAGCCTCATTCCTTCATTATCTAAAATACCTGTCTGAATGTATTCTTCCCTATAAACCATCAAGAGCTTTAAGATCTTCCAGAGAGGCCCTGCTTTCGGTCCCGCCACCTTCGCAGTCACGTCTGGTGGGAACGAGAGACAGGGCCTTCTCTGTGGTGGTCCCCCGGCTGTGGAACTCTCTCCCAAATGAGGTTAGGTCCGCCCCCTCTCTCCTGTCCTTTGGAATCATTCGCAGAGTGATTGTGGATACCGGTAAAGACTAAAAGCTATTGGACCACAAAGGGCGGACTGAATTGGATGATGTTTTAACTTGGCGAATTGGTTTACATATGTATTTTTAACTTATATGTATTTAAACTTATTGTATTTGTATGTTGTTTTAAACTGATATTTATTGTCTTGCATTGAATTCTTGCTGTTAGCCGTTCTGAGTCCCTCCATCCGGGTAGAGAAGAACGGGATATTAAAGTTCTAAATAAATAATAATAAATAAACCTCCAAACAGATACATTTGATAAGTGGCAAAGTACCCCAAATCCCTCAGTTTAAAGTGACAGTTTGGGAATCATGTCAGTTTCAATATGGCAAAATGATTACATTTCTGAATGGGACCCAATGTGACCAGATTTGAGAACACTATGAGTACAGCCTCATTCCTTCATTATCTAAAATCTGGATATAAACTTAATGAGAATGGTATTGTTAGTAACCTGGCAGATTTTCACACTTACAATTACTGTAATAAATGAAAACAGCACAGCAAAAAGAGGCACCCTATTTCTTAAATGAGCCAAGATATTTCTATGCTTTGGAAGATAAGAAATGCTCCAAAACTTTCTTTAGCTTCATCTTACCTATCACAGGATGAAATGATTGATAGAATATCTTCTTTGTGCAACACTTTTATTCAAAGTTGTAACAACCCAGGAAATGAACATAGAGAAAATTGACAAGTGAGAATAGAACAAGGGGAAAGTGAGAAGGCCATTCAATCCCAAAATTAGACAATAGAACAAAAAAGAAATGCCTTCTTGTCTCAAATTAGGATGTAAATTTCAAGGGATGCAATGACCTGCATAGAATGGCTGCAAAGAAGATATCTTGACCCAGAAAGAAAATTGATCTTTTTTTAATAGATAAAAGGGGAAATCTGGATCAGGCTGTTGAATTGGACTGTGAAGTTATTTATGGAAATGAACATCTAATTGGGATAGGTAACTTTCCTCTCATGACTAAGTTTTGGGATAAACTAGGCAGGAAGAAAGTTCTTGAAGGTCATTACATGGAATAAAGAAGGTAGGTATTCAAGCAAAAATACCACGAGGCTTTTAAAATTTTATAAAGCAACTAGCTGAGAGGAGACATGATAGCCATGTATCAATATGTGATGGGAAGTCATAGGGAGGAGGGAAGAGGCTTGTTTTCTGCTCCCCTGGAGACTAGAGTTTGGAACAATGGCTTCAAACTACATGAAAGGAGATTCCACCTGAACATGAGAAAGTACTTCCTAACTGTGAGAACTGTTCAGCTGTGGAACTCTCTGCCCTGGAGTATGGTGGAGACTCCTTCTTTGGAGGCTTCTAAACAGAGGTTGGATGGCCATCTCTCAGGGGTGCTTTGAATGTGATTTTCCTGCTTCTTGGAAAAAAATGGATGGCCCATGAGGTCTCTTCCAACTCTATGATTCTATATAGTAGATTAGAAATCTAAATTTCTTAAAACTAATGTAATGCTGGTGAGAGATATTTCTTAGTAATAGTAGTCATGTCTTATATATATATATATATATATATATATATATATATATATATATATTAATCGTGTCAGAAGCGACTTGAGAAACTTCAAGTCATTTCTGGTATGAGAGAATTGGCCATCTGCAGAGATGTTGCCCAGGGGGTGCGCAGATGTATTATAATCCCGTGGGAGGCTTCTCTCATGTCCGTACATGGGAAGCTGGAGCTGACAGATGGGAGCTGACTCCGTCAGCATCAGCAGTTCAGGCGGCACAAAGGTTTTGACATTCATGTTCTTAGTTGCAAGAGTTTAAGTGATGCAGTGACTTTTAGCAGTGTATGTCTGACACATACAGGGACTATTTGCCTGGCAGTTATGAATGAAAATTGTTGTTTTGATGAGCAGAATTTGGTTTTTGTTTTTAATTATGTAATAATGTCCCATGCCTAGGCGGTTTATGGACTTTTTCTATAGGAAATAGGCTTGAAAGCAGCCACCTATTTTTTAATCTCACCCATGATGTCTATTCTTGTACATAGTCGGGATTTAGCGTAATGCAATTGAAGTGACTATAGTTGTCAGAAGAGGCAAATATTAGGATTGCTAGATTTTCAACTAGTTCTGTGGGTGAAACTTTTACTCTTATGGGGCTGCAATAATTTAATTAAATTACAAAGACATTGAAACTTGTCTTATGTCTGAAACAAATCATCCAAGAAATGCTTTATAAGAAAAGTGCTTCTGAGTGGTTTAATAAGATGTGTTGTATAACTTAAAAAACAACTTAGAAATGTACAAGATAGGAAGGAAAATTGTAGCGCCTTACCCTCAAGAGTATTATTTGGAAAGAAAAGCAATTTGAAATCCTGCTAGCTGAGAAGAGGAAAGATGCAGTACAAAATGGGTGGAAGGCATTGAGAGACCTCTCATTAAGCAATAACTCTACAAATTGCTTTGAGTACTGGCACTTTGGGTTATTCTTCAGGCTCAGGTGGCTTTAATTTCTCAGCAGCCATTTTAGTCTTATCACAGAGTCTGTGACAGCCAATGGCAAATACATTTCTTCAGGGTCTATATAATTTGACAGAATGGGACCAAGGATTCAAATCATAATGTCTGCTCATCTTCTGGAGTGGGCTGGACTTTGTAGCAAACATGTAATGCTTTGTCCCATTATGAAGAAATACCCAGTATAGACACTGGAGCTGAATCTGGAATATTTCATGGCTGATTACCAAAGTTAATGACAGAGCTAGAAGCTTTTCAAAGAGTTAGGAATACCATTTTGGTAGATTTTATTGCTCAGAGGAAAGTGATGCATTACCTAGCTTGGGTGTACAGTATTCCCTCACTTATCACGGATGTCACATTCCAGGACCACCCACAATAAGTGAAAATCCGCTCACTCCTCTCTCCCTCAGTTCAAGTGGTGCCAAGGTTTCCTGAGCATGTGCAGAGTGCTTCCTTGTTGCATGCCTAGTCATCTTCCTTCTCGAAACATGGCCCCACTGGACTCTCCCTCCCTCCCTTCCTGGCGTTCACCAGGAGCCGGCAGACGTGGTGGCCTTGATGGAGCACTTGCTGCAGCTCTTGCTGGTTGGGCTTGAGGAGGAGGAGGAGGAGGAGGAAGAAGCAGCAGCAAAGAGGCCAAGCTGGTGACAGAAGCGGAGCCAGAGCCAGAGGGGCCCACGAGGAGGAGCCCAGCACCGGGACGGAGGGAGGGAGAACGGCCATGGCAAACAAAGTGGACAGAGCGGAGTTAGAGTGCTGCCAGTAAAAAGAATGGAGAGGGCCAGTAAAAGGTATGGAGACAGGTCTCAACTGAAAAGGAATGGAGACAGGTCTCAATGGACACAGTAAAAGAAATGGAGACAGGCCGGAGGGAATGGAGACAGGTCTCAATGGAGACAGTAAAAGGAATGGAGACAGGCTGGAGAGAGGAAGTGAGAACTGAGGAAAAACTAGTGAAACAGCGAGTAAGTGATAAGCGAACTGGGAACACGGTACTCCTGGATGCAACTCCTGGAGACACAGATTTTGCTTATATGAACCATATCTAATAACAAGAAATAAATTATAGGTTTCCTTACTATACGGAATAATTCTCATTTCCTCATCTTACTCTGACTTTCTTAGTATAAAAATAATCTTGCAAAAAAAAAAGCTAAATTTGAAAGAACTTATAGGACATGGTATGCTTGCTACATCTTTCTTGACATATTGTCCTCTGTTTTCAGATTGCGTTGAAGTGTGCAGATATCTGCAATCCTTGCCGGCTTTGGGAAATGAGTAAACAGTGGGGTGAACGAGTGTGTGAGGAATTCTACAGGCAAGGTCAGCATCCTGAAAGACTTCTTACCTGGCTCTCTCAGCCATAAATTAGAATTTTATTAATCGAAAGTGGCAGTTTCCCAGCTAGACAACTTTGCATGTTCATTTGAAATTGCCCACAGATATAAGCTGATCTCATTAAAAGGACAAACAGGACACATAGAACTCTATCAGGATCAGCCTCCCAATAACCACTCCAGTGAAAAAGATCTCAGTGAAAGCTGGGGGGGATCTTGAACCACAGTATTGTCCATTGCTACAATATTGCTTAAGTTACTACTATGCTATTTAATAACAATATAATCCCATCTGAAAGCCCTGTCAATATCCACTGGCTTTCAAACTAAGTGAAGCGTCATCTTGAGAATTTTTTAAAAATCGTGTCACAAGCAAATTGAGAATATACTTCAAGTCACTTCTGTATGAGTGATTTGGCCATCTACAGACACATTGCCCAGGGCACGCCTGGATGTGTTAACATCCAGTGGGAGGCTTCTCTCATGTCCCCACATGGGAAGCTGGGGCTGACAGATGGGAGCTCACACTGTTTTGGGGATTTGAACTGCTGACCTTCAGGGGTTTAACCCATTGCACCACCATGGCTCTTTCTATCTTGAGATAGAAAGAGTACTCAAAATAATTTTTTCAAAAAACGTTTTCAAGAATTGAGAAACCGAGATGGGAAGAATCTTAGACTGATGGGAATATTTGCAGTTCAAAACTTACTCTGTGCAAATGTTGTAGATAATTGTTTTGCACAGACAGAAGCATTTTCTGTGTGGAAAAGTGTATTTCAGTGTAGAAACATTTGTTTCATGCAGGAAATGCTGTGCTATGCAGAGAAAATGCTCCTTTGCACACAACAAAAAACCTGCGCAAATTGTGTACATAAGGCAAACCTTGTGCAAATTTTGTACAGCATTTTGTACAAAATATCCCTCAAAAACTGGGGGTTTTGTAGACTTCCTTTTAGCAGGAAGTAATACAGTTTTACAATTTAAACACTTTAGATTTATTATGAACAATCCAAGACACCAGCATAGCAGCTGAATGGCACCAATTGGCACTAAATGTTGGTGCAGGCAGAGAGTTCTATTTTTTCTTCCAGCAGATTAAAAAATCCAGTACCTTAATCAGTGGTATTTTCTGATCCCAATGAGAATTCCAATATATAAGACCATACAAAAATGTCTCGGTATGAAATAGGACATCTGTTTTGAGTACCTGTCAGTCCTCTTTGCTTGCCAAAATATAAAAGTCACATGTGTTATAGAGTTGTTAGCATTATTTTCTTTGTTTGTTTTAGCTGGAGTTTTTAATGTAAAAAAATAATGTGCATAGCAGGTATCTGAAGCTTAGGGGACATTTGTAGGGTCCATTCTGTGTGATGCCCACAAAAAATATAGTTCTTGGGGCTAAAATCTGCTACTGTAAGGGTTAAACATATGTTATTTTGTAATACTACTTTATGTGTTCTTTAGAAAGTGGTGCATGACTAGGAGAAGCTACGTTTTTTTTCGTTTTCTATATTTGGAAGAGTTAGCATATCTAAATGAGGCTTGTATTCTCTTGCTGAGTCTGTCAGACTGTGATTGATGTATAACATATGCACAAGAACCAGATTTGCCTTCTAAAGTTGCTCCCTCTTTCTGGTAGGTGACCTGGAGCAGAAATTCGACATGGAAATAAGCCCTCTTTGTAATCAGCAGAAAGATACAATACCTAGTATACAAATTGGTGAGTGTAACTTTACACCATTGACAGAAACTTCTGCCAGATGTCATAACATGAGGCACAAGTAAATTGGTTCAAAATGTTCTCCAAGGATGACTGACATAGTCGGATCAGTTTTATAAACAACCCATAAGATTGCAGTGATTTAATCAGCATGTTACAGAAAATAATGTAAAGCCAGATCAGTTTTTGAGTTTTCCTTTTACTCCCATCATACTTCACCAGACCAGTGAAATTTTGGGTGGAGTAAGTAGGTAAAGATATCAATGACAATGAAACCTCAGATCTTTCTGCAAGCAAAAACAGACAACCATTTGAGAGTTGAAAGTTAGGGTGGAAGCTTTGCTTTCCATACTTTCTTCTGTCATAGTTAAAAAATGAACCATTCTACTTTATTTTTTAAAATAATAATAATAATACACTTTATTTATATTCTGCTTTATCTCCCTGGAGGTCTGTTGTCCATAGACGCCTCTGATCGTGCGGCCAGCATGACTGCATGGGGCTCCATTTTACCTTTCCACCAAGGTGACACCTAGTGATCTACTTGCATTTCATGCTTTCAAACTGCTAGATAGGCAGAAGCTAGGGCTGACTGCCAGGAGCTCACCCCGACTCATGGCTTCGAACTGCTAACCGGTCAGCAGATTTCCTGCAGCTAGTAGTTTAATCCACTGCGCTATACTAGGATGAGGGAGGAAATACCAGAAGGAAGCATAAGATGAATGTCAGAGTCAGGGCTCTTCCATAGTCATATAACCGAGAATATCAAGACAGAATAATCCACAATATCTACTTTGCACTGGGTTATCTGAATCCACACTGCCATGTATTCCAATTTAAAGCAGATAATGAGGAATTTTATTCAGCTGTGTGGAAGGGGCCCCAGTCCCAAATGACTTTGCTTCTTGATGTTAGCCAAAATATATAATATCCAAAGTCAGACAAGGTATTTTGGTACATGAAGAATAATCAGTATATATGTTTTCTAAACCAAATAACTATTTGCTAAATGTTCATAACACCTGAAATCATCATGTGTCTTCTGACAAATGTAAACCATGGTGTGTTGTACATCTTATTTAAAAGCACTAGAACATTTGTCTGAATAAGTCTAAGTCAAAAAGTGTGCTTCAGAATGTCTTTCAGTTCTGGACAAGCGGTCTTCCGTATCTTCTGTAACAGGCCCACAAGCATTTAATTAGGAAGCAAAATAAATCAAAAACTATGTTGGGAAGTCAGCAAAGGTGGTCAACAACTGGGTATTTTTGCAAGTTATCCCCTTGTTAAGGATTAAGTTAAGTTTTGTTCACCCCCTTGTTAAGTATTCCTAATTAGTAACCATTCTACAGCACTAAATTCCACAGTTTAGGTATCCATTCATACTTACGTTTTGCCATTGCTGGTTGGTTATATCTGCTTTGAAAGCCTAACTAAATGCAAAATTAAGTGAAAAGGAAGATATGGATGCTTTCTAAGAATGACACTAGATATTCCAAATAAGGGGTAGGTTAGGGTTATAGTTATCTGAGAACAGTTGTCTTCTTACATGAAGTGGTAAAGGCAGTTGCATTGGGCAGGTTGTTTGTGTCCTTGTACCGTTTGTGTGCGTGCATGCGTTTATCTTCATATAGATTATTTAATGCTCTTAAAACTTGTGTAACACATATTATTTTAGCTAATTTATTTTAGTGTATGTTATAAACCATTTTGTTTCTCATATTGAGAAAAAATGTGTTAATACTACACAAAATTGGCAAGATAAAATAAATAGGAAAGAAACTACTAGTTCTATGTAGGTGGAAGAATTTTATGCAAATTATATTTTGTGGAAATTGTTAAAAATGCAACATGTAGGAAGTATTTCGCATTTCAGTCCCATGCTCAAGCCAAGAAGGCAAAAACAGGTACATTAATTGTCAAGGTACTGTCTTGTCATACTGAAAAAGCAACTCTTAACTTCTTCAAATCTCTAATCTGTAGTTACTACAGATTAGTAACTGCACAAAAGCAGATTAGAATATTTGCGCTCTTCTGTTAAGTCTAGAGATCCAGACTGTAACTTTGGTGCCTGTAGGTCAGGTTAAAAATCTAATGGATGTTTGTTGTTCAGCAATAAATAATTTGTATTTCCCATTATGTGCTTGCCAAGTAAGAAGGATAACAGTAACCTTTCAATGTTATGTCCACTGCTGATAATTAAGAATTTATTCTTTCAACGAAGTAGCTGTCCTTTCCTCTGTACCTTGAGGGCATGTAAATTTGGACAACTACAATAATAGCAGTGAGAGAGGAGGTTGTTCTGGTTGCCTCCCCCCTTTGAGCAATTAAAGTTGAGTTTATATTTGAAATGAAATTGAAACAATTGCATCTTTTCTGTTATATAAACATTAATACAATTAGCTTCACATACAGTGAACTTATTTAACCCGAGGACCAGTTCTATTGGTTGCATATGATGTTAATGAAAGATGACTTCATCCATCATGTGGCAAGACACAGCCAAAAAAGACGTTTTTGACCCAAGAATCTTGGTCAACTAATTTTTTTATGTTTATTCAGAGTTCTTAGACTCAGGTTTTCATTCCAATAGTTGCCATAAAAACACATAGTAAAATGGTATTTTCTCAAATATGTGAAGTAACCCAAAGAATAAGCTCTTACTGTACAACAAGGACAGTAGTAGTTGTGCTAGTACAACTGCACAAATTAAGAAGCAGTTGGGCTAAAATAAAAATTGTGGCATAAATAGCCACTTCATACTTCTTTATAGTACCCCAATACATCTTGATGCCTTTAAATCAATAATAACTACCATAAATATTTGAAGAGTTTCATTGCTCTATATACGAGAGGTAGGGGAAAGAGGAAATTATGTGTGGGAAAGAGAATACGATATTTTTATTCCTGCAATGATATACTGATAGAGAAATACTGAAAACCCTACTGAGGAAAACATGATCATCAGGATTGCTATTTCAGGTTCCATACTAGGATGCTGTCTTAACAAGATCATGTGTTTGGAAAATAATTTAGGTGATGATATGCTGTGCCTCATGTTTTTCTCCAGGCTTCATGACCTACATTGTGGAACCACTCTTTGAAGAATGGGCCAACTTTACTGGGAACACTCCCTTATCTGAAAACATGTTAAACCATCTGAGAAGGAACAAGACCAAGTGGCGGAATTTGCTTCATAAGCAGCATAGTAGCAGCAGCAGCAGAAGCGCTGACCACTCAGTTCAAAAGACTGAACATGAAGAACAGACTTTAAATGAAGGAGGAACCCTGTAGTACTGGGCAGCTCAGCTCTCTATACTGCTGTGCAATTGTACCTTTCACAACAGTGAATAAAATCTTAAGGGTCTATTGGACCATTGCAGAAAACAAGAAGGCAAGGGGGGAAGCTGAAGCTACAAGTGTCCTGAGTAGAACCTGTGTCCTAAAGCTCCGCCAGATCTCACTTCCTCATCTTATACGAAGCCATTCATCGCTTCTCATCACAAATTGCTTGAATGAGAAGCTTCTTATGGTCATGCTGAAGCTGGGTTGGTGAGCCAGTGCCAACTAACAGAAAGATTCAAGGGCACAGCCCAAAGCACTACATTCTTGGTGATCATTTCCATTCACTTTGGGTCATACTATGACATATGTTTTTCAACAAAAAGCTTGGAGCAATGTACAGTCTTCAGTCTGGCAGCTGGACTGCACATCCAAAACCATCACCAGCACTGCCAGAACTCAGAGGGCATCTGGCTACACAAGAGAATATATATATATATCTCATTTTAAATAAACAAAGCCGTTTTTAAATTTTTTTGTATTTGGTGCATTGGAAAAGGAATCTTTGAAAACCTTGAAGTAAGGTTATTCTGTGTGCACAAAGTGTTTCCATCCTGGTGCCCATTAATCATTTTATGCCACTTTAGATTTCAAAAAACCCTGACATTCTTCTCACTGCAAGAACAGTATTTCTTATCAAATCAAAAGGGAAGAGTTGTATAGTTTAAATGTTTCCAGATGTCTCTTTTGATGACTGTATCCGTGACCTGTTTATATTCGCACATGTAATGTCTCCTGTATATATAAAGTGCTACTGATTCCCATATCAAAATACCCAAGTATTATGGGAAAGCTACCTGTATAAACAATGGCACTGTGAACAAAATACTGTTAGTTTTAGTATGGAAGCATTTGTAAATATGTTAGTCTATTAATACACTCTTGTTTGCAGATAAAGGCCTTAACTCTAGCATCCTTAACTTTCCGTTGGCTACTAAGAGTCTTATCAATTCATCACAGTCTGTTTTCATTTGTCAGGCTAAAGGTCACATAGAAGTTCTAGCCATCAGATTATTATTATTTTTTTCTTTAAAGGTTCATATGAACCCATAGTGTTCTACAGATCAAACAGATGCAGCTCAAACCAGCTCTTGCCATTCAAAAAATTCTCAAGATCTTACCTTATATTGAAAAGCTACAGCAAACAGAAGCCAAATCAAATTGGGAGGCTGATACCAAGTTAGATATTGGGTTTTTCTATGCCAAATCAATAAATGATTTGCCATATTCATGGATTTTGCTGAAGTTTTAAAGAAGTATTTTATTATTCATATGTATATGAATAATAGCTATAGGTAAAGGTAAAGGTTTTCCCCTAAGTCTAGTCATGTCCGACTCTGGAGGGTGGTGCTCATCTCAATTTCTAAGCCGAAGAGCCAGCGTTGTCCGTAGACACCTCCAAGGTCATGTACCGCTCTAAAAATGTCTATTAAATCTGTCCTCATACCAAAATCAAGAAAAATATAACAGCAGTTGATCAACCATCTAGAAACGTTTCAGTGTCCATAGTCATTTATTAAATTTATATTCTACTTTTCTTTCACATATTATGTACAAGATGGCTGACAATAAAACAGAGCATAAAAGGTCTCTGTTATCAAAACACATAAGTAAGACAGTTAAATGCTTATTAGTACAATTAAGAAATTAGCCCCCATGAGTTGAAACTTGTTTCTGGAAGTGGAAAGGTCAGCCTAAATTCCTAAGCCTGTTGACATATATAATTTCAATACAGAATTATGAATTATAAACAGGTTCTTAGAATACATACCCACAAGGCAATAGTTTCTTAGTAGTAGCATGACTAAGTGAAGTAGTTTCAGTAATTCATACTCCCACAGTACTATTTTACCAGACTTTTTAATGCAATAAACAAGAATGTACAAATATACAACACAGACTAAAGGCTATTACATTAGAATGTTATCAATGGGGAACAAGAAAAAAATCAAATAGCTAGAGAATGAATACTTTCAGTTGGGCTCCATATCTGCAGCGCATGGAAACAGAGCCTAGCATCATCTTCAGGAGTCAGGTGTTATTCAACTCCAAGTGGGAGAAAGTGGGGGAAAGGCAGGTAAGCACATGGGATGGGGAGCCATCCCAGAAGACAGGAAAAGATGGGAGGGAACGGGGTAAAATTGTTCCCTCCAGTTTCCCTCTGCTCGATCTGATGAAGCTCTTAGACCCAGGTCTACTTCATTCAAAACAAAGATGCTATAAGTTCTCTTTGCATACATCAAAATTCCATGTTTTTGAATGCTAAGGTTTTAAACAGAAAACAATTGCTCCTACATCAGTCAGATGAGAAGACATCCTCAAAGTGCTTTACTGACAGAGCGCTAGCAGCATTCTTGAACTTGGAGCATGTCTCCTTGCACACTGCTAAACATCCTGAAGGAAACATCTCTTTGGGAATACACAAGCCTACTATCTGGTTAATTATTCTCTGTAACACTTAGAATTTATCATAATTTTTGGTTACTGGGAATGTATGTTTCTATATCTTTTCCATTAAAATATCTGATGTTTCAGTTTTAAAGCTCTTATTGCCTCAAGTGAGGCAGTTGAGCCTTTCAGAATGGGGGGAAAACTCATGCAAAACTGGGAAATAATCAGTGAATGGTGTCAAGGGATATAGAGTCAATTCAACCCCTCCGCATTGAATATATTGGATATAAAATATATTGGGTAAAAGCATCAGAGTGGGAATTGTACAGCCCTCCACAGGCTGAACTACAGCTCCCAGCCACCATAGTCAATGCTGATGAAGAAATAACATCTGGAGGACTGTCCAATTCCCACTTAATACACAGAGCTTCACACACAGCATCCTTTTGGCTACACTGGACTGTAATTAACTCACAATATTATAGTAGTCCAGAGTTCTGAATAGATACTGTTATACAGTTCTATTAGAGCTCCAATAAAAAAAACTTTCTCTAAAGAATATTCCATGTTTTTGAATGCTAAGGTTTATTTTTATATATATATATATATATATATATATATATATATATATATATCTACTAATCACCCAAGCCTTCATTATGTCAATTTGACATGTGACAGGTATTTAGAACCAATCTCCATATATTGAGTGTAATCATAGTTTTTAGAGTCTAAGATTATCTAACACAGAGAGGTACAAAGGCTCTAAATCAATGAGCTCTACCAGTATGAAAGATAAGAAAGGAGAAACTTGGCCATGTGAATTCAGAGAATATCTATCTCTATTCACCAGTGTAAAAAGTATAGAGTAGAAGCAAGTGATTAGAAAGCCAATGAGTGATCTGTAAACTCAGACTTACTAAAAACACGCACAGCAGGAGCTACAGACTATTCAAGCCAAAGTAATGTAGGCCATAGTGAGTCTCAAGGCTGGAAAGTGAGTTTAGACTGAGAAAACTGAAATCATTTGATTGCTAGACAAATACTTGATTAACCAATGCTCAAAGAGCCATTTCAGATTATAGAGAAAGGAGGTATATGTAGTAGGTTTACCATGCCAAAACCATAGCAGAGAGAGCCTATGATTTTCATTTAACGTAGTGTGAAGGGGAAAACAGAGAAAGCATTAAACTGCTAAAATTCCATAAGGCACCAAAGTTTTAGCCTGCTCACTTAGTGTCCCCATGGCTTGGTGAAGATTCAAGTCAACCAAACTGATAACTACAGAAACAACAAAAAGAGGAGGTAGAAATAACCCAATTTCTTAATATTTCACTTCATTTTGTAAAGGCTTATCAGCCTATTTCCATTATTGATGACATGGTACATTTCCCGTGCTATAATGACAAGGAACTCCAGAATCTTCCACCCCAGGGAGGAAGAGGAAGACAGCAGCTTAACAGAAGAAATACACACTCTCCTCTTCCAGAAGACGGCAGCAATTGCCATAGTGACTGTCCCAATGCCCAAGCAGCTATGAATGATCAGTTCTGCTGGACAGAAACTAATGGCTTCCTTAATGATTCTGAGGACCCACAGAACCAAACAGAAAGCTAGGCTGTATATGAAGGAGGTGCATATGAATGCAAATAGTTGCATAGTGGGCTGCAGCCCACTATGAATGTTTTCACATTCATATTCACCTTTCTGTGCCAGATTACAAATTAAGCTGCTGCATGGGTACAAAACCTTACAGCAATCAGTTTGGAAGTAAAGTAATACCAGACCACAATGTTTCTGCATAAACAGGGCATTTTCTAGGTTGCCAAAGACAAAAATATTAAAGATAAAGTCCAACAATGAATTTTACTTATTGCGATCAAGTGAATGGAGGTAAAAAAATCTCAAATTGTAAAATGGCTAGGATAACAGTAGAAATGAGAAAACTAAAAAAAGCAGCAATGGAGAAAGGAGTTGTGTGGATATGAGATTGGTAATGTGCAGTGAAGAGAGGAGTTGTATGGATATGAGGTTGGCAATGTGCAGCCTTACAGAAAGGACACTAGTGGTCTCACATTTGCAAATTCTCTGTATAGCTCTGTTGATTTAAATATTTTAGTACACTTCTTGTACATCTCAACAACTCTACAAACAAAAGGACAGGACATTTGGTTGTTCAGCTGAGAGAAAGTGTCAGTCTATTGAACAACAACATATTGTACAAGAAAACTAAAGCTACTTTTGCAGGTGGTGCTCGATTGCCCTCTGGTGGTTAGTTGCATGTCTTAAATCACTCCTAGAAATGGACAAGAAGTGCCCTTAAAGTCCCAATATATACTGCAGATGCATCTGTAATATAATGGATGTCAGGAAACAAGAATGGTCACCTTACTCAAAACCTAGAGTAAAACTGATAGACTGATAGATTCAGTAGCTGATGTACAGAGGCCAAAATAATACAGTGGGCCTTTGGTGTCTGCTTGGCTCAGGAGTTTGTGGAGGCAACATCTGTGGAAACTTAAAGTCTCATTATACAGAATGGCATCCCTTATATAAAATCATGAACTCAAACAAGTGCTGTAGAGAACCTGATGATCTGTGAAATGGTGGCCGGCTTTTCTGGTATCTGAAGTATCACATACTCCTATACAGCAATGTCTTCTAATGTGGTAAAGTAATGATGTAGCCCCAAAATCCAAACAATTGAGCCAACAGATTCAGGATCAAAATCTGTGTTTGTAACGTGTTGCTCACTAACTGTTAAATCTACTCGGCCGTGGTAAACCAGATTCCTGCAACCTTGCTCTGGCATTAGACGTGCTTTCATTGCAAATTGCCAGATTCAGTACATGTTTGGCATTTTCTGCATATTCTACTTTAAATTCTAAATGCTTACAGCACACTATAAATTAGATACTAATACAAGATAAACCACTAACAGAGGCATATAACTGTATTAACATAGCTTTCTGAAGAGTGGCACATTTTTCAGATCATCAGACAGCCATGCAGACACATTCAAAGTCCAGACTACAAGCTCTACATTTATTGGGTTGCTGTGTTTTCTGGGCTGTATGGCCATCTTCCAGAAGCATTCTCTACTGACATTTCGTCCACATCTATGGCAGGCATCCTTAGAGGTTGTGAGGTCTGTTGGAAACTAGGTAAGTGGAATGTCCAAGGTGGGAGAAAGAACTCTTGTCTGTTGAAGGCAAGTGTGAGGTCTGACAGAAAACAATCAGGGCCAGATAACACTTCCCAACAAAGGATTTCCCCCAGCAGGAAGCAGTCAGGCTTTGAAGCTGCAAGGCCATTGAATGCAAATCAAGGTGGCCAATTGCAACATTCACACTTGCCTCAAGCAGACTAGAGTTCTTTCACCCACCTTGGACATTATATAGATATATAAACCCCATTCAACATTTATTGCTAACATATTCCTAAACTTTCATAGTATCTCTTTGTAAATGTAAATGTGGAACAAACAATTATTTCCATTGTGAGAAAGGAGTATGTAGAGATGGTAATAGGACCATTAAACACCAAGAAACAAATTAGGACAAACAAACACTTTAAATCTGTCAAGAAAACACATATTCTGAGTTGATTCCCCCCTGCCTTCTTTTTCCTGACACCTTAAAGATTTTCACTCAAAGCAATCACTATTAGGTATAATGTTCTATGAGTTGGCCAATTTACTCTTTTGGAAATGTACTAAGAAACATGCAACAGATTGTCAGAAGGTTAGCAAAATTTAGCAGAATCTGCCAAACACACATTTCCCTATGATAGGCTTGCCAGGACATAGCTATAGAAGAGATGTATATACTATAATTATTTTCATAACATTCCCACTGTGCATTGTAAAGAAAAAGATACCTTATGATTCTTGATGGAAGAATTGTGAAATCTAAAATATTAACATCATGGAGAAAGATCACAGTCCACATATAAAAGAATTTATTTTAAAACTGAATACACTGGGTAGAAAATGGGCAATAAAGATATTGGATAAAGAATTTCAAATACACCCATATGTCACCTGGATTCTTTGCAACCTTTTGCTGCATTTATACATTCTTTTTTAAAGCTAACATACTTCTTCTTCAAACAACAGCACCTTAACCAAATAAACTTAACATGTGCAGCTATTTATATTTTCCGTTTTACTTTTCTTTCTTAAATTTACTTATCTAAAATCTCAATCCCAAACCATAACATAAGATATAAAACAGATATTACGGTTCATTGAATTTAAATTAAAATATTTTATAAAAGCAAATTTCATGTGTGCATGGTTTTTTTAAAAAAAATCCCCTACAACAGGTGTTGCCTTATATCACAGGGAGCACATAAAACAAGTTTAAAAGTAGTCCAAGCGACGGTAGATAGCATGGCTTTTTCCAGAGATCCCAAGCATGGCTAAAAATGCATTACTGCCTTGGTAGTTGATGTATATATCAATTCCTCAGTTCTAGTGAGTGTCTGCTTCATACATGTTTTTGAAATATGACAGCCAACCTGAAATCAAAAACACTTTTCATTTAGAAAGTTGTTTATTACTCACTTTTTAACCATATAGACAAAAGTTTTATTATATATTAAATAAAAAGACATTTAAGCAAACTGTCAGTTTGAAACTAAACCTTTAGCCCTACCTTTCTTCTAATATAGGTGAAGCAACTGAAATCTTAAATCAGTGTTGAAGCAGGATCATATGTTATATAAAGGCCAATAATTTGTTCCAGGCAAGACAATGTTATTTTCAGTAGCTTGTCAATCCAGTTACACTATTCTGAATGGCATTGCAGTCCCAGAAAAGATTGGGTCTGTAGTTTCCAGGTGTGATGATGGCAAGCCCACAGTTTGGTCCCGTGAATTTAACAACATTTTATGGAGATAAGAATTATAGGAGCAAAATTTCAATACAGTCAGTCCTCGAGTTACAAACGAGACAGGTTCTGTAGATTTGTTCTTAAGTTGAATTTGTATGCAAGTCAGAAAAGTACATTTTAAAATGGAATTCATTTTTTTAGCACAGGGAAGGGTTAACACCCTTGTAATGTTTGTTTTGCCATCAGTGCCCTTTCAGGAGATTTTACTTGATTCTTTCCGCTGTGACAATTGGATTTTAAAATTTTGGAGTTGTTATGGAAACAAGAACTGGTGATAAAGCATCAGTGGAGACACCTTTTTCCCCATGATAACTCTTATAGAAGTGAATTTTCCTTTTTAGGGGCATATTTTCTCTCACTTCATGTTGTCTTGCCCCCATTCTTAAATCATACATTTGTAATTTGGAGATTGCCTGTAGTCATCTGTGATATTCAAGTCCTTTCTGCAAAGCAAAAGCCCTCTGATCTCTTGTGCACACACTCTGTGTCTCCATCACATTTATCCTAGTTTTGCTCCTGTCAAAAATGCATTCTGATGCAAATGACCAAATGAAGTCTTTAAAATCATATACATACCATTGGAGTGTCTGGACTGGAAAATGGAGATGCACCATAGGATCTGTTTTCTTTATCAAATGAATCATCATCATTGCTCCGGGATGCAAATTTCTCTTTAAGAGCTTCTGCTATTATAGCTGCTGGATCCCACTGTGACAGCATTTTCTTCTTTGTTTTGGGCAGTGGGGTTCCTCCAGGGGATCTGAAGAAAGGAAGGAGAATCTTTCCAGTATTTAGGCACTACTATACCTGTACAATAGTATTTGTTAACACTTTGACAAAACTAACACTTGTAATTCTAAAGTATTTTCATTCTTCTACTTTCAACATTTTGTTTTCTACAAAAATCCTCAATTTTTTTGTGAATTTCCACCAAATATTATAAGCTATTTTGCAACTATCTATACTATACATATTATACAATCCTGCAGTAGAATGGTATCAGGGGTTTGACAGTCTTTGAAGTCTTTAGTCACTCCAAATAACTCCCAGTAAGTCCTCATTCAAATTAAAGACTGGGAATGCCTAAACAGTTTATACTGAGGATGTAAATCTTTGCTTTTTAGGTTCCAGAATTCACACCCTGATCAACTTACCTCTCGACAGCTCTTAATTTAACCTTGTTTATATCCTTCAGAACATCCATCATGCTAGGAACAGCCTTCACTTCCTGACATCCACTATTGTCTGCAATATTTCTGGTCTTATTTGCAGCCCGTCGTTGTTTAATAAGCTCAATTGCTGAATTACTGGAATCAACGTTAGACTGCAGTACAGGAGGTGGGGGAGGCACAGCGTCATTGCAAAGAGAGACAGGAGCTGGTGTAGAAGTTGTTGTCTTGAAGAAACCACTAGAACACGTGTTTGATGAATGCACCGCATCTGAGCCTATTAAACAATTGAGAAACAATATAAGGAAAATATAAACTTGAACAGTCAATATTTAAATATGAATTACAGGTAGGCCATATTGCTTAGTCTAAACACAAGATGGGATCAACAGATCTAGAACACAATCAGGAACACATCAAATTTGGTCTCTGAGCACAGTAAATGCTGCTGTTTTTAACATCTACATCGTAACTGGCTCTAACAGAATAAGAGGTTCAAGATTGCTGAAAAATTATGGGCTATTGTCCCACTTAACCTAGGCTTCCTCGTAGTTCTTATGATAAAATATAGCCATACCATTAAAGTAAACTCCATAGTAAAAGAACAGGAAGGGGAGGAATACCAGGTTCCCTTGCATTGCCACCAATGCCTTATCTCTGGTCCCCAAACTCATGCCCTGCTCCTCCACATAATTAGCATGCAAAGAAAGCAGGGAGCACCCAGGCAAGCAGAGAAAAGCAGGAAACAAGCAAGTGGGCAGGAAAGGGCAAGCAGCAAAGAAGAGAAAAGCCATACAGATGGGTTGGTGGAGAAAAGGATAATGGGGAGAGTGAAAGCACAACATGGGCAACTCCTCGCAAAGAAGAGTCCCTGGTAGAATGGCTGCTGCTGTGCATTGCATGGGTCTCTTCTTTTGCCATGTGCTTTAGCTTCTTCCATGCCTCAGTATGCACCCCCCCCCCCTTTCTCAACATGCCATTTTTCAGTGATTTGCAAGCCTGGTTGCATGTTCATAATATTTTAATAATTTTTTATTAATAGAAGTATTTATTACAATGTTATAAAACTGGGATAGCAGGGACAAGTAGAGGGGAAGAAAGATAAAAATTGGGATCGCTATCACCTAAGGGGGAGGAAAAGAGAAAAAAAGAGGGGGGAAAGAAGAATAAATAAATAATGGTCATGGGGTGGAAAAAATGTCGGGAGAAACAGAAAAGGGGATTATGTTGACCTCCAATCTTTTTCATCATGGTTAAAAAGTCTATTTAATCTCTTGTTGATTTGTGCTTCTCCCATTCAACCTTTCTTCAGATGTGAACAGTTTTTCTGTGTATCTTCCTTGTATTATATTGACATTTGCATTTTCTCTTGTTTCAAATAGTCTTTAAATAATGACCAATACGTTATTTTTTTTGAACCACCTTGGTGGTTGGTTAATAATTGGGTCAAGTTGTCCATACTCATTTTATCAGCTATGCTCAATGGCCATTCTTCTATTGATGGAACTTCCTTGATTCTCCAATTTCTTGCATAGATTATTCTAGCTACTGCCACAAAGTAATTAAACAAAATGTTTCGATTTTTTCCAGTTCCAAGTCTATCATGCCCAGAAGAAAATATTCTGGTTTCAATTTAATTTTTATTTTCAGTATTTTCTGGATTTTTGCAGGTTTGCGATCTTGTAGACTCTGTTAAAATAGTGTAGACAACAGCAAAAGGGCCAGCAAATAATTCACAAATAATCAAATTCACTAAAGTTAAAGCCATGAAAATGGGGAGCCTCATTTTTTCCTATTTCTGCAACTACAGAAATAAAAGTTAAGAGATGAAGCAGTAGCAAGAGCACATTCTTTACAAATCTTACATTACAAGAAACTATACATACACATTTAGCAGAATCCACATAAACAGACTTACAAGATAAATCATTTTCTGCCCTTTGCACTGTCACAAGTGCAGCAATCTGTTTCCGAAGGAAGGCTAACTCGTTCTCAAGAGTAGAAATTTTTCTACATGTATCTTCATCCACAACAGTTGCTTTTTGAGATGCTGATGATGACACAGGACGTATAGATGGGGCCACAGCCTCTCTCCATTGATCGGATCTGAAAAATACCAACATAAATCTTTGTAAGTAAATAGAAATAAACATTCAAGATTTACTGAACACCCGTTTAACAGGCAAGTGAATTCATCTGAGCATCTTTCAGGTATGGTTCAGTTAATGAAGTTCATATATTCCTGGACATTACTTTTTAACATAAAGCTTAGTACCAAAGGTAGAAATAATTTGAAAAGAACAGATATAGTTTCATAAACACACAAAAAGAGCAGTTCAAATGTTTAAGCTTTTATGACTGGATAACTAATACTGTTTTATTGTATTGTATTGTACGATTTTATTTTGTTTTATAATTGCAATTATTGCGGCATCGAATTGTTGCCTTTGTTAACCGGTCTGAGTCCCCCTGCGAGGGTGAGAAGAGTGGGGTAGAAATGCTGTAAATAAATAAATAAATAAATAAATAAATTTTATTCTAAACTAACAATATATATGTGTGAAAAAAACAAACAACCAAAGAAAATCTGAACCATGTAGGAATCATCTGTAGGCTTTTCCATCATGCATTTTCTTATACCAGCCTCCATTTTTTTTTATGATTGCCATTTTGATGGTCCAACTTGAAGATCTATTTAAAAAATATACCTAGGCTCAGCTCCAACTCAATTACAATAAAACCAAAATCATGGCTTTNAAACATGGACTTCCACCCCCCAAAGCTGGCGGGAAGACACATCTCCATCCTGCTTGATGCAGATGATGCTGCCGTGCTCTCTAGAACACCCATTGGGCTCAAAAGAGCTTTGAGAGCATTAATACAATATTGCAACACAGATCAGTTCCAACTCAATTACAATAAAACCAAAATCATGGCTTTCGCTAATAGGCCCAGGACTTACTCTTGGAGCATAGATGGTCATAAAATTGAACAAGTTACATCCTTCAAATATCTAGGTGTAGTTTTCCAATCTAATGGTAGCAGAAGAGCTCATGGGGATCAAGTATCCAACACCGCGCAGGGGAGCTCAATTGCCATTCTTAAATATCTCAGGACAAGAGGGGGTCACTTCACACCGGCAGCGCTCAAGCTGTTTGAAGCCAAGTCATTAGCCCAACTCTTGTATGGTGCTCAGCTGGGCCCCTTCCCCAGTTTTGCCCCATTAGAGGTGGTTCAGTCCAAGTTTCTGAGATCGTCCTTGCAGGTACCTCAATGCGTTTCTAATGCCACCCTGCGTCTAGAGACGGGCTTGATGAGAGTGGAGGCCAGGGTGTGGGTGGCCATACTTAACCTCTGGCTCAGACTGTCCCGTGCACCCCTTGGCCTTGCCCCACTAACCATGGAGGATGACTTCCAATCCACATGGAAGCAGGCGGTAGCATCCAAAATCTCCTCGTTGGGATTTTCTCCAGGTCTACTATTAGCTATGGATTACAATCAAGCCAAAGCACTTATTAAACAACGTATCACAGACACAGAGCACCAACTAGATCTGGCCTCGGCTCCAACCTTCCTTATCAGTGAAGACAGCAGATACCTTGCCTCCCCTATGGCATATTTAACATACTTAGAGGTTCCTATTCATCGAAGGGCTTTCACCCTGGCCCGATGCCACGCTCTCCCATCAGCTGTACTTGAAGGCCGCTACCGGAAGATCCCTTTCCCAGAGAGACTCTGCCCCTGTGACTCGGGTCATGTAGAAACAATAGAACATGTGCTCCTTCAGTGCCCGTTCTACAGGGATATCCGTGCCAGGCTTATCTTACCTCTGATATACAAGCACCCAGCCCATTCAGGACAATTTTATGCCTTCATGCTACTTATAGATACTAATTCAGATACAACCTACAATGTTGCAAAGTTCTGTGCAGCAGCATACAAAATCCGTCAGGGAATGACTAGTCCAAAAGTCAACTGTGTGTCCAGTAATCTTCTTCCCTGAATCTACAATTTGGTGATGGATCTGGGCATTGTATGTTTTTACCCTGTTTCCCCTTCTGCTCCCTCATCCATATTGTGTTTTTAGTAGTTATATTTATATTTATATTTTTAATGTACCAAACATGCCAGGTTTGTATGGAAATTTGACACTATTTCCTGTGCTGGTCAATGACCGAAATAAATGTTTTGATTTGATATACCTAGGGATGGGACATGACTAGTGAGTCAGATTAACAACAGAGCTGCATACTGAGTTTATCCTCCAAATTGAGGAATGTGTAAGGCAGACAAAACTTATGTCTTGGACCAAGATGCTACCTGGAGCATCTTCAGTCAGTTACTGGAAATGAAGCTGATAATATCAGGAACTGTGTCCCCTCCCCCACATGCCATCTACCCTCCAGTTATTTATTTATTTATTTATTTACTTACTTCTTTTGTATACCGCAAATATCAGCCTAAAAAGGCGACTCGAAGCGGTTTACAATAAAATGTGCAACACTGAACAATCTATATAACAAACATACACAAACAATACACATAAAAATCATCACGCCTCATTAGAATCAGATCTAATCTAGTTAGGGTGTAAAGGTAACAAAATCATAAACTGTATAATCAAAGAAAAAAAAAGAACATTTCTGAAGTGAGATATAAGCTGAATTTGATCAATTCTGTTATAAAATATCTAAACATCTGTGAAAATCAAATTAGTTTTACTTGCCTGTATTTAGTATATGAGTCTCTGTCATCATATGGCATCCACAAGACATCAGCGAGGGATGGTGTAAGAGAGCTAACACTGTTTCTTTGTTCAGACTCTAAAGAATCCATACTTGCAACCAACTGAAGTAGAAAAAAACTCTATTAAATATCTATCAGACTTATCTACCTAGCACTACCATAGGGCTTTTCCCATTAGCTCTGCAGTGTTGTTTTCTGGACTGCATAGGAATACTAGTTCTCACATTCCCCCTTGAAAGAGAGGGAATGAGCAAACCAGTGCAAACAAAACAACCAATACACAAATACTGCAATCCTCATAAAGGTTACCTTTAACTGGCTAACTGTTTTAGGGACAAGTTCATCATGTAGCTGAAACTTAAAAAGACAAAAGGAATGATTTGTAGTGAGGTGGAAAATATCACAGAATCTCCACTGCATGTCAATGAGAAGAGCCACTAAATAGTGGCAGTTCTTTGGCCTTGTTTGGAAGCAATGTTTTGCCAACAACTTTATACCCCTCAGCTATATATAATTGTTGGACACATCTACAGTACATCCAATGGAACTAAGTGTAATATATCAAGTTCCCATTGATTCAATGGATCTAATTCACTGGGACTAGCAACTGATTTAGACACTGCTTGCAAAAAAATGTGACTAAGAGGAAGTAAACCAGAATTGTATACAATAAGGTTACAGGCAGGCCTGTAGCTGGGAGGGGGCGGGGTTAGTATCCTGGTTTACTCATGAATTTTAACTGGTTAACCAAATCCCCATGCTAAGTCTATGAGATGCAAAAAATTAAGAGTCCCTCCAGAACTGCAAGCACTATCTCAGGCAAATATTGACAATTTATTCACACTGTCATTACTTGCAGCAATAGCTGATGTAGTGAAGCAACCAAGTTTGGGGGGGGGGGGGGGTTGAATGCTCTCATTAAGGAGGCCAGACTTGGTGGAGGTGGTTGACAGGGGCGGAGCTGCAGGCTATTGAAGGCTGCTCTGCCCCCTGCTGTGCTCTTTGCTTCAGTATGAGCTAGGAGGCAGGTTTCAACCCCCCCCCTCAAATTTTCAACCCCCCCTCCCAAATTTTCAAAACCCCCCCCCTGAAATTTTTTTCTGGCTACAGCCCTGGTTACAGGTACAACTTCAAGAGGTGTTAAGAGTATTGCCACCTGAACCCTTGCGAGTCTGCCCAAACTCAATACTTAAGTACACTATCTCAATTTTTAGGAGAACTACCTAATATGTTAAGTGAATTAAAATAGCTGGCAACATGAAAACAAAATACTTGAACATTTATTAAATATTGTTCAAAATTCACAACGTTATTCAACTGTTATTTTGCAGTCATGGTGCCACTGTCCCTCAAACTATTGATTTCAACTGTTTTCTATATTTATGGTGGAAGTGTATTTTGTACTTTGTACACCCTCCATTATTATTTTTAAGGGCCACACTTGACTATTGAGATGGCCACAATATCTGTCCAAAATATTTTTTTCACACTTCAACTTCCATAGTTGATTTTGAAAACCATAAATAGTATAGTACAGCTCATTTAAGGTTATTTTACTCTCCCCATTGTTCAAGACAAGCAAATTCATGAAAAAGACATTTGTTGACAAGATATATATCTTAAATTTAGCATTAATCTACACATACCTGTAAGTGAGGCCTTGGACAAGGAGTTAACAAAAGATGTTTCCCCAATCTGCGAACAAAACTCCGGGTAGATCCATAATTTTTTCGTTCCCAAGCCAAAGACATCTAAGAGGCAAGAAGATTATTTCAAGTTAAATGAAAACATTTGAAATAAAGCTGTCAGTCAACTAATAAGCTTTAATTAGAATTTAACTTGAATCTAATCTAAATTACTGTGCTTATTGCTAAAATCTCAATTATGATATCTTTCTTCTGTGACGAAGAAGGCAAAAAAAGTTTTTCAGTGGAAGTCTCCTGTGAAGAACATCATGCACAGAGCACACTGGATGTGCCCAATGTGTGAGTGTATATATATCTGAAGCCAGGCTCATTTAAAAAAAAATCACAACTAGCAAACTAGCCAAATAGGTAAAATGCACTCTCAGCTGCTGACATCACCTGTAAGTCAGCTTGAAAAGTATCCTCAAACTGTATAACTAAGTTTGGGACAAGTATATAAACATATATTTAAAAAATTGGAAATCTACACAAATCAGCAGCCTTCTTAACTAACAACATGTATTTCTTAACTGGATATGTTTTAGTTTATTAATTTTAAGAAAGAATACATTCTAAAATTGAAAAATATAATACAGTATAGAAAAATCGCCCACAACACTCTTCTTGGGGTAGAACAGAGGTGAATAATTGATATTTGTTCTAAAACTGCCACCATTTGTAGCGGGACAGCCAATTGTGAGAAATTATGAAAACTATGCTAAAAGGTTCTGAAAAAGTAAACAAAAGACAGATGTGTAGGAAATTAAGCAAATACCCACTGATTTTAGCAAAGGCAAATATGATTCTTTAAAGAATTAGATCGAACCACTGCCTCAACATCCTCCAATGTTGTTTACTGTAAAATGCTCTACTGAGAATAGGTTAGCATTTTCAATTCTACCTGATCTTTTAGGTCTGGGGAAGACTTTTTCTAAAACAAAAACAGTGGAACACAAAAGGGAATTGGCATGAAAAATAATAATGTGGAAATGCAGTCAACCCGACCAATACCCATATGTTTACAAAGCACTACTAGACAGAAGAGAGGAAAATACTGACAATCTTACCAAACATCTCCTTGAGATGTCACATAATTGTTGGATGTTTGTTCTTGGGGCAGTGGAAGAGGAAAGATGGGATCCTATCACATAAACAATACGACCAAGACAGACTTGACACCTTTGCAGGAGCTGTGAAAAGATACAGTTGTCACAGAAAACATGTATACCTATATGCCTACTCAGACATTCCCTAGAAAACCAAGGAGAACTGAACTAGGGAGTGGCTGTGGACATGAACAGAAGCATCACCACCCAAAACTGTGGTTTTCAGCTGGTGGCTCTGAACTATTAGGAACAGAGAATATGCCAATACACTATCTATCTATCTATCTATCTATCTATCTATCTATCTATCTATCTATCTATCTAAGATCTTCAGAAGTGTTGTTTAGTGTTCAAAACACATGTACTCTCCCATAAATATCTTGTTTGTATTTCATGCTCTCAGAAGACAAAATTCAAGTAGACTTCTTTTAAAAATAACTTGTTCGTTTTATTCACATGCATTTAAATATGCAGGCACATTTCTTGTTAGTTTAAACTTTAAAACATTTTGGTTGTGTCTTTAACTTGAAAACTTCATCAGTCTCTTCAATACCATACAGTTCTGGACAACTCTCTTTTATAACTACTTTCAACTGCCATATTCAACTGTCTTCCCTCAACTGTTAACTTTTAAACTGTGTTCTAAACAGTTCCTGATCTGGTCACATAGTTTACAGTCCCTACCACAACCTCAAGAACATATTTAGAAAAACTGCATACAAAAGAACACATATACACTTCAAATAAAATAAAACATCATATTGTGTACAGACAAATCATTAAACAGAGGAGGCTTGAGAAGGTTCCCTATTTCCAACAACAGAAGATCCCACTATTTTAAGAAAAGTGTTGATGTAGAAATGTATGTTTTTTACAAATATGTAGTGAAGAGACACTTGGTATAGAAATGTTTCATACCTGTTTGGCATTGTTAGAAATAAAATTTCTATTTTTAGAGATGATAGAATGTTGCTTTTCACAAATGATGATGAATCTTGAAAATATGGTCTTGCTATACCTTTAAAGTAGAAAATTTTCCCTTCACAGGTGCAGACATATACACCTTACTTTGTTAATAGACACACTTTTTTACTATAACTTTGACAAATTCCCTACTTGCCTATTGATAGATGTACTTTGTTGTAACTTTGATAAAAATATGTTTGGCATATGGAAGAAAAGCTTGTTTTAGGGAATTAGTTTAGGCAACTGTTTCTAGGAAAGTAGGGACTGGCCGCTGTGGAAATGAGGATATAAAATTGTATTGAGCTTTGTTTGTGTGTGCCTCTTTGAAAGCACCGCCACCCTTTTTTTGGTAAGAATTATGATAAAATAATATACTGTTTCATCACCTTTTCCCAAACTTGTCCTTGTCTTTCAGAAGGACTCCTGCTTGCAGGAGTTTTGCACCAGGACTGTGGCGCAGCTGGCTGAGCGTCAGCTGCATTAAGATCACCTCTGACCAAAAGGTCATGAGTTCAAAGCCAGCCTGGGTCGGAGTGAGCTTCCAACCAGTTGTGTAGTTTGTTGTTGACCTTTGCAACCCGAAAGACAGTTGCATCTGTCAAGTAGGAAAATTAGGTACCACCTATGTGTGGGGAGGCTAATTTAACTAATTTACAAGGCCATAAAAAAGACTCCAGCAAAGCACTCCAGCAAAGCATGTGGGGAATGTGGAAGTACTTCATCAGTGTCGCAGATGGACGATGAAAGCAACAGCTCCCCTCGTGGCCAGAAAAGTTAAATAGCCTCTGACTGTCTGTCTATATCTGTTGTGTGTATTTTACAAGTATTTACATTTTACTGCAAGAAGATGCAATTATCGAAAGTGTTCAAAAAAATTGGAAATACAGCTTCTGAGCACAACACAAAAACAAATGCAGAATGCCAAGCTGGGGAATACAGCTTCCCGGGGTTAATATGCCTCTCATTATGGCACAAATATGGGATTGTGAACATTTGTAGGACTTCTATAGTTTTGCTCCTGCTTTAATACAAACACAGTTTCCAGGTTTGAGAATATTACACTATATACTTACCAGATCTGGTGGCACTCCATAGTATTCCAGCAGTTGTCTTAAGAGATTCAGCAGCAGAGACATTTACAAAGCAATGTATTATTTCAAGGCACTTCAGTAAGCATGCGCTATAACTGCAGGAAAAAGTTGGTTTGATGATGAGAAAGAAAATATAAACTAAATCAGTCTTAAAGAAAAAAAATTCTCAACTTAATATAAAAGCACTGTTAGTAAGAGAAACATAATGTCTCACAATAGTGTATTAGAAACAACTGAGGCAATAATATACAAATACAGTGTGGTTTAAACTTTATGGGAGGGTTGTGTGCTTGAACACCTCAATAATTTAAGTCTTGACACTCTGGCCTGATCTTATTTCTACTATGACAATGCATTGCCTAGAGGACTAAGAAATAACATGATATGAATACTAGTGGCATTCATGGGAAGCAAATATCTGTACTATGAGTCAGACAAAGGACTCTGCTACATCTTAGAGATGCAAAGGCCTGGGAGTAAAATTGAGGAAAAAATACTTTTCCCTGTTTTTTTCCAAAGCATTTTTCCTCAGATTTTTTTTACATTCAAAGATACTAAGAATGTTGAATATATTGACGAAGACAAGGTCTTCATATATTTATTTCCCAAATTGTATCTAAAAATGACATAAGAAGAAAAAATAATACACGGGATAATGTTGTAATATCCACTGGTATTCTTTAGGTTTCTGTTTTTGTTTCTCAGTTCTTTTTGATGGCAATGGGTGGCTTATGTCTGCTAGACATTATGGCAAACTAGAGGATGCAATTAATTTTGTTTTATTACGGTAATAGCTTATTCTGTTTTATTGTTGTTGCCTGCTTTTAATAAACAGAAAACACAAGATTTCCCATACAGTTTACAAGTTCTTTAAATTTCAGGATTGTGTGACTCCATTTCCAACTAAAATAGTTAAACTAATTAGTAATAACCAACATTATAGTTTTATGCTAAACCAATTATACATCACAAATTTTTGATCCTAAAGTAACAATTTCTCTATCAATGTGTACATGATGTCAATATGGCTTTTAAAAATCAATCTGTTCTAAAATAAAATCTGAATTTAATACAAATATTTTTAAATGAATTAATAAAACTAAGACATTGGTGGTGCTGATGGAGAGTTCCACAGATACCACGAACAGTAAAAAAGGGCCAATAAATGGGCCATTGAGCTTATCAAGCCTGAACTCTCACTATAAGCAAATGTAAGACTAAGCAGAAGATTCGATACTCTGGAAACATCATGAATCAACATGACTGACAGGAAAAAACAATGTTTGGTAAAGCGTAGAGAAAGAGGAAAATGGAAGTCACAGCCCTGAGTTTGCAAGCCCTGAGCAGAGCTGTTGAATAAAAGATGTCTTGGGGGTTTCTCATACATTGTTGTGTTATGTGCCTTCACATTGCTTCCAACTTATAGCAACACTAGTGTTATACCTATCACAGGCAAATTAAAGGATGGATTGCCTTTTCCTTTCCACAAAGCTGAAAGAGCATGACTTGCCCATGACCATGCTATAAGTTTCCATGGTCAAACAGGGATTTCTTCATAGGTTCTTCATATTTTGAAACCAATGTGATGGCACATAATAATATCACCTTTTTAGAAATCTGAAGTTTAGGATTCCATGTACTTTGAAATATTTGGTGATAGCAGGAGGAATGCTTTAGTCAAGAAGGCTATGTTGAGTAGAAAAGTGACAAAATTTGCTACAGAGTAGCCATCAGCTTCAACATTTGTATGCCCCTCTGAGAACAAAACAGTGTTTCAACCAAGTAGCAAAAGTAATACTTGCTTGAAACAAATGCTTTTGTCAACCCCCCTTTAAAAACAACCACTCATTCCCTCACAATTAGTAACAAAAATAGCATATCAGAACAAGAAGTTTACATTGATATACAAAGGGATCTTGCAGTGACTCTGAAACTGAGAGAGTTTAACCTTCTCTGCCTAAGAGTGCCTGCCCTTCAGGAAATGACGCAAGAAGCCCCTGGTGGTGCAATGAGCTAAACTCTTGTGCTGATAGGACTGCTGACTGAAATGTTGGCAGTGCAAATCCGGGGAGTGGGGTGAGCTCCCATCTGTCAGCTCCAGCTTCTTATGAGAGAAACGTCCCACAGGATAACACATCTGGGAGTCCCCTAGGCAACGTCCTTGCAGACGGCCAATTATCTCACACCAGAAGCGACTTGCAGATTCTCAAGTCGTTCCTCACACACAAAAAAGGAAACGACAAACCCAACAATTCCATAGCATTAAACCATGGCAGTTAAAGTGGTGTCAATTTCAGTTAGGTCAACAGTGTAGATGCATGATAAGTCTACTTCCTCAAACATCTAATCTTAGTTTACAAAAGTTTATGCAACCAACTTTTTTCTCTCTGTCTTTAAAGGTGCTAAAGGATCAGTGGTATTTCAGACTAACAAAGCTATGTTTTTGAAATTTTATTACCTTAAGCAGGGGTCCTCAAACTTTTTAAACAGAGGGCCAGGTCACAGTTCCTCAAACTGTTGGAAGGCCGGATTATAATTTGGAAAAAAAAATGAATAAATTCCTATGTGCACTGCACATATCTTAAGTGCAAAAAAACACTTAAAACAACACAATAATTAAAATGAAGAGCTATTTTAACAACTATAAACTTATTAGTATTTCAATGGGAAAATGTAGGCCTCCTTTTGGCTAATGAGATAGGATTGTTGTTGTTATTGTTGTTGTGTGCTTTCAGATCATTTCAGACTTAGGTTGACCCAAAGCAAGGGCCGCGTAAATGACCTTGGAGGGCCATATCTGGCCCCCGGGCCTTAGTTTGAGAACGCCTGGCCTTAAGCATTCAAAGACTGCTCTTTCATCAGAAGTAACTAACGGTAAAGGTTTCCCCTTGACATTATGTCTAGTCGTGTCTGATTCTGGGGGGTGGTGCTCATCTCCATTTCTAAGCTGAAGAGCTGGTGTTGTCTTTAGACACCTCCAAGGTCATGTGGCCAGCATGACTGCATGGAGTGCCGTTGCCTTCCTGCCAGAATGGCACCTATTGATCTATCTAAACGGTTCCGGCCCAAGATACCTAACTGACCGCCTCTCGGCCTATGAGCCCACGAGGACTTTGAGATCTTCCGGGGAGGCCCTGCTCTCGATCCCGCCTGCGTCACAGGCACGGCTGGCGGGGACGAGAGATAGGGCCTTCTCGGTGGTGGCTCCTCGGCTGTGGAACACCCTTCCTGTGGACATCAGGCTAGCCCCCTCCCTGTTGATATTCCGCAGGAAGTTAAAGACCTGGCTCTTTAAGAAGGCATTTGATCAAGAAGTGCAATGACTGGTAATTTGACCATAGGAACGGAACAACGGAAATGATATCGGATTGTGGGTTGACGATGAGACGATTCGGAATGTAGTAGAAATTTTGTAATAATGTTGATGTTTTATAAGATGTTTTTCTGATAAGGATGAATTGTGGGTTATTTTGCACTATGTTTTGTAAATTGCACTTGTTTTTTTTCATGTTGTACACCGCAATGAGTCGCCCTTAAAGGGCTGAGAATTGCGGTATATAAGCGTAGTAAATAATAATAAATAATAAATAATACTCACATTTGCATGTTTTTGCACTGCTAGGTTGACAAAAACTGGGGCTAAAAGATTTTAACTGCCAACCTTTCAGCTGTGCCACCGGGAGGCTCTGGGGATGTGTGTGTGTGTGCATATATATACAAACATACATACAGTCAGAAACCGAATTCCAGAAGTTACAGTTTTACAAGGTCTTGAGCTTTCTCTGCCAAAGAGGACTGGTGCTTCATTAAACTACAACTCCCAGGATTCCATAGCATTGAACTACAGCAGTTAAAGTGGTGCCAGCAGTTTGTCTGGCCTGGCTCAGCTGCTGCTAGGGACAGGTCTCCAGAGAGGAGGACTCTTTTCAGTGTTGCAGCAAGCTTGGAAAAGGTTAACCTCTCCCTCTCATTAAGGTAAGCAACACAGACTTCATTGAGGTAAGCATCACAGTACAGGCTTACTGAAATACAGTTCACAAAATGTAAACCAATAACACTTCTCAACGATTAACATTCCACAAGACTGTTGTATTTCCTGCCAGGAGTTAACAACAGTGCAATCCCCCCCATGGGGTTTTGTTTCATTTTACAAAGGTAGGCACGAATTAAAAGGCAGTTTTTATTTTAATGACAATTTTACAGGACTGTCTATTTATTTATCGTATCAGTAGCGAACCGAGGGTACAGTTGTAATGCATTAGAAAAGCACAAAGTTTAAAAACTTGGTATTATATTAGATCTCCTTTGACCAGTATCTGGCCACTTGGAGTGCATCTGGTGTTGCTATAAGGAGGTCCTCCATTGTGCATGTGGCAGGGCTCAGACTGCATTGTAAGAGGTGGTCTGTGGTTTGCTCTTCTCCACACTCTCATATTGTGGACTCCACTTTGTGACCCCATTTCTTAAAGTTGCATTGTAGTAGGTGGCTTGGTCTGTGTAATAGGACTGCATGAATGTCCCAGATAAGGAATTCTATTGTGAAGCATGGTACAATGATCCAAGTACCTTGCCAGCAAATGTCACCTGGTACATTTGTAGCGACAACCATTTTAGAATAGCAATTCCCAACCTCATTCACAAGCAGATTCTGGGAGCTGAAGTCCAAAGACCCGGGATGCATCTGCAACGTTGAATTAATAGTTTGATACTATTACTGCTGATCTGGCTCAATGCTATGGAGTGCTGGGTTGTGTAGTTTGAGAAGGCACCAGCACTCGCACGAACCTACAGCATTAATGATAATGTATCTCCTTCTACGTCCCACCTCGGAGTTTAAGATCTTCCCGGGAGGTCCTGCTCTCTGTCTCAAACACGGTTGGCTGGGACGAGGGACAGGGCCTTCTCAGTGGTGGCCCCACGCCTGTGGAATTCACTTCCCAGGGAAATTAGGACATCATCATCCCTCCTCACCTTTAGAAAGAAGGTAAAAATGTGGATGTGGGACCACGCCTTCAGGCAACTAGGTTAAAGGACAATTGATAATGTTTGACTATGGCTTGGAAGTGGATTTGGATAAATTAAGCGGAGTACTCAATAGTATATGGCTAGATAAATAGCCACCAGACTGGAAATAGCTCAATGGATTGTAAGTATACTGTTTTAATTTTATGTCGTAATGTTTATGTTTTTAACTGTTATAATTGCTGTTTTGTATTTTATGATGCGGCATCGAATTGTTGCCAATTGAAAACTGCCCTGAGTCCCCCTAGGGGTTGAGAAGGGCAGGGTAAAAATCAAAGAGCATTCTGAACTCCACCAATGATGGAATTGAACCAAATATGGCACACAGAACTCCCATGATGAACAGAAAATATGTGATTGATTGGGGGGGGGGGGGGGCGCCAAAATACTTTTTGCTTACCGTTGAAAATTACCTAGGGCCCCCTCCATGCAGTCATGCCAGCCACATGACCTTGGAGGTGTCTACGGACAACGCCGGCTCTTCGGCTATAGAAATTGAGATGAGCACCAACCCCCAGAGTCGGACATAATTGGACTTAATGTCAGGGGACAACCTTTACCTTTACTTACTATAAATAATAAGCGGGCGGGAGGCACACACAAAATCACCGTTCGTTGTAGATCGGGTTTAAAGGCCCTGATGCCCGGCTTCCTGTTGGTTGGTGAGGTAGAAAAGGGAGAGAGGGAGCGAGCGGGCCCTTCCTAGGCGCAGAAGAAAGGCCAACGACCCTCAACTGCCCCCTCCCGCCGTTAGATTTGACTGGAAAGGCTTCACTTACCGCTCGGGAGCAGCCTCAGCTTCCGGAGTGAGCCCTTCCAACGGGCGCAATCAAACCCTGCCACTCTTTCTTTTGATTGGAGGAACTGGAGTGACGTAGTGGCGCGCAGTAGCCAATCCCACAGCGCGAAAGCGAAGGATGGTGCGTGTGCTGGGGAAGGGAGGGTACACGGGATTCACTACGCATGCGTGCGGGAAATCTGTACTTATGAGCATGCCACCTTTAAAGTGCTTTTAGAAATAGGTATTGTTCTACGCGCTTTCGTGGTCTTTACAGACTACCTCACCTGCTACACTAGGCAAGGGCAAACTTGGGCCCTCCAGGTGTTTTGGACTTCAACTCCCACAATTCCTATCAGCCAGTAGGCTGTTAGGAATTGTGGGAGTTGAAGTCCAAAACACCTGGAGGGCCCAGGCTTGCCTATGCCTGTGCTACAATGAGTAAACATCAGAGAGAGTAGGTTTAAGTCTACGAAATTCAGCGGTGTAGAATTAATGCAGCTTAACAGCACCAAGGGCCCAAATCTATGGATTCCTGGGAGTTGAATTTTGTTGAGGCACCAACACTCTTTGGCAGAGAAGGCTAAAAACCTTGTAAAACTGCAGCTCCCATAGCATTGAGCCATGGCAAAGTGGTGTCAAACTGCATCGATTCGACAGTGTAGATGTAGCCTTAGTCTCAATGGCGCTAGAAGATTCCTTTGCCCATGTTTCTCAAACTCTGCTCCTCTAGATGTTTTGGACTTCAGTTCTCACAATTCCTAACAGACGTCAAACTGCCTGGGATTTCTACGATGTGAAGTCCAAAACACCTGGAGGCTCAGAATTTGAGAAACATTGCGAAAGCTATTGTGACTGGGTTGCTGTGTGTTGGCTGTATGGCCATCAAATCATTTATTTCGGTCATTGACCAGCACAGGAAATAGTCACATTTTCATACAAACTTGGTATGTTTGGTACATTAAAATATAAATATAACTACTGAAGCACAGTATGGGTGAGTATGTATGGCCATGTTCAGAAGCATTCTCTCCTGATGGTTCGCATCAATGGCAGGCATTGGAAGTGATGTTCAGGACTTCAGGAGCACAAGGCTGGAGTAGGTGACCATAGATTTGGGGGCGGGGGGGGGGGATCAGAAACAAACACATGCAAGGATTGCTGGCATGGTGGGAGGATGCTGCTGAGAATACAAGTACAGTCAGCCTTCTACATTCTCTGTGGTTAGGGGAGCAGGACCCCCGCAAAAGTAAAAAACTTCATATCAAGAAATTGCTAGGGTTTGGGGGGGGGGGGGGGTTGGCCAAGAGAACATTTCTCTAGGAATGTCTAGGTTTTCCAGCACAGCTCTTCTGCTGAAAGCTGACCATAGACTCCATCAGAGGACCTGGAGAGATGTTCTCTAGAAATCTCTATATCCTACAGCAGGACTGGATAACCATAAAATGTCATGAGGGATCTAGAACCTTTAAAAATCAAATCCATGGAGAAATGTTTGTATTTGAGTTCCCTCTTGGTTCTAGTTCTGCACTGTGGCACCAAGTACCAGGGAAAAGTATTGTTCAGGTACAAAGGCCAGATCCCTTCCTTGCGCTAAAACAGAGACATGGGGATCACGTCCCGTTTATTCCCTAAGATTCCTCCTCCTCTTGCTTTGCTCTCCAGCCATTGCATGTTAGGACCTCTCCAATGCCTGGCATATTACCACACGTTTGACTTAGCCTGTGAATGTTTAGTGCTATTGTGTGCTTTCAAGCTTCCAACTTGACCCTAATCAAAGGATTTATGTGGCTAAGTGTGTGTAACTTTCCCAAGATCACCCACTCACTGAGTTCCATGGCTGAGAAGGAACGTGGGCTCCAGAGTTGTAGTTCAATGCTCAAACTATACTGGCTTTCTTGCGTGCATTTATTTGGCATTAAATAGAAATCAACAATAAGACGGAAGAGGGGCCACCTGGGTTCTGTATGCACATCCTTCTCTGCCTTCTTTCCTCCATCAGTCCACCAATGCCTCCCTGAGCTCCCATTTTAACCACTTGGGGATGTTGACTTACATGCAGGTCTGGGTCTCTTATGGCATGCCAACTTTTTCTAATGGTCCAGACCTCCCCTGCCTTCTGCTGTTGACTTTCATTTCATCTTGTGTCTTCAGCAACGGGCTCAGTTGAGTTATGCAAAACACATCAATAGATGAGGTAGGGGTTGTTTGGATCAAGTCCACCTTTTTATTTCCTCTGCTGTTGGATACAACTTGCAAGGGGATTATGATGCTGGACAAAGCCAACCCAAGTTCTACAGTCCATGAAGTGGGCATTACCTTTCCAAAAGAAATTGAAAAGGTGGGGAACAAACTTGGTGGCAACTTTTGAAATTTCATCAGGCAGATTAAAAAAAACCCAAATAGACGGAAGGGATTACAAGATGGGACTTCGAAATTTATTACCCTCTGGGTGCATTATTGCCTTGAGGGATGACAATTACATGCTTGTAAAACTCAGTCACTCCCCCCCCCCCCAAAATAATAATAATGTAGGAGCAGAAATCAGAGAAATGGATAGAAGAACAGGTTGGTTGGCAAGCCCTAAAAATACTGATGTGAAAGGATTTTCTTTAGTCCCCTTGCAGTCTTATCACCCTTCCTTTCCACTTCTGTTTTGTTGTTTCTCTACATGTTTGCTTTCTTAAGGTGTATGAATCTTCAAGTCACCTGTTGACTTAATGGAAACCTCATGAATTCCACCATACCCAGATGGTTTGCCCATTTATTCCTCTGAAATATAGTCTGGTTTAAGAAAAGGTTTGTTGAATTGAGATGTTTTCATTTCCAGTTCCACTGGGTTGCAGCAAAAATAGTCTTCAGTATCTTAAAGGACAATACTTGTTACACGAAAATGATCTTAGGAGCCCTTAAGTTAGCAGAGTGAAAACGCTTCATTTGATCATAAATATGCATTGTTGGTGGGGTTTTTTCTTTATTTCAGTTAACTCTTTTTGTTTTCTATATCAATTCCCACTTACAACAATTCCACAAAGGAACCTCAAGGAAGGCAAATCTAAATGTCATCTGGAACAACCCAATTTCCAGTTCTGCAGATCTGCTCCTCTCAGTCCCCAAATAAACTAGCCTCTTAGTGTAAAGCTTAGAAATTGTGGGCCCTCCAAATCTTGTGTCGGCTGAAGATCAACATTTGAGGACTGCACAACTCCCAACACTGGTCTTAAAAACACGTATTAAAGTTATCCATATTAAATCCTTTTGTTTTCTGCTCAGTGATGTAATTGTGCTGCTGTGGTCTTATGAGTCAAGGAGTTTAGTAAAATAGAATCATAGAGTTGGAAGAGACCACATGGACTATCCAGTCCAACCCCCTGCCATGCAGGAAAAGCACAATCAAAGCACCCCTAACAGATGGCCATCTCTGTTTAAAAGCCTCCAAGTAAGGCACTTCCACCAGATTCCGAGGCAGAGTGTTCCACTGGTGAACAGCTTGTATGGTCAGGAAGTTCTTCCTAATGGAATCTCCTTTCCAGGTGGAATCTCCTTTCCTGTCATTTGAACCCATTGCTCTGGAGTCCTAGTCTCTAGGGCAGCAGAAAACAAGCCTGCTCTCTTCCTTATGACCACCTTTCAAATATTTAAGCATGGTGAACATGTCTCCTCTTATCCTTCTCTTCTGCAGACTAAACATACCCAGCTTTAAGCCACTCCTCATAAGACATGGTCTCCAGACCTTCCATCATTTTAGTCGCTTGTCTATATCTCTCTTAAATTGTGGTGCCCAGAAATGAAAGCAGTATTTCAGGTGAGATCTAACCAAAGAAGGATAGATGGGCACCATGATTTCCCTTGACTGATACTATACTCCCTTTGATGCAGCCTAAAACTCCATTGACTTTTTAAGCTACTGCATCACACTGTTGGATTATGTTTAACTTTTATTCACTAAGACTCCAAGACCTTTTTCACATGGACTTTGTTGAGCCAGCCATCACCCTTTGATTCTCTCTGTGTTGGATTGAATAGAAGTGTTGGCTCCCTGATTAACTTACTTGATCACTCTGAAAACATATTACAGAATAGGTAATAGAGAACAAATGACCATTCTTCCCAGTGCGGGAAGAAGAATGTGAGCACTAGTATCTCACTATCCCATTAGGACCCACGCAAATTCATAGAGTAGGGATGTTTTATACGTTTTGGGCATGGTACCTGCAAATAATATTGCGTTTTTATTCATTTCATTGCATACATTTTTGATAGAAATACATAAAAGTTCAGGAGCAAAACAATAATGGGAAGAGAACAAAAACAAACCAAAAGAAAAAGAAAAATGTGTGTGTGTACGTGTGTGTGTATATATGTATATATATATATCAGAATAAAATGGATTAGGGGAGGGGGAGAATACAATGGAGAGCGGGTGAAGGGGTCGTTTATCTTCTGGTCCATTCCACAGGGAGTTTGTTTCATGTTTCCCTATTTTTTTCCTTTTTGTTTCCCTCACCATATTTTCACAGCTTTTCATCTGTTTTCTTCTCTCTTCTTCCCCCATCCTTTTCCTGTCAGATCTCTTTCATAAGCTACTCTAACTGAACAGAGTAAGCAAGCTTCCTTTCCTGAAGGTATCCTTTGAATGGTGCCCAACCAGTCTTATGCCTCTCTTTCTGATCTTGCATTAAGAAGGTTAGGGAGTCCATATCCATGTAGTCCATAAGTTTATAATCCAAGAGTCCACCGTTGGAATTTCTTTCAAACACCATTTCTGAGCTAGAAGAGTTCTTGCTGCCGTAGTCAGATAAAAGTATACAGTATTTTGTCTTTTTTCCTCCCTATCTCAAAATCTGTCATGTTTAGTAGGTAATATTTGGGCCTTACACAAAACTTTAGTTTTAATAGGGCTGTTGTAGGTTCAGCAATACATTTAGTTTTAATATTTTTTGGGAGTGATCATGTATTTTTTCCAGTATTTTTAAATTTCTTTGCAGGACCACCAGGAGTGGAAAAAAAAAAGTCCTCACTTCTTCCTCACATTTCCATCATTTATTTTTCTGATTTTTATAGAATCTTGCTAATTGCTGGGATGTTAGATGCCATTGAAAAAACATCTTATACCAATTTTCTTTTACATTTATAGAACTTGAATATTTTATTTTGGTATTCTATACATTCTCCCAATCATCTAATAGAATGGAGTAACCGATATCCTTCGCCCATTTAATCATGTTTTCTTTTATTAGTTTCATTTCTGTGTTCCACTCTAAAAGTTTTTGATATAATATCCGTATTATTTTTTTCTCCCTTGTCATAATTATGTCCCAAACTGATTCTTTTGAAATAAAATTGTATTTCTGATCTTCCTTATAACTATCAATTATCTGTCTATATTGATACCACGATAGGTTGTTACCTGTCTGCCTTAACTCTTCTAATGGTTTTAAAGTCCAGATGTTCTGTTTTATCAGTAAGTGTCTGTAGGTGTAACATTTATCTGTTGGAATCTCAAATAATACTGTAAATAATATTGCAAAAGCTGAAAAAGTTAAGGCAGTGGAAACCAAATAATTAGTAGACTAGAACAACTGTGAGGAAGACTTACAATGCTTGAGGATGTTTAATTTAGGGGGAAATGGTATGGTATGGAAATAATAAACAGAAATAAGCTTTCTTCACTCTTATTATATTAAAACCTGGTGCCACTCATTAAAGCTGCGTAAGATCAAAGACAAAAGGATTATTAAAATATACTGTGGAATTCAATATATTACAAAATATGATGATTGCCAACGAATGAACCCATGGTGTTTCATAAAATATTTACTGTGAACAAGCAATGATCTTTTTAAAAAATATCAAAGTAACTCTGATTTATCCTTAATAAATGTGTAGCCAAATAAAAACCTAGTCTAATGAGCAACAATGAATTGAGTAAAAATATTCAGAATGACATTTAGCCTTGTATCACCACAAAAGAAGACAAAGGGCAGTTGTGATGTGTGTTTCTTCACAAAGAAAACATTTCTGATACAAATTTAAAATTTGCATATGAAGAATCAAGTTTCAGTCATTCTCTTGATAAATTAATTCTTAACAAGAGCATAAAGATGGCCAATGAATTCTGTCAAATGTTTCAGAATAAAATTTGAGAACTAGACCTGGATTATCTGTTTTCCCACTCATAGTTCATACCATGCACAAAGTTTTATAATGTATTAATGAATGAAGTCACTATTCATTTTACAATCAGAGCTCTAATTTTAAGTCTAAATCTGTGAGAACTATCAATCCAACTGACCATTGACTGGTTTGGGGAGGGGGGGGGACTGTGGCCTCTAGCACAGAGGTGGGAACACAATAATTTTCTCTAAATGTCATATATGACCACCTTCAGTGCTGAGGCTCCTTGTGTGCATAAAACAGCCTGCAATATTTTTGTATCGCATTTTTGCTGCCAAAATGATACAATTATTACGCCTAAATAGCAATATGCATGTACCTTCAAGCTACCAATAAGATGAGAGTGGTGTCACAACTCTGTACTATATGTGTTTTAATATTCCTGTGGGGCTTGGAAAGATGCTATCTTTAAGTAGAAAGCTTGGGGAAAATCAGGTTAGGCATTAGTGTGACGAAAGGACTAAGGGTCTGATTCAATGTAAACTAGGGCTCTCTTTTTCCCAGGCTTTCCAAATTAAAAATGAGGAAAAAGGCACACTAAGAACTCATTTGAAATTGCACTTAACTTAGCGTGAGTACAAGTAATTTGAGAAAGATGGGTAAGAGTAGCAAATCTTCACTTTTAAAAAGTAACGCATGAATCTGACTACGGTTCACATCACTTTCAATGTTTTTTTTAAAAAAAATGGAAAAAAATATCAGGTTTTCTTTCCTGAGTCCTTTAACTTTCAACTTAAGCATTCAATTAAAACAATGTATTTGTGCTATGCTTTGTAGCTGCAATAATAGTCTCATGTCCTTTTAGAATTTTCACATCTTTATTCCACTGAAAACTAAACCACAATGGAGGTATCCCACTGGTGAAGTTATTTATCTGAAGAAAACCTACAGAAAATACTATTTTACAAACTGGGAAAGAACTGGTACAACTGGTAACTGAATCAATATTGCCACAAATTTCCTTTCATTTGATGTCAATGACTCTTCCCCAACAGTTCCTGTAGTAATAATGTTACTTCATATTCATTAAACATGTTGTTTAAATGTCATAAATGGATAGGATCTAGCATTTTACATAAGACTATGTTTATTATGCATGGAAACTCTGGAGAGAGAAAAAAAATCACACTGAAACATGCTTGTGTTAAAGATAACTTCACTACAATTTACCTTTGTCGTACGCCTAAAGATTTGGAATGTAGTACAAGTCTTCTTGTAAGAAAATAGTGTGCAGAAGGTCAAGTTACTTTTAGTGCTGTTGCACAAACAGTTGAGGCATTTCCCCATTAGCAGTAAGGGTATGTGGACGGAGAAACGTAGCACCTGTTAAGCTACAGCTCTACTTGTCAGATCTAGATCTGTTCAGAAGAAAACTCCCATCGTATTCTAGAAATGTGAATGTATGAAAGAATTAATAAGATCCCCAAGCTGATTTGTATATCCTCCTACATACATTCTGCAGAAAATGGGATATAAAGGTAGCAAAGTACTCTTAATTTTCAAACCTGATCACTAGTAAATTTGGAGAAACAGATTTCTAAGTTATTTTTGCAGTGATGTTTACACACTGACACAATTATTTATGTGGTTGCATAAAATAAAATTAGCCTCCAGCCCCATAAGATCAAATCAACTCTATAATTTAAACATGAGCATACAAATAAAAACTTCAGGAAATTACTAACTTCAGCAAAAGGATTGAGATTTAGTACAGGTTTATTTTAAAATGCTGCCTCAAGATAAAGATATGCAGACCTACAGTTACTTCAGAATCAAACACAGCTGTAGAAGGGGCAATGAAATACAACTCTCAGGGATTTAACCATATCTTTTGGATAAAGCAAAAGTGCACTGCTTATAACAATGAACATTTGTAAAAGTTGATCATGACGAATAGTATTGTACTTTTTCTACTTGCTTTTGTATAATCAACAATAACTTTATGAGACTGGGAAAGTATTAAAATAAAAACAAAAACTAAACTAAACTAGTTTCCAACAGTAAAATTTAAGTAAAATGCTTACATTCATTTGACGACAAGTCATATTAAAAATGCTGTGTAGGGGGGCGCAAAAGGCTTTTACAGCTGAAACTGATCTTCAATGCTTTATTCCTGAGAAAAACAAAATGTAAATATTTCCATCATTATGCTATGGCATTTTAAATCTTTTAAAATTCAACTAATAGTGAAGGAAACTGAATAATCTATAAATCAAAAATGCCTACCTTTTCTTCTTTGCGTCTTTCTTTGTCTTCACTTTCCATTGTTTCTTCTTCATCTTCCACAATCCCATCCCCTTGGTATTTGTCATGAGTCCACTTTGGACTGCTACCTGATTTTTTGAAGTTGAATCTTCCTCTGCCACGCTGGAAGATGCCACGGCCTCTTCCTCTTTTAGCCCAGTAATCTACACCATCATCTCTGTCATCATGCTAAATACAGATTAAACAAAAATATGAGGTGTCTAAAGAATACTAACACATTTTTCTGTGATTATTATTTCTAAGTCCCTCTACTTTTCCACTGTCAAGGAATCTAGGGCTTTGTCTAAACAGGGAGATAGCTGAGAAGGGCAGGCTTTACATTTTCAGAAATAGAGGTTTTTAAAGCAGGCTTCTTCTTCTCTGGAGCTCACTGGAAAGCCATCTGAGTTCTTGATGAGCCTAATGGGAATATCTAAAGCTTGAATATCTAGAGCTTTCCAATTTGAGATGGTGGTCAGGTACAGACTAGATCGTTTAATAATAGACTTTTTTTCTTCCATTTTAATATGCTATGGAGAAATAATTAGCATGCACAGTATTGTGTGATTTGGGGGTTGATCCAAAAGTAAATTGGCATTATGCAAGAATTTTTAAAAATAAAGAATAGCTTGATTGGTTTTTTTAAAAAAAAACTCACTTGGCAGATTTTGCTACACAAAAAAAATCAGAAGAAACGAAATATATTTATCATATCATTCCCTCTGTTTCAACATGTATGTGAGAGTAACATTGCTTACATAGCCAAAAGGCACCATCCATGAACAAGAAGGAAATTCAAGATTTGAAAGTTTTTGGAAGTGCAAAAACATAGCAAAAAAAACAAAACTAAACCTTTATCCAATCAGAAGTGAACATGTTCAGTGACTACAAATTATTTAGTTGCATTTGGGGGGAAAGGAAAAACCAAGTGAGAGGTAGACTGAAATGAAATATCATGGGAGAAGACAAGATTGATATATTTCATAGAAACATTTCATACTTCCAACATATTGCTGCCTGCTCTTTAACTACATAAACTTTAGTTTAAAAATCTGCAACACGAGTAAGCAGAATATCTAGGTACAAATTATATTTAGCTGACTTTGTTAGCATGGCATGCACTGAGAAAAGAGGAAAGCCTAATCTGGACTCATCATTAATAGAGATCCACCATGCTGTCTTTGGGTGCAGGCTTTTATTTTTGTCAGTGTAAATCAAGCCTTTTCAACCTTCAGTCCTCCAGGTGTTTGGGCCTCCAACTCGCAGGAGCCCTAGCCAAGCTATGTGAATAATTAGGAATTCTGGGAGCTTAAGTCCAAAACACCCAGAGAGCCAAAGGTTGAAAAGGCCTCATGTGAATGGATGATTACCCACCACATGATCCAGGGTAGCCTGTTCAACGATGACAGGGAATGTGTGGAAAGATTGTAAGACTTCTTCAAGAAGGAGGGGTTATTGTGTGTGGTACCTCCTCTCCCTGTCCCCACCCCCAAAAGTTAACAGCTTGGTAAGCAAGGAAGAACAAACACAGTAATGCCTAACCTAACCTTTTCATTAATCCATGTTTATGGGCTACTCATGTTATTGCAGGGCCATTTGGGGGGTGGGGGGGTGGGGAGGTTGCTAGGGGGAGGGGAAGTGTGTGGGAAGGCTCAGGACTATTTCAAAAGGATGTCTGACCAACCTCTTGCAGCAATGCTATTAGAAAAACTGTAGAGTTGGGGGGATTAAAGAGATCTATAATCTCCCACTGTTAAACTTGCATTTAGCTGCTTCTAAATGATGGAATAACGGCAGTTACTTTGATTTGAAAAATTGTACTTCAGTATTCAAGCAGATATCCCATATTTATGGGAGCAGAACAGTTTTTCTACCTTGAACTAAAAGCAACAGGGCTAGCTGATGCTACATATCTGAAGAAAGGCAAAATTCTCCAACATCAGACATTACTTTTGCTAGGAAAGAAACTATTTTTGACTATATACTGTAGCCTGTATAAAATAAGTGGTGTATCCAATACTGAAGTATTAGAACAATTTAATCAGATCAAGCATAGGAGTGTTCCTTCTGCTCCAACTACAAGTGAGCATCCAAAAACCTTTGCCAAAATTCTGTGACGTGTGCCAATGTTATGTTGAATATGTGCCTCTTTAATTTGTTCTTCTCAACCAAGAAGCTTAAAGGTTGTGCAAAATAGCTTTCTTTTCTAGCAAGTCATTTTATAACAGTTTGTGCAGACAGGTAAGAGAAACAAGCATATGTTCTAATGGCTGGTACTGTATATAGAACTCTACTAAAATGCATCAAATGACAATAATAACTTTAGATATTGCCTTTATAGAATGTGCTTCTAAAAATAAAAAGTTTGAGAAAAGATGCATGCAGAATGGTATGGCACCCACCAAGAAGTATTTCTTGCTTTTTGGGGTATATTCAGGATCCCATTCCTCCTCCTTCGGTCTCTTTTGAAAAGTAGGGTTTGGGTTGCTGGGACCAGTATTTGTTCCAGCAAACACGCCTCTGGCTCTTCCTCTGCCCCTAATTCGAAACTGATTAACCAAAGTATTTACGTATTTAATACAATATGTATTGAAAGCAAATTATCAATTCCTAGTGCATTAACTAAAATGCTTTGTTATAATTTTTCATCTAACACCACACAAGAACCAAGTGGTTTAAAAATCAATGTGCCAAAATGTACAGCCAAAATAAGCAGAAGAGCATTTATATATGAGAGGCAGGAGTTGGTATTCCCAAGACACATACTTCCAAAAAGTTTGATACTGACAGATATCTGCTTCCTAGTAATACACAGGACAAAAATGGGCTGAACCAAGGGTTCTGCAAATTGAGGATATGCCTAAACGGTAAAATTAATGCAGTTTGATGCCATTTTAACTGTCATGCCTCAATGTTATGGAATCACGAGAATTACAGTTTTCCCTTTTTTCTACCAAAATGTGTTTGTATTTCACCAAGCTACAACCCCCATGACTCCATATCATTGAGTCATGGCAGTTAACATTGTATCAAGCTTCATTACTGCTACAGTGTAGATGCACAGAGTGGCTTCTCCATCAGGAAAACGTTTTTAATCAAGTTAATTTATTCTGGTTGAACAGGGGAGAAGGCTATCAATTATATGGGAAGTCAGCAAAAATCATTTTCCCTCTTTCCATCAGCAGAAAGCAAAATTCGTTCAAAGGTGATATCACTGACAGAACTAACCTAATAGCATTTGCTGATATCGTTCACCTTTAATGTAGGCTAAAAAGCTTATATTGGTTCATCAGAGAGATGAAGCATATATGTTTAGGAGTTAATGCTTTGCAGATGGGATAACAAATAATTGTGCATTTGGTAGTCTAGAACATTCAAGGAAAAAAGAAGAAACTTTGAAATAGCCTAGTATAGTTAGAATATTTAAACTGACATACTTGCAAAAAATTCCATGAGAGAAATATTGTCAGTCAGGTGATAATTGAAGTACTATGTCACAACCTTAAAACATATTTCCAATTGCTAGCATAGCAGAGTACAATGTATAGATGCCTTTCACTTTGAACTATCTCATTTACTTTCCAACATATAGTTAGGCTCTCTAAAAATAAGAACAGCTATGTGGCCCAATTATGCTTGTATAAAAAAAACCCCTTTATAATCAGTCAAAATCACCAAATTACATGTAAAACTCTAAACTCAAGGGAGCACCCAGGTGGTGAGGCAAGATGATGCAGAGCAACTGGTATTAGAATAATAGAATCATAGAGTTAGAAGAGACCACATGGGCCATCCAGTCCAACCCCCCCTGCTATACAGGAAAAGAATAATCAAAGTACCCCTGACAGATGGTCCATGGAAACTATAGGGAAAATATTAATGAAGTAGAAGAGATCCCTGAAGCAAACTTTGTTATGCACTCAAATTGAAAAACAAAAATACTATACAGAACTTGCACATGAGAATACAGACATGTGTCAATTCAATTTTTTAAAACCGAAACCTCAGTAGAGCTCCTGAGAAATCCATAGTTTAAGGTACTTTTTTTCAGTCAAATTGGGTAGCTTGAAAGACAGCTTTTAGACCAAAATCCAATTTTTAGTCTAAACTACCTCAGATCATTGAATCAATGAAATTTACTATTGAATTCACCAAGTTTCCATTAATTCAATCCATGTAGTCTACCCTAAAGGCACCAGTTCCCATCTGATCTTGGTAATTAAGCAGGGTCAGCCCTGGTTAGTGCTTGGATGGGAGACCACCAATGAATACTGACTGTACCCTTTATTACAGTGGAAGGAACCTACTGCAAGTCAATAGGTGACTTTGAGAGCACATAAACGCACAATCTAGTTCGGGATTAACAACTGGATTTAACCCTTAATCATAGTGCTCCCCCCTTCACTAAATGTATTTGTACATATTTTTTATCCAATTTTATAAAATTTCGGTTACATTTTGGGGTGAAAAAAGCAAAGGAGTATTTATTACAATTATGTTTTTAAAATTTAAATTCTTTTTTTTTAAGTTGGATCTTACAAGTAGTTTGTATTTTTTCTATTTGTGCTTACAGAAAACAGAAGCAGCTGCAAAGTGATGAGGAGGTGGCCATTTCCAAATTTCTACTCCATAAATGGTTGGTTTCACGAGAGTTCCTGAAGCAAGATGCTATGGAATGAGTGACTATACCCATCACCACTAGGGGGGTTTTCTCCTTTTTATCTTCTTTCTGACTGTCACCACCATCTGTGGTTGTAACTAGGTCAGCAGAGTAATCCTTTTTTAAAAAATGTCATAAATAAAATAGTACGTTTCTCTTTTGATATTCATTTTAATAATACAAAATCCCATCAAAAACATAACTGTTAAACCTACACTTAGTCTCACAAAAATTACACAATAGCCTTGCACACTCACAAACAGTGAATAACTTACAATTAAATATGCACTCCAGTGTTTCCTCTCATGAAAATGGCTATAACCTGTCCAGCACTGAACAGTAGTATCAGTTCTTGTTTCAGATTCTGAACTTTTGGATTCCGTTTCTCATTTGGATTAATATATAAAGAAACAAGCTGAGTGAGACTTAGTTCATATGGGTGCAGCCAGACCAATATGGCAAAAAAGTTATGTCAGAGAGACTAGTCAGAAAAGAGTCACCATACTCTGCTGATATGTAAATTAACATTGTACTGATCAGTTGTATATAATTGTTCAAGAAATATGTGAAGTAACAATGGGGAAACATTCAAATCAATGGTTTATGCAACTTTTACTGGGCAGACAGGCAGTTTGCTGTAGCAGGTTTGGGAGAAGAGGTTCCATTTGACCTTATGTCTCAAGCTGTCAAAACATACAACTGCCACTAACTGATTTGCTGTATCTTATTAATACTATACATGATCTTAGCCCAGAACCTTTTAGTAAGATATTCTATCCTAACATTGACACAAACAAACACAAGTAGCCAACAAGCCAATAAGCAAAAACCTGTCTTGTAATTTTAGGGCCACTAGATCTGGGCATCTACAATTTCTGGGCTTATTTAATTATGACTATGATACATAGAACTAGTTCCCTGCTTGCGATGGTTGGCCTGGGTGCATGTAATTTTGATGAATTTACCTGTAATGTTGCACACTCTGTAGCTGAAATGCACCTTAATCAACTCCCCATCATGTTGATAACCATGCAAATGCATAAATGCAATTAACTGTAACCCAAAACCAATGTAAATGTAATCCTATGCACAATTACTTGAAAATAAGCTTCACTGAATTTAATAGGACTGTAATGTAAAGTAATAGTTTTCAGTTGTATATATCTGGTTGTCATAACAATGTCATGTAACAGACCTAGCTACTAGCTTACATGCCAATGAACTTTAAACTTCAAAAAGAAACAATAAACTAATACAAACTAAACACCAATTTAAATAAGGGAAACACAAAGCAAATATGTGATTTATTACTTAAAGATCAGAAATCTCATTTAAGTTCTAAACTGGGCACATACATCCACTGTGAACAAATTATTCTATAAGTATATCTGCAGTCAGCATTTTTGTAACATTTATTAAAAATAACCACTATTTAATAACTAATCTTGTTTTAAGATCAGGAAAAAGTATGGAGGAAACTCACAAATGTGCCTCTTGGTCTTCCAACACCTGTAAAGCCTGGATATTCCTTCTGATCATGATGTGGTTTAAACTCTTCATCTCTTTCCTTCTTGCTGTCCTTTTCTTCTCGGGAACTGGATGAGGAGGAAGATGGGGAGGAAGTTGAGGAAGATCGAGAACGGTCTTGCTCTCTTTTTTGTTTACTGAAAAATAAGAAACCATACTGTTTGCTGTTGCCGCCTACACACAAAGGGGTCTGTTGTACCCTTAGATGATATTGTCTCTTCTTGTCTGAATCTAATATGGAGTTCAATTATACCATTAAGCTTCCATCTGTGTTTAACTTTTTAACAGCTATGGTTCATTGACACCAAATATTGCTAAGTTTAGCTGATTTGTCAGTAAATGTTGATTTAATACATATGCATGCTTTTTTGTCTCAATAGCAAATAAGTAAGAGAAGGGATAAACTTTCTAATGAGAAACTATTTTATTTCTTTTAAATGTATTACTAAGAAGTTAAACTTGGTATTGCTGTTTCATTACATAGAAACAAAGTGCAGAACTAGCCAGCAACCTTATAGCTGAGAATACCAGTATAAAAAAGTAAATGCAAAGTGCAATTAATCCATGTTTTACAAAGTAGAAAAGCAGAAACATAACATACAAAACCTTCATATTCCCCATAGCAAATACATTTGACATTGATATAATCATATTGAAATATTAATATAAAACCAAAAATGCAGATATACATCAAATAGCTCTTATCCCTGCTGTAAGTACACACTGAATGCACTCCTTTTATAGACTAACTTGTTTCTTTGAGCCCACTATCTTTTTTCTTGAGAAATAATAACAATTTCTTGCTACGCCACCCCATGCCCACATTAAGCCTAAACTTCAGTATAACTTTCATCCTCTGGGTGTCATGAGTTGAAAAAGTGCGGAATCAAGCATAACGAACCAAAGTTCTTACACAAACTGTTTACAGAAATGTACTGCATTGAAGTCCAACCTCCTGATGTAGCCTGGATAATAGGACAGATTAATTTGTCATTTTTTCAGTGTTAGCTTGCTATTCCAAAGTTTTTGTCCTCATCCACCATAAGCCGTGTAAAAGACAAATACAATTTTGCTGTAAAACAAATAATTTTAATTGTTTAAATTTAGATGTTCCATTGTACAAAGAAAAGTGAAAGCAATTAAGCTTACAATTACAAATGTCTAATTAGAATCTAAAAGACTACTTATGAGTTAAACCTTTTACCTGTCATCTTTGTAAGGTTTAAAATCCTTGTAATCCTTTGGCATTTTCTCCTGCTTCCTTGAACCGCTGGATTCCCTGGAGCCTTTAGAGTCACCTCGTTCTTTACTTCTTTCTTTTCTACGACGATCGATGTCATGTCGAAGATCTGCAGCATCACACTTTAATTTTTTATCTCCCTATATCAGAAAGATTTCAATGCATTTTAAGTCCCCCCAAAAAAAAACCCAATGAAATAAAAAGAGACCTACCATTTAGCTGCCAATTCTGCATATACTTTCTTGAGCCCCACTCAAGAAAGGGACATGCTTCAAGAAAAAAGGCATATAATTCTGAAATATGTTATACTATCATGGGGTCTACTGTGAGATATTGGTATTAGCATACAAGACCATGAATAACAAAGCACTGGGTTATCTGAGAGAATGTCTTGGTGTTCTGGTCCAATCTTATTGAATCCATAAGAGAGGCAGTAACAATCTGTCAAGTCACTGTAGGCTTCTCTGATCATCTACATCAGTGGTTCTCAACCTGTGGGTCCCCAAATGTTTTGGCCTACAACTTCCAGAAATCCTAGCCAGCTGTTAGGATTTCTGTGAGTTGAAGGCCAAAACATCTGGGGACCCACAGGTTGAGAACCACTGATTTACATCCATGCACAGAAGAACATTGGTATCAGAACCCTGGACTACCTTGCCCTTCGAAGGTTTTCAATGTATGCTAACAACATTTCACTTCACTCAAGCTTTTTGTTTTATTATGTAAGCTCCTCCAACTAAATAAAATATACTCTTTTACCAACAGTACTCTTTCTTGGTGTTTTAGCAGGTTGCTTCCTTAAACAGAAAAGTAACTTCCTTGAGTGATGTTACAAACCCAACTAAGAGGTCGCTTCTGTAAAAATAAAAGAGAACTGAATTGTACCCAATGGTGTTATTTTCCTAGTACAGACTGCTAACAGTTCTACACCTCATGTACTTCTTCTGTTGTCTGATCTCTCTGGATCAGATTTTGGGGATGTGCTAAAGGAGAAAGGAAAAGGAAATTCCTGTTGTGAGAATGTAAATCTCTAATATTGGGCTTAGTCCTGAGAGCAGCCTTCCAATATACAAGTATACTTCAGTTAACGGAGTAGATATATTCCTGGGCATTACATCCTAGCAGAATCTTTGGTACTAGAGGCAGACATAATATGAGAAGAAAAAGGATAGGTTCTGACACCACAAAAAAGAAGAGTAGTTCAACATACAAATGTTTTTGCCCAAAACTCCTAGTATCAGCACATGAAATGACAAAACCAAGTCAGTTAAGCCTTGCATAATCAAAAAGCAAAACAAAAATGCACAATTGAGTTTCTTCCATAATGCATTCACAGATGACTTTCTTTTTCCAGCCTACACTTTTCTTATGACTTGTTTGGGTGGCCAAAAGTTTAAGTCTGTATTTTTTTTAAATAGTCTTGCTGCTGTTGAAAAGGTTGAATTATTTGTTCTACCTTCTTTTGAATTTTTTGCATATTTAGTAAGGATTCTGGAGGGAATTGCTATTTATTCTCCTGATTGTAGGCTGGCACACACAACTACAGTAAAATACCGTGTTTTCTCAACTGAAGCTTCCTTGCACTGTGTACTGCAAATGCCCTGCTGCCACTACACTATACCTAATGCAAATTATTGCAAATATGCTGCTGAAAACCTCCTGAATAGAGTGACAATGAGGGAAAGGGGGGTTGGACATGCATTAAAAACCCGTGAGAAGGAGCTTCTTTGTCAGAAGAGTTGTTAACTGAGGTATGCCTGTAATTTATTTATTATTGGCACAGTTAAAAGAATTAATTCATTTGTTCCATAGGGGATGTTCATTATTGTGCCTTCTATTCTCTTTGCAATCTTTTTGAGACGAAGTGATTAAAAATCACATTACACAGAACTGATCCACTGGATCAGGCACAAGACTACTTCAGATTCAAAAATGTAAAAACAGGTTTTGGAAAAGCTTTATGATTTATATTGAGCTGGATGTTTTGAACTGAACATAAAACAAGAATGACAATTCAAAACCTACTTTCTGCGTTTCTTCTTTAAAGGCTCGCTCTTCTCCCGCTAAACGGGTATGCTTCCTCAGGGCACTTGGAGAGATGTCAATCCTCCTAAATGCAAGATTTTTAAAAGTAATCATTATGGCTGCCAACATTCATCTCTGTCAAGTGGAAAACTGAAAGCACAAAAGAAGAAGTGCCATTGTGTGATCTAAAATGGAACACATTAGAAAAATAAAACTCCAAAATACTCAAACATATACATACAAATAAAAACATCAACACTTCATATTCAGTAAACTTTAACGAAGAGCAGTACTAAACCACAAAATACATGTTTTAGAAAAAAATGCAAAAGACTAAAAGAATTATAATATGAAGGATATTCTGATATATGCATATATCTAACCACATTTTTGCATTATTTCTAGTAAAAAGAAAATGCATTCTTATATAAATATTTCTTTGACAAATCCCGCATCCAAAATCTGACAGCAAAGTAATAAATGTTATCTAAAAAAATGAGACCAACCCTTTATATTTATATTTAATATCTGTGGATTTTTTCTTAATCATCATAAAAATTGGACACAGATCATCCAAACTAAGTAAATCTGAAATGAATACATTATCCCACAAACATTAATCATCTTGATCTGTCCACTTCTCTGTCTATTCAGTTTCTTGAACCCTATAGGAGATATTTTCTCCTGTTACAATTCCTCTGATCTCCAAGATTACCATCTCTTCTGATAGAAAAACCTTTATTTTGAACAAACTCCTTCAAAACCACATTCTTTTCTATAGTACTGTATCCCTTGATCCCAGCAAATTCCAATATGAACTTTTAAAATTCATTTGTAAGAGTACAATGCCTTTCCAATCCTTTTCAGTTACCATTTTTTTTGTTACAGCTTGTAATTCCACATTTTCGAAGTCCTCAACCTTCTGGTGGGACACTCCAACAGTATACACCTTAATTTCTTCAAAAATCCAACACCAATCTCTTTTTATCAACATCTGACTTAACTTATCCATCAGTAATTTAACTTCAAAAATTTCCAGAAAAATTGCTTTATCAGCTGGACTTTCGAAGTACTCTTCCAAAGGTTCCTAATTCATTTCTATAATATTGGCATCTTGAGCATCCAAATACTAATTACATATGGTAAGCACTACAGCACTCTATTATTATTATTATTATTATTATTTTGAAACTTCAAATTCTAATGTTACTATATCCTTTCTTCATTTCAATAATTACATCACAGTCTAATTAAACTTTTGAATAAATAGAAAAACTTAAAAATAATCCTTGGTCTCTTTTCTTAATCCAGAAAGGAGGCAACTAACCAAAGTACATAATCTACCTAATGACCATTTCAAGTGAATAAATAAAGTAATCCATAAACATTTCAAAAGCATAAGCCAAGACATCCATGCAACATTTTATATTATTAACATACTTTAGCAACAAATCATATATCATACATGCCATTACACTTTCAGTAGGAGCCTCTGCTCCATTTCTGTTACATGTTGTGGGACACTTAATCCATATTAGTTAAGTATTATTTAGAGAGTTGCTATTTCACCCATTTCATCTAGGAAAGTAAGAACAAGAGTTATGCAGTAATATACCTGTGTATTTCAGGACTCTTTTGCCGGGTGCTATGTTCTTCAGTAGACTTCTGATAAGCAGTGAACCTCTCACTTAGGGTCATTGCAGCAGACTTGAAATACTGTTCTGTTGGTTACAGGGGACAAAAACTGTCTAGTTAATATGGATACATCTGCATATCATACCAAAGATACAGAAAAGGCAAAAACATTCAACACAAAGTCCATATTCTTTCCAAACTCTTTCTCAGTAAACCTTGACAGTGGCAACCTTTAGTATTTCATAATGTTCCTGGCACATGTGCACTGCCAGTAGCACTACTTATTCAAGAACTACAACTTTTTAATGAGGGAAACTGCTGTTATAACGAACGCATTTTGCATTACACCTACAGCACCAAAACATTAGGCTGACTCATTAACATTTTAGAATGTATTAATATTTTAAGAGTATGTTTAGTCTTTACAGATACATAGGATCAAGCTATGAGAGATTTTTCTTCTAAAATGAAACAATTTCAGATTAGTTTTTTTTAAAGTCAGATCTTAACACCTGAATATATTTTAAAGTTTGACATGCTGGAAATCTGGACAGTTTATTTAGGTTTTTTTTTTCTTAAACTAAAACCATTAAATAATACACATTACATTCTGAAATACCAGTTCAACAGTTGTATTTAAATGTAAAATAGAAAAATGTGTAAAATTATAAAGGACTATGAAATGTTACATATAAGCAAACTATCTGCTTAACAGGTCAATGTACATCTGTATCAACTTACCGCCCAACATCCAGCATATTTCTCATAACCAATCATTAAAACTTGATATGGCCACTACAAGGGTAGTGCCTCAATCATAATTCCAGCAAACACAGGAATATGAGCTAGCAACTCAGTGTTTGTGCCATTTTTGCCAGGAAGACAGAAGGTTCAACTTTGCCTGTTTGTGCATCTGTTATCTTTCAACAGCTATTTTACTTTTGTAATATGGATTTTGCCATTTCAAAACACATTCCAGGACCTAGTTGCAATGAAAAAGAAAACATCACTGGGCATTTTCAGCTCTATATCAATGAAGAGCTGTTCACTCTAGCGGCATTGCACCAATAATGTAAAATTGCTAACAAAATGTGACCCACAAATTCTTTGTGAGGTGTATTGAAAGATTTTGGTAGCTTGGGAAGCAAATTATGGTTCAGACATATTAATTACTTGGTGACAGACTAACAGTTAAACAGCTCGGGGCATCATCGTTGATACACCCACTGAAAACATCAGTTTCAAAGATCTCTTCAGCTAATGTAAAGACAAAGATTTTGTAACTTGGTAAATTCCATTCTAATGCCTCACCAGTTAAAAATATGAAGATATTTAACATCAAAATAAATACAGTTTTATCTGCTACTAAGGTGAATTATTTTAGTAGTGAAGGGAAGGGAAGGTGACAGAGATTTTGCTTGTAGTTCTTAATTTGGAAATGTAATGACCAGTGACAAATTTTCACACATTCAAAGGAAAGGTAAATTTACTTTTCTTGAATGGAAAGGGAAATGGATTTTCACTTATTTCTTTCTGCAGTTCCCCTACACCATTTCAAAGGCTGACCAACTCCCCTGAACAGGGTTTGGGGTTGTTGTTGTTTTGGGTTTTTTTTTTTTAAGCGTTCAAAAGACTAGAGGAGAAAAAGTTAAATATTTGTTTCCCACCATCATGCTGCTCCTGCCAATGTCTGGACCCAAGTCTGTATGTTTAACACAAAAATACATAACTTTCTGTCTATACTAAAATGAAGCCTTTGCCCCTTTTGTTCAACGGAAGTTTTAAAACTTATTGTTTACACCCCTTTGAGAACAGCTGGCAATTTCAAAGTTATTAAATGCAAGAAACAAAAAAAACCCTAAGTTATATTCGCTTCAGAAACATTTGTATAACTTATTTGAAAAAAATTACTTTGCTTTCCTTTGCATAATCACTAGAGATCTCATCAATTAATTGAAGTATTTTTCAATATGAGTCTTTGATCCATCCATTTAGGTCAGTGTGGGGGTGGATCAGCCCATATGGGAGCCACAAAACGCACATGGACTGATCCGCATTAACTCTGGGAAAGCTGATAATGAGGCTGTACTCTGGGTCAAAATAACTCAGGGGAAAGCCCAAATCCTGCACCAGGATTTGGGCTTTTTACTAAGTTATGGCACTCCTATGTGGAACCAGCTGTGGCTATCCTGACAGCTATCCCATTCACCCTGGGCTTAGGCGATCCAGAGGCGCAGGATTGTGGTCTCCTTCTACCCACCCCCTACCTGTTGCTTTTCCTCTTCATTCCTCCCATCCTCCTTGTTAAGTCACAAGACAAAAAAGTAAGTTAGCAAAGACCCCAGAAGAAGGTAGGTTGTGTTGTTGCTGCTGGCAGAATGGGGGTGGCAGTTGGTCTCCTGCCCAGTGGTACTGAACTAGCTTCAGCACAACTGGCCCTCCCACTGCCAAGTCCTATTGGGCTGCAATGCAGGATAGAATTAGAATTTTAGATACGAGTTATGGCCAACATTATTTGTCAGTGTAGAACCGCACTTAGTTATAGTAAGATGAACTCTCCTTTACGAGAAAGCAATATAAGACAGTTAATAAAAGGGAATTTTGTCCACTAGCCCAGTTATCAACTGGAGTGAAGTTTCATTTCTATCAGCATATCTGTCATATCCATAATTTAAATGATAAACACGTCCAAAAAGATGAAAAATCAAACCATCTGTGACTAACTACAACGTTGTGATAAGGGGGCAACCTCAGCTAAGCAGTACAGTCCTTGTTTTCAAAACAGAAGGTCCCAAATGCAATCTCTAACATTTCTAAGTTATTATATAAAAGACCTCTACCTAAAACACTGCTAGCCAGGAGATAAAATACTGCAACAATTAAATAAGATGTCCAACCTGGTATAAAGATACTACTTACATCTCTTTCCAAGTACCTATTTCATCAGAAAATATATATGAAAAGACTGAAAATGTGAAAAGACTGAAGAAATACACAAATACATATTTTGTACATTTGCAAAAGACAAAGACAAAAAAGATCTATGTCTCTAAATGCTATCAGAAGTCTTCCTCCCCTAAATCCAATTTGACTGAAACATATATCTAAGCAATGTTAACCACAAGAGCTGTGCCTTGATTGCATTTGCAGTCACACTAACTTATTTAGCACAATGCATACGAACTGAAACAACCCATAGCCTTGTGTCCTTTTTCTTTTTTACATTTCCTTCCATGTAATCATAGCGGATGATTTTAAAAGCATTTGTATTGCTTTCAGTTAAGCACACTTTGTCGAAACTCTGGTTAGTTTCAATGAGCTAATCTAACAACCTGCAATCTAAGGTTGCAGTTAGCATGTCTGAAATTATCTATACTTAGCATAATCTTAGTTCAGCACTCAAAACAAAAAACATAAGAAACCAAGATTAATTAAAAGTAGAAGTGTGTATTCTTCCTTGGCTGTGCCTCCGATTTGGGGCGGGGGGAGTGAGTGATGGCAGATTTATTACAAGTCCAAAATATCAATTTCACATTTTTTTTTCTATCACAATGTCTGCATTTATATGTGTGTGTGTGCGCGCGCACACACATTTAAAGCACCAAAGAAGAGTCGACGTATGTAATATGTATTCCTTAATGAGTCAATTCCAAACAATTTAATATATACCATAATCAGCCTAACAAAAAAATTCTTGGTGTTTTGAATTTTAGGCCTGTTTCTGGGGTTATTTGGCACTGACTCAGAAAATTGCACTGGCCAGGCCACATCAGCTCTAGTTTTTTTTAAAGATATGGTTATCATGGTTTTCTATAGGCGAGCAGATGACAACTGGTAAGTGGCACATATTTAGCATTCCAAAAATTAGAGCTGATAGGGGAAACCTGGTGCCATTTGTGGAATCAGCATGTCAAATATACTCAGAAACAGGTCTATCATTTAAGGCACCAAAATGTGTGTTGACCAATGTTATATAAGATAAAATACTAGTAGACAGACAGATAATGCATTAATTGGGTTAAGGTGAGAAAGCACCAGTGCTTTTTTTCTTGCACTTGGAGAAGCAACAGAGTGTATCCTAATAAAGTTTATCCAAAAAACATTAATAGGATTGGAACCCGAACTTAACACTTCCGAATGGCCTCTGAAGTGATACAAAAGGATCTAGAACATAATTTCGTCCAGGGAACAGTGTTCCCTGGACCACTAAGAGCTCTTGAAGGTGATATTGGGATTTTGTGAGAAACTAAGACTGAAAAGAGTTTTAGGTAAAGCAATTTTAACACAGGAATACCCGACACATTATTCTGAGGGTTCCTCTGAGCTAAAAAGGTTGAAATGGACTTATGTTGCATTTCTCTGCTGTAGCTAACATTTAGCTCAACAAGATAAAGTTATTAGAGTAGACAAGTTGAAATTTCATGTAATTACATGTAAATAAACGCAGATTAACAACCTATACATTATTCCGAGGAATTCTGAGAATCGTTTTTCTACTTTTGTTCCTTCAAGGCCCATCACTGTGCTATTTCACCCTAAATCCAAGAAGAAAAACTTTATAATACATGCGATCTCGTTTCTAAAGTTAAATAATACTTTTAAAAATTATATATCCTCTGGTAGACAACTACATAATGTTAGAAAACTGAGATAAAACTTGCTGAGACATTTACATCAAAATATATAATTGAATTTCTGAACCAACTGATTTCGGTATCATCACAGGTTTTTATTGTCATATATAATACTTGTTTTGTCTGTTAAAATCAAGGCATACCTTTGACATGATGAACCAAGGACACAATGTGCTGAATAAATGATTCCGACGTGCTTTTGCTGGCCTGCGGTAGTTTAATGTGGTCAAAGATGGATCGGAATTCTTGCTCCTTCTTGACTGAGTGGACAAGTGTACTAGCAAGCAGCCTGTCTTTAGTCAAGGAAGCAGGTCTAAAGAATGTAACATGAAAGGGAACACAAAAGATTTATTGATTGATTGATTATTTGCCGCATTTTGTATCCTGCCCTTCTCACCCTGAAGGGGACTCAGAGTGGCCTTACAACAGGCAACAATTCGATGCCATACACATACATGTCCATGAAACAACAAATACATTAAAATACATTGAAATACAAGCAGTTAAAACATCAATTATTAAAGATAAATTAAAATCACGCAATTCAAATCATAATCCAGGGCTGTTAAAAATATGGAACGCTTCTCAAATTTACGTGTTTATGAAAAAAACAAATGCACTATTGACAAGGGCAAACTATTACAGATTAGAAAAATTACCTGTTTGAATCATCAAGTGGAACAGGTGCCATTTTAAGTTTCACTTCAGGCCGATGGGAATCACTGGCTATCATTTTGATCCTAAGTGGACTTTCCTCCCTGAAGGTAGTTTTCTCTCTTGAGTCTGGGTTCTTGTGCAGGGGAGGACTATAATCAAAAAGTTCTTTGAGCTTCTCAGATTTTACCTGCTCGGGTGACTGGGTTTCTTTCTTCATTGTTCTCTCAGAAATTTTATCATCTTCCTTGTGCTTATCTTTTGATACATTAGGCCTCTCCACTATATAGCTAGCTGGCTCTTTAAGCTTGTAATTTTTATCTTCTCTAAATCCTTCGCCATCTCTATTTGCTTTCATAGAGATTTTAGATTTGTACTTGGATCCTTCCTCCTCAGCATTACGATGAGATGCTGAAAAACCCTTACCCTGATCTGCAAGAACAGACTTCCTAAACTGCCTATAATCTTCAGTCTCCTCTGCATCCTCTCCTTCAGAATCATTGAACTTTTGTTTTCCAGAATCTTTATCCATATAATATTCCAAAGCGTCCTGATCCTCCCATTCTCTTTCTCCCTCTGTTCTCCCCTTTTCTGGCCCTCTCTCCTTTTGAGCATCTTTTTCTCTAACATTACTTCTATCAAGCAGGTATACTCTAGACTCTTCATCTGTGTACCTGTGGACAACAAAGGGGAAAAGTGTAACTTCCAACTGTCTTAGCTTGCTACTTTCCAATGTTACAAAATTATGCACTACTGCAGACAAATTCATTCATGCGTAAGTATTTTTACACGTTGATGTTTATAACAGATCATTCAAATGTAGAAACATTAATCTTTTGGGCATTTAAAAAGTAATTATTTGCACAAATTTCAATACTTTGACCCATTTTATTTGACAGAACATAAAACATTTTGCTTTACAACAAATTTTTAAATTCTGATATTCAAAACCATATTATCCAACATAAATGAATGGTATGCATCTGTATCCCAGTTTAGCTCATTTTAAAAAGATTTTTTTAAAAAAAATATTACAAGACATTTAATAACAATGTATCATTACAACAAATTTCATTCTTCATTCCAGACAGACCCACTCTCTTCTAGTTCTTCCCCATCCCCCAAATTATAATGCACTGCAAGAATAGATCTATCAAAATATTTTATGACTGCATTTTTCATTATCTTCCATTACATATTATTATAGTGGTATTTATCTATTTGCTAACCCAAATTTTCACTTAATCATTCAGTGGTTTAAATTCACAATTGCTTTGACACACAGAACAAATATTCCCATACACTATCAAATAAATCTTATTATTTCCCCTTTTTGTAACTCTTAAATTATAAATTAACTTCTCGGACAGGACTATAGTCCACATCTTGTTTAACCATTTCCTTTCTGATTCTCTATTTTCCCCCAAATTTTGATTATTTCTACCCTTCTGCACATAAGTCTCTATTTGACAAATGTTTGTTTTCAAACATTTATAATGCCACTCTAAAATAAACACCCCCCCCCCCACTATTGAACTTATTTATGAATAATTTTAATTTGAGCTTAAACATTCAGACCAGACACTAGCTTAATTGTGAACTATTTACATAAGATGCAACAACGGATCATGCGTAAAATCATTACATTGTAAACTACTAGCCAAGAAACCACTGGAACAAGGCAATATATTTTCAAGTCTCCATTCTGTTGTTGTTGTGATTATTATTATTATTATTATTATTATTATTATTATTATTATTATCATCATCATCTTATACATTCTAAATGTAAATCTGATTTCTATTCAAGTTCATCTCAAATTTTCCATTATATTTACAATTCTTTTATTAAATATCAGTTAGTGAAAACATATTATTCCTTCATGAGAAAATGTAAATGAATCTCAGGGAGGAAACATGACTGAGAAACAAATTGATCTGTGCAATCCTGCACAGTACAGTAGGTAGATTCATTTCAAAAAAGTAGCACACTTATGGACTAAATTCTTACTTTCATTTATATGCCTACAAATAAACCATAACAAATATGAAATCTTTCCTATCAGAGCAACCTAGCACACCACTTTGCAAAACAGCAATTTAAAAGTTTCCCATAAGTAATTTTCCCTAACTGAATGTACTCCAGTTGTATGTGCTGCAAATATCACCCTCCCAGCCACACAGCAGAACAACATACCTACAAAGCAAGAGACAATCTTCAACTTCTGAAAAACTTAAGAAGTCACAATAATACCCCCTTGACTTAGAGAAATGTGTGTTTTAGCTATACAGCTTAACAAACATTTTAAATATATAAGCATTATTTCTTATCATTTCAATGTACTGGTGTAACATCCAGAGTTTGACTCAGGCGATATCATGTATTATTTTATGTATTAATAAAAAGAACATAATTTTTTTTTGGTAAAAAAAAGTTTATGTAAAATATATTATCTTAGATGCTGTATAGATTTGTAAGTTAAAGTACTTTAGTGAGCAATACTAAGTAAGCAGGGAAGGCTAAGGGGGAGTTGAGGGTGAGTGATAATCCCATTGTATTATATGTTATCCAGAACAAAAGATGAAACATTTATAATACAGGCAGGCGGGGTGGTGGTGGAAAAAATACATCTTTAAAATATTAGTGAGCAGGGCTGCACACCATTACTAAAAATAAAATAAACAATGCCAGTGAAACTCAATAGGAATCATTTATATAAACTGGTATTTTCTACTGGTGCTTTAAATTATGTTGAAACCATCTCAATTTAACTCAGTGATGGGAAAGTATGGATCTCCAGATGTTGCTGGACTGCAACTCCCAACATTTCTCACTATTGTCTATACTAGGGATGCTGAACTCATTTTTACCAAGGGCCACAAAGGGCCGTTTGTAACTGGAAGACAGTATAAATGAAACAATGCCCTGCCATTAAAAGCCTTGCAGGCCACGTAAAAATAAGGTGGTAGGGTGGATTTGGCCCAAGGGGCTTGTGTTTGACAAGTGTGATCTGTGCTGACAAGAATGCTGAGAGTTAAACATCTGGAAGGTTATATTTTGTCCACCCAAACTAAAATCAATCTAAACTGTCATACCAGCATCAAATGTTCTTATTCACATTTCTACATCACAACTCATTCATATGCAAATAAAACTGGAGAAAATTCTAGTACTTTGCATTGTACATTGCACATACCAACAGAACTGTCTTTATACTGCTCATTCAACTGAATTAAATGCCTTTATTTTTGCAATCATAGTTCTTACCTTTTCAGAAATTTGGCACCCTTTGAACTTTCAGGTTCTCCAGCCTCCGGATAGAAAGAGCGCACACGAGTCTCCTCCCGAGGAGCATTCTGTGATGCAACAGCTTTTGCAGGACTTCTTCTTGAAGGAATGTGATGCAGGGGACTATTCTGGGAAGGGCTGTAGCGACTGGAACCGTTTCCAAGAGAACCAGACCCAGACCTCTCAGGGCTATGCTGAATGGAATGTGAGTGTTGAGGTGTGTCTTTTGCTGAGTGAACGGTGCTGAGTAAGTGAGCATCAGAACACGAAGAACTCTGACTAGGTGGGGAGGCAATAGAGGGACTATGGGGAGACCTTGGGCTGTTATCATATGCTGAAAGACCAGGCCATATATCACCTGAAGCTGCTGCTGATTTACTGAAGTCATCTAGGGGATCAGATGGGTCATGTTCAAATGTATTTTTTTCTTCCTCTTGTGATTTGTTTTTTAAAGGGCTCTCTTGCAAAGTAGCTGCCTCAGATTTCTTTGCTTGTTTCTCTGATGATCCGCGCCTTTTTGAAGAGACAGGTGACTTGCTATATGGAGATGAAGAACGAGATGATGATGACCTTGGAGATCTGGAAGATCTGTAGGATCGTCGAGATCTGCTCCGAGACCTCTGAGAAGATCTTGACCTTCTCTTTGGACTTCTGGAACGTGAGCGGTCTCGTCGAGGACTTCGAGAGTGTCTTCTGTTCCAGACAGGTCTGTAACCACCACGATGATATCTACCTCCACCTCCAGGATAATATCCTCTACCTCTTCCTCTATAGCCATAGGGGCGCCTCATTCCTCGATTATTTCTGTAATCTCTGCGGTAATCTCTATTATAAACACGATCCCGACTGCGAGACCGTGAATATGTTCTAGACCGGGACCTAGAACTAAGATTAAAATGAATTCTTAAGTATCCAGACAATTCATGATTCCCAAAAGCAATACATTGTCCAAGATCCAAAATATTAGTCATAGAGTAATATTCATCAATGACAGTTCCCAGTAAGCAAACTATTTACAATGAGTATGAAGTTATTTAAGTCATATTGCATAATTATTGTCTGAATAAATTAGTATTCAATGCAAGACAGAATGTCAAAACAAGCTTCAAACTACTATCCACATTCAGGTGTCATGGTATGCCATGGTTCTGCATGAAATGATAAGTCTAGGCAAGCCTCAAGTTTATAAGACTTTCCCTCTGATAGAACCACAAAGGATCTGGAAGCATTTAATTTTCATTACCAATAGGTAAGTACTATAGTGAGCTCCCTGTATCCTTGAGAGATTGATTTCAGGATGTTCAGTGGATACCCAGAGATGTGGGTGCCCACAACTCATTTTAAAATGTTGTAGTGCCAATCCCCAGTAGTCAGGTGTGACGCTAGATATGCATTCTGTAGGCTCCCTGCCTCCTGTTAATTGACCACTTCTACATTTGAGAAGCTTCCACAGAAGCATGGCGATAAACAGCAATAGCACTCCTGTTCATTAATTCACAAACAACTGTGCAGGAGCACTGCTATTGCAGATCACAAGATAAGAAGTAACTTTCACAGGTGCATGGCAATTTTTGCCACTTTCATGCTATTGCTCAGTTGTTCATGAATAACTGAGTAGGAGTGCCACTGCTGTCACCAATATCCTTGAAGAAGTTGCTCGAAGGGAGAAGTGGGTGGTTGGAGAGGTTCCCTTTCTGGCAGCTGGGGCTCAGTGTTGCCTTCGCTGCTACCCTATGACATTTTTAATAGGGGCTCATAAGGGAGAGCACAATCACGTCTCTCCAGCCTTGCAATTGTGTTGGGTACAGAACAGTACATGTATATTATTTGAATCCTTAATAAGATCAATATGTCAGCCTTTAGATATGACCAACACAGTGACCCACTGTACATTCAAAAGCTGAATTGTGAAAGTTAATTCTGGTTTACACAAACCATTGCCCATAGTCTGAGTTTGGCTTGTTCCAAATAAACCGGATTTAACAATAAACAAGATACATAAATGAACATTTCCAAAATAGTATTGATAATTAATCAAGTGGTGTGAAGTGGGAATGGTGGAGACTGATTCAGCTAGCCACATTTTATTTATTTATTTACTGTATTTTCATTTGCCCTTATGGTTTATTATTATCCGTGAACACAACGTGTAACTTTTAGCATATACTTTCACATTTCATGGAATATCAGTAGATATTATTTTGAGATGTCAAAAAAGGAAGGAAGAATACTGAAATAACAAAATGCAATAAATGTACCTGTATCTCTTTTTTCTGGAATGTGATCTTGATCTTGACCTTGAACTGGACTGAGATCTAGACTTTGATCTTGAAGAATGTGATCTTGTGTTAGAACGACCCATTTCTTCTCCAAGAGTTTGCACCTTTCCAACAGAAATCAGGAAAACAAGCTGACCTGGATTTGAAGTAAATAACTCCAATATGTAAAGAGAAGCATGTCTTAATTGATAAAATTCATTGCAACATCATTGTAACAAATTCTTTTATTTGAAAATTCTATTCAAATTCTGTATATCAGTACAATAGTAATATGGGAGGTAATGTGTACTAAACAGTTCAAACATAAAGCAGCCCCTTCCCTTCCAAAATGTTTTTCCAAATACAGTGAAATTGTCTAAATGGGAACACCTAAGAATAGTGTATAAAATTCCATTTTGTGCTAACAAGAAAGGTCACTGGAAAGCATCACAGGGAACATACACACATTCTGTTATTATTTTCAAATATTCACATCAAGTATATTTTATCTCTAATCCATTTTCCTCTGTACTGCTGTTTTTTCTCTGCTTACACTGATATACACATTTTTATTTTTAAAAGTTGTACACAAGGCTTCCTTAAGTAATATGAGATTTTATTTCTTGATTTTATTTCTGTGTCCACAAAAACTTAAATCTAGATCAACCTTTTATAGATGTGCTTTTTACAAAAGCACGAAGTGGTGAAGATATTCATGTTTAAAATAAAATGGCTTGACATCACCAGAAGATACACTGCATATGTTGAGAGTTATGTAGTTTGTTGTAGTTAAACCTAGATTGTTTTATATGCCTTCGTCAAAACAGAAACAACCCAACAATGGTCTAGCCTTAAAAATACATCATTAAAATAGGCAGCCATTTATCTTACCTTGCAATACTTCACAAGAATTTAAATTCTTAGCATACACTCAAATCAATTCCTGTTTAAAGAAAAAAAAGTAATGTTATTTGATTATACAAACTGTTGTCAATCTATGTTTTTTAAATACAGTAGAGTCTCGCTTATCTAACCTTGGCTCATCCAACGTTCTATATTATCCAACACAGTATGCCTCCCACCCGGATCTACAGCTGTTTCAATACGATGTTTTGGTGCTAAATTTGTAAATACATTAATTACTACATAATGTTACCATGTACTGAACTGCTTTTTCTGTGAATTTGTTATAAAACATGATGTTTCTGTGCTCAGTTTGTAAAATCGTTATGTAATTTTATGTTTAATAGGCTTTTCCTTAATCTCTCCTTATTATCCAACTGTTTTGCTTATCCAACATTTTACCAGCCCATTTATATTGGATAAGCAAGACTCTACTATAGCCTGAAAACGTATGCCTGGAATGGGGTGTGGGAGTATTTCAATATACTAGATTTATAATATGATGAACAATCATTGCAACACTAAATCACAGCATATTAGTTTATTGTGCTGGTTATTCAGAAACATATTGGTGTTATGGGCTACTTTTCAAAAAGTAAGAATACGTAAGTAAAATTTCAGAAGGTGTTCTGGCCTGTAGCCTGTTCCCTAAAAGTATAACTACATAGGTAACTGCAATATTTGCAATACTCTTGTATAAGGTGACCTAATGTACAAGTTGAAGGACCAAAATTATGGATAAATTAAGACCATTTGGTGACTGAAAGCATTCTCTGAGTAGAATGACAAAGGGTGAGAACTTAGCCTGTCTCGGGAAAGACTAGTAACAGTTAAGGTAGCATACTTACACAGAAATGATGACTCTGATATTTTGGGTCAATATTTTGACAAAAAAAAAATCTAGACTAATACACAAGTATATTAAGCATTTTAAACAAGTTGTCACATTTCAGAAATAACATCTACAAAACAGTGGGCACTCTGGTACAACCTACATTTCTGAACCACCCAGATTATGATCAAAAGTCCTGATTTGAAGAGATGAGGCCTGAACTCAAGCCCTTTATCTTAAAACCTAGCATGAGTCATGTTTTTGCTCTCTATACCCTGTTCCCAATCCTCAGCCCAACCTAAATTGTTACATAAAGGAATTCAGCATAGAAAATTACACTTACAGTACTATTATGTACGTGGTATTCCCAATTCATCAAAGGACACCCAAAGAAACATCACCTTATGATGAACCTTGCTTTTTTATATTTATAGAAATTAGAAATGTGGGGACACTTGTCTCACGTCTAATAACATGCTTTTTCTTCACATGTGAAATTGTTTGCAGAAGCATTCGTCTTGTGTACACAAGGTTCACAAAAAATAAGACAAGGTTGCGGGAACACACTTTTTCCCTTCCACTTCCTTTAACCACCCTCATTTGCTCCACGTAAGTTTTCCAACTCTCCAGAGCAGCTTCTGGGATCATGTGGGGCTGCAAGAAGAGAGAAAATCCATTCTTCCATATGTGTCTGTTGGGATAGTGGTAAAATTGTTCAGCTCTTTTCTTTTGTGTATTTTAGATCAGGTTTCTCAGTCACATACAAAGGAAACTATCATACTCTACTTTGCCCACATGTGCCGCTAATTTCATATGTCAAAGGGGTATTAATATCTATATAATATGTTTATTGCCTTCCCTTAGATTCTAACCAAGAAAAACTGTACCCCAGTGAAAGCAGACCTTTAATCAATGGCACCTTGGTAAATCCACGCCTATCAGGGTGCACTTGTCTTAATGTATCTACTACAGCTGGGACTATCAACTGGATTTAAGCCATTGAGCACAGATGGGTAAGGTATAACATACCAGATACTGTTGGACTAAACCTCCTGTCATCCCTATGCCATCACCAATGATGCTGAAGGCTGCAGTCCAACAAAATTTCTGTTGCTGTGCACTTTCAAGCCATTTCCAACTGATGGCGACACTACACAGGCAACTCTAACATGGGGGTTGTTAAAGCTGAGAGTGTGTGACTTGTCCAAGGTCACTCAATGGGTTTCCAAGACCATGTAGGAAATCTAACCCTGGTCTCCAGAATCATAATCCAATGCCTCACCCACTACACAGTGCTAACTTCTTCAATATCATCTAGAGCAGAACTTTCCAAACATTTCCAATTGGTCATATACCTTTTTGAGTCATGTATCATTTTGTTACACAGTAATTCAGCTTTACTTGCAAATTAGAGATTTAGCCAAACCCTTAGAAGCGATATAGCCTCGTATAGAAGTTGCAGTAATGACATGGAGGACACAACATACCTCATGAAAACCTTTCATTTAAATATTTCAAAATATGATTTATTGCTTATTTCACAGACATTGTTATGTTTGTACTACACACTGCAGCCAACACACTAATGTGTCACGGCATATACTTTTAAAAGCTCTGATCTAGAGAGCCACAATTTTTCTAGCATACTTTCATAGGTGTCTCAGGAAATATGAAAAAAAAAACACCTCCACAACTTGTCGTGGAAACAGAAAAGTTGATATTTAAATTTCCTTATCTTCAGTAACTTCTGGATTAGTGCCGCTGAAGTATCAAATGCTGTTGCTATTTTTCATAGAATCATAGAGTTGGAAGAGACCTTGTGGGCCATCCAGTCCAACCCCATTCTGCCAAGAAGCAGGAAAATCTCATTCAAAGCATCACAATAGATGGCCATCCAGCCTCTGTTTTAAAGCCTCCAAAGGAGGAGCCTTAATCACACCCCGGGGCAGAGAGTTCCACTGCTGAACACCTCTCACAGTTAGGAAGTTCTTCCTAATGTTCAGGTATAATCTCCTTTTCTATAGATTGAAGCCACTGTTCCGTGTCCTAGTCTGCTCCCTTCTCCCTATGACTTCCCCTCACATATTTATACATGACTATCATGTCTCCTCTCAGCCTTCTCGTCTGCAGGCTAAACATACCCAGCTCTTTAAGCTGTTCCTCATAGGCTTGTTCTCCAAACCCTTGATCATTTGTCGCCCTTCTCTGGACACATTCCAGCTTGTCAACATCTCCCTTCAATTGCGGTGCCCAGAATTGACACAGTATTCCAGGTGTAGTATGACCAAGGCAGAACAGAGGGGTAGCATGACTTCCCTGGATCTAGACCCTATACTATTTATGCTGCCCAAAATCCCATTGGCTTTTTTGCCACTGCATGACATTGTTGGCTCATGTTTAACTTGTTGTCCACGAGAACTCCAAAAACTTTTCCACACGTACTGCTGTCGAGCCAGACGTCCTCCATTCTGTATCTTTGCGTTTCATTTTTTTCTGCCTGTGGAGTATCTTGAATTTGTCACTGTGGAACTTCATTTTGTTAGTTTTGGCCCATCTCTCTAATATTTTCAGATTGCTTTGAATTCTGCTCCTGTCTTCTGGAGTAGTGGCTATCCCTCCCAATTTGGTGTCATCTGCAAACTTGGTGATCATGCCTTCTAACCTTTCATTTAATCTAAGTAATTAATAAAGGTGATGAACAGGACAAGCCCCAGGAAGGAACCCTACAGGATGCCACTCATCACTTCTTTCCAGGATGAAGAGGAAGCATTGGTGAGCACATTTGAGTTCCTTCACTTAACCATTTACAGATCCACCTAACAGTAGCATTGCCTAGCCCACATATGACTAGTTTGCTTGCAAGTAGGTCATTGGAGACTTTGCCTTTAACGCTTCATCTAAGTCAGGAATTCTCAACCTAGGGGTCAGGACCCCTGGGGAGGTCATGTGGGGGTGTCAGAGGGGTCACCAAAGACCATCAGAAAACACAGTATTTTCAGTTGCCATGGGGGTTTTCTGTGGGAAGTTTGGCCCAATTCTATCATTGGTGGGGTTCAGAATGCTCTTTGATTGTAGGTGAACTATAAACCCCAGCAACTACAACACCCAAATGTCAAGGTCTGTTTTCCTGAAACTCCACCGGTGTTCACATTTGGGCATATTGAGTATTTGTGCCAAGTTTGGTGCAGATCCATCATTGTTTAATTTCACAATGCTCTTTGGATGTAGGTTAACCACAACTCCAAAACTCAAGGTCAATGCCCACCAAACCCTCCCAGTATTTTCTGTTGGTCATGGGAGTTCTGTGTGCCAAGTGAGATTCAATTCCATTGTTGGGGAAGTTCAGAATGCTCTTTGAATCCACGTAACTACAACTCCCAAATGACATAATCAATCTGCCCCCACCCACCCACCCTACCAGTATTCCAATTTGGGCATACCCGGTATTTGGTCAAGTGAATGAAAATACATCCTGCCTATCGGTTATTTACATTACGACCCATAACAGTAGCAAAATTACAGTTATGAAGTAACAGTTATGGAGGTCACCACAACACGAGGAACAGTATTAAGGGGTCGTGGCATTAGGAAGGTTGAGATTAATAAAGATGTTACAACAAAAATTACAACAGCAAAACAAGAGAGGTGAAACAATCAGGCACATCTAATCACCTCTCAACAAAAGATTACCCCAGGCACTGCCAGGCCATCAAATACTAATCAAGGTGGTCAGTTGAAACATTCACACCTAGCTCCAACAGACAAGAGTTCTTTGCCACACCCTGGTCATTCTACAGATATATAAACCCTTTTTCCTACTTCCAATAAGACCTCACTACCTCTGAGGATGCTTGCCATAGATGCAGGCGAAACGTCAGGAGAGAATGCCTCTAGAACATAGCCATATAGCCCAAAAAACCTACAACCCAATAAAGATGTTGTTTTCGTAACACAAATCGAGCATCTCTTATTCAGAATTACAAAATGCTCCAAAATCGTCCGCATGGCGATTGAAATTCCGATCAGTGTACGTAATATCTACTTCATGCACATTTCTAAAAAAAAAAAAATTGTATAAAACCACCTGCAGTCTTGTGTACCTGAGGCGCATAGGACACATAAATGGGTCCCATTTCCAAAATTTCTCATTACGTGCGTATATAAAAATAGAGAGGCATATTCCAACATCTTGTGATGGGGAGGGGGGCTCCCTGAAATCCTAAACCCTTCTAGCCCCAAGCATTTCAGAGAAGGGGGGCTCGAGGCATCAGAAGTGGCTTGGCGCAGGGGAGAGGAAAAGAGATGCGCCAAGATAGGCATTCCCTCGCCCGCCCCAAAGGCCACGTTCACGTGGGGCAGAGGCAGGAAAAGGGAGGCGGGAGGGCGCGCCAACCACACAAATAAAATAAATACAGAGGAAAGGGCTCCCCTCCCCCCCCCCGCCCTCTCAGGCCTCGCCCACCGCGGTTTGAGTGATAGGCGGAGGGCGCGCGAGCCCCTGAAGCGCTGAGAGCATTCTCGGAGAGCTTGCGAAGCCCCGCAACGGCCAACCGAAGGGGGAGGGGCAAGCTAGGCCGCGCGACCAAAGGCCTCCTCGCGCCACAGAACTCCGAAAGGGCGGGTGAGCGGGGAGAGCCCAACGGTCGCCAGTGAAGGTTGAGGAGGGAAGCCAACCGCCGCGCCATCCTTGCCCTCCCCGCCCGCTTCTCCTCAGCCCCTCGCCTTGCTTTGCCTCACCCTTCTCTGGCCGACCGCTCCCGCTGCAACCCTTTCACCGCTCGGCAGCCATTTCCAGCCTCGGTGGAAGGAAAAGAAATGGAGGGGGGCGGGGGAACCATCGAGAAGTTATTGCGACGCTCCAAAGAGGACGAGCGCGTCACTTCCGCTCCGGGAGAGTCAGCAAATAATCGACTCACCCCCTTTGGCGCCCTCTGGTGCCCACAGGAAAGATGGCGAGCCTCAGCCAGCGGCGCCCTTCTGTCAGAGTCACGTGACACTTCCTTCTGTTAAAGAAAGGCGGGGAGAGAGCGTGGATCTGTTCAGGTGCGCATGCGCGGGAGGCGTGGCGTTTCCTGTTTGGCAGGCAAATGGGTGGACGCGGCTTTAACAGCCATGACTCTTCTATGGCATCCTGGGGGTTGTAGTTTGCTGGGACACCAAAGGTCTCTTCTCTGGCAGAGAAGGGTCAATCACTCACGCAACAATCTCGCATATGTCCATAAACAAGCATGTGGACAATTTCAACAGAAAGGAGGAAACCATGAAAATGAACAAAATCTAGCTACCAGTATAAAAAAACTCTACAATTGCAATAGCACAACAACAGAGAGGAAACAAACAAGGACATCTCATCACCTCGCAACAAAAGTTTGCCACAGGCACAGTCAGGCCATTGTATGCTAATCAAGGTGGTCAGTTGAAACATTCACACCTAGCTCCAGCAGACAAGAGTCCTTTGTCTCACCCTGGTCATTCCACAGATCTATAAACCCCTTTTGCCTAGTTTCAACAGACCTCACTATCTCTGAGGATGCTTGCCATAGATGCAGGTGAAACATCAGGAGAGAATGCCTCTACGCCATGGCCATATAGCCTGAAAAAAGCTACGACAACCCAATCTCACCATAGCATTGAGCCATGACAATTGAAGCGCTGTCTGGTTGCTAGAGTTCTGCAGTGCAGATACAGCTATGGTCCCTCATTTTAACTTCATCACACTAGAGGGAAAAAAAATCCACTTGAAATCCGGTTTCTGCCTCCTGCAACATTCTGGGGTTTGTAGTTTAGTGAGGCTGTTAAAGGCTCCTCCTTAAACTGCAAACCCCAGAATTCTGCAGGATTTAAAGTGGATTTTTTTTCTCTAGTGTGATGAGGCCCAATTAAAAACCTTTTCAGCAGAAGGGTGACGTCGTGGGTTTTGTTTCGTTTTTCATTTTCATTGGTGGATTTTTGGTGCCTGCCGGGGTATGGTTCCAGGGTCCCCCTTGGAAATCAGAAACGCTTGACTCTAAAGTTCACTACACTGCTTCTTACCGGGTCTTTTCCTTTTTGAAATGCCTGTATGGGCCTTAGGGCAACTCCATGAATTTCATAGGATTTTCTTGGCAAGAAATGATCAGAGGTGGTGCTGCAGGTTTCTTTCTACAGCATTTTGTATGTATTGATTGACAATCTGTCAATCAATACATACAAAGACTTGGATGTTTGGACAAGCCTTTGAGAATGTCTACTCCCAATGGTCTGTGCTTATTGCCACAGCACTGCACTTTCGCCCCAGGCCCTAGTACATTCGCTAAAATGTGCACTTTCCTATTGCCTGCTCCTGTTTGCAGTTGGCTATGTTTTACGACAGTTCTTATAATAGATTATTGGGCACTGTTTTGAGCTTAAACGTTGTTTTATATGTTATTAGATATCTTGTTTTGTATTGTGTGTTTATTATGGCCCAACCTACCTGTCCGAACACATCTCTCCTTATGAATCATCTAGGACCTTAAGATCGTCTCGGGAGGCCCTGCTCTCAATCCCGCCTTCATCACAAGTATGCCTGGCAGAGACGAGAGACAGGGCCTACTCAGTGGTGGCCCCTCTGCTATGGAACACCCTCCCTAGGGATATCAGATCGTCCCCCTCCCTTTTAACATTTTGGGGAAAAAGTCAAGACATGGCTTTTTGAGCAAGTGTTTGCAAATGCAGAGTAACTGACATAGGAAAATGGAATGACTAGACGATGGCACTGGACAGTGCTTTAACAAGGAGATGCTAATGATTTGTGTTTGCATTGATTTTGTTGTGGTTTTATATTATATATTAATGATTTTAATTATATTTATTGTATTGTGAGCATCAAATTGTTGCCTTGTAACCCGCCTTGAGCTGCCTGCGGGCTGAGAAAGGCAGTATACAAATACAGTAAATTAATTAATAATTGTTTTTGGCACATTATTGATCACACATGACACACACACACACACACACACATAGAGAGAGAGGGAGAGCTTTGGGTAGCATAAGAAAGTGTTAACACCCATGTGGTGTTTGTTTTGCTATCTGTGCCCACGTTCAGAAGATTTCACCTCACTTTCTGTCCTTGCGAGAATTAGATTTTGAAACATCTGGCTTGCTGTGGAAACAAGGATGGATGCTAAAGTGTCAGTTGAGACACTTTTTCTCTCCATGATACCTCTTTTATGAATGAATTTCCCTTCCATGGGATAGATTTCTCTCACTTCCTGTTGTCTCACCCTCATTCATTATTATTATTATTATTATTATTATTATTATTATTATTATAACTTTATTTGTACCCCGCTAGCATCTCCCGAAGGATTCGATGCGGCTTACACAGGCCGAAGCCTCAAAACACAATACAACAATACAATACCTAAAGCAAATTAAAAACAGTTAAGCAGAGTAAACAATAACAGTAACAATACAACGAGACACTATTAAAACTGGGCCGGCCAGAGTAATGGGTACAAGATTAAAAGTGCTGATGTGGCAGGAGGTATGTAGGATTATAAAGTAAGTGCAGTGTGCAGTGATCTTAGTTCTACTAAAGTGCTTCTAGGACTTGGTATTGGGGGTTCCTAATCTGAAAAGGCACATCGGAACAGCCAGGTCTTCAAGTTCTTTCTGAAGACTGCCAGCGAAGGGGCCTGTCTAAGATCTTTTGGGAGGGCGTTCCAGAGTCGGGGGGCCACCACAGAAAAGGCCCTGTCTCATGTCCCCACCCAACGCGCTTGCGACGCAGGCGGGATCACGAGCAGGGCCTCTCCAGATGACCGAAGTGAACGCGTGGGTTCGTAGATGGAGATGCGGTCACGCAGGTAGGGTGGTCCCAAACCATTCAGGGCTTTGTAGGTAAGCACCTGCACCTTAAATTGGGCTTGGAAAATAAACGGCAGCCAGTGGAGCTCCTTAAACAGGAGGGTTGACCTCTCTCTGTAAGGCCCCGTTAACATCCTGGCTGCTGCCCGTTGGACCAGTTGGAATTTCCGAGCCGTTTTCAAGGGCAGCCCCACGTAGAGCGCATTGCAGTAGTCCAATCTGGAGGTGACCAAGGCATGGACCACCCCGGCCAGATCAGCCTTCGCGAGGTACGGTCGCAGTTGGCGCACGAGTCTCAATTGTGCAAAAGCCCTCCCGACACCGCCGACGCCTGAGCCTCAAGCGTGAGCGATGAATCCAAGAGGACTCCCAAACTGCGGACCTGTGGCTTCAGGGGGAGTGTAACCCTGTCCAGCACAGGTTGCCACCCTATACCCCGATCCAGGTTTACGATCGACCAGGAGGACCTCTGTCTTGTCGGGATTGATCTTCAGCTTGTTCCTCCTCATCAAGATAGACACAGCGGCCAGGCACTCGTCCAGCACCCGAGAGGCTTCCTTGGAGTTAGGTGGAAAAGAGTAGTAGAGTTGTGTGTCATCTGCATAGAGATGGCACCCAACTCCAAAACTCCGGATGACCTCTCCCAGCGGTTTCATGTAGATGTTAAAAAGCATGGGAGACAGAATAGAGCCTTGCGGGACCCCACAGGTCAAGGGCCAGGGGTCCGAGCAGGCATCTCCCAGCTTCACCATCTGGGTTTGTCCCTCCAGGAAGGACCGGAGCCACAACAGAACCGTACCCCCAAGACCCATCGTTTATAACTATGAGTCACTTGTAAGTTGGATGTTTGTAGCTTGGAGGCCGCTTGTATAATTATCTTTAATGAAAAAGAAAGTTATATGTTTTTCATCCAAAATTTCGAGCTTCATCCTCCCCCCCCCTCCCGCAGGCCTAGATGACGAAGGGGATGGTTTATTACTAACCTGAACTTTGAAATAAGAACACTTTGCAATCAGCACTGAATTTTATCATGCAAATGCATACTCTGTAAATAACATCAATTAAACTGTTTTGTTGTTATTGTGTGCCTTCAAGTCATTTCCAACTTATGGCACTATAAGGCAGGCCTATCATGGGGTTTTCTGTGACTTGCTTTATGTCACACAGTGGGCTGTCGTGGCCAAGTAGGGATTTGAACCCAATTCTCCACGGTGGTAGCCTAACATTCAAGCCACTATACCAAGGGTCCCCAAACTAAGGCCTGCAGGCCAGATGCAGCCCTCCAAAGTCAGTTACCACCCTCACCCCACTCTAAACTTCACTCTGAAATAACTTGAAGACACACAGCAACAACAATCCTAAGCTTGACGGTCTCATCAGCCTTTGAAATACAGGTAAGTTTATGTTGGCTAAAAGTATTCTTCATTTTAAATATTGTATTGTTCTCCTTTTTTTGAACTACAAATAAGACATTTGCAATGTGCACAGATTTAGTGTGAGTGGGGGACATAATGTCCTCCTTTGGTGTAATAAAACTTAGCTGCTTGGCAGGCCTTTGCATTTAGAATCACTGTTGGAGACTGCACTCTCCAGGATACGGTGTGAATTCCTTCTGACCTGCTCTGGAGAGAATTTCTCAGTAGACCATTTATATTCTGTAAATTTACTTTCAAAGACCAGAACTTTTGATTGACTAAAATTTATATTTAGCTCACTTGTTTCGCAGTATCCTATATGTTTTCTGAGTTGGTATATATGTCCTGATCGAGACCTGAAGAGAATGGCTGTATCATCTGCATACAGCAGGATGGGAACCCTCCTTTTACCTAGTGTGCATAGAAATTCATACATTTTTTTAAAACTATAGTCCTGCCCCACAATAGTCTGAAGGGCCATGAGCCAGCCCTCAGCATGGAAAATTTAAGGACCCCTGCACTACACTTAAGTAGCACATAAATATGTCATAGTGACAGGTGAACAGACTCTCATTGATTGCAGCAGATGTCCAGTAAGGAAGGACTGGAAGACTTTTATGAT